CTTTGCAAGGTTTGTTTTTAATTTTCTTCAATTTGGAATTTCTTACATTTATAAAATCTAAAAAACCAACTCCATCTGCAACTTTGCAGCCATTTTCAGACTTTTGTGTCTTCATACTCGATGCAATTCTTTTGGCCAATTGTTAAAAATGTACAACCCTCTGTTTGCCTTACTAATGAGAAATAATAAATATACTTTTTATTTTCGATATATCAATAAATTCAGCCGTCCATAAAAATAATATTTTTAATTTCTTCAGTGTTTTCTACTTCATTATCGACCTCGCAAGGTTTGTTTTTAATTTGTTTACTTTCGAAATTGCTTAACTTTACCAAATCTAAAAAACCAATTCCATCTGCAACTTTGCAGCCATCTTTAGACTTTTGTATCTTCAAACTCGATGGAATTCTTTTGGCCTATTGTTACAAATGTACACGCCTTTGTTTGCCTTACTAATGAGAATTAATAAATATATTTTTTATTTTTGATATATTAATATATTCAGCCGTCCATTAAAACAATAATTTTAATTTCTTCAGTGCCTTCAACTTCATTATCGACTTTGCAAGGTTTGTTTTTAATTTTCTTTAATTTGGAATTTCTTACATTTAAAAAATCTAAAAAACCAACTCCATCTGCAAATTTGCAGCCATCTTTAGACTTTTGTGTCATCATACTCGATGCAATTCTTTTGGCCAATTGTTAAAAATGTACATGCCTTTGTTTGCCTTACTAATGAGAATTAATAAATATACTTTTTATTTTCGATATATTATCAAATTCAGCCGTCCATAAAAATAATATTTTTAATTTCTTCAGTGTTTTCTACTTCATTATCGACCTCGCAAGGTTTGTTTTTACTTTGTTTACTTTCGGAATTGCTTAACTTTACCAAATCTAAAAACCCAATTCCATCTGCAACTTTGCAGCCATCTTTAGACTTTTGTATCTTCATACTCGATGCAATTCTTTTGGCCAATTGTTACAAATGTACATGCCTTTGTTTGCCTTACTAATGAGAATTAATAAATCAACCTTTTATTTTTGATATGTTAATAAATTCAGCCTTCCATTAAAACAATATTTTTAATTTCTTCAGTGCTTTCAACTAAATTATCGACATCGCAAGGTTTGTTTTTAATTTGCTTCATTTTGGAATTTCTTACATTTAAAAAATCTAAAAAACCAACTCCATCTGCAACTTTGCAGCCATCTTTAGACTTTTGTGTCTTCATACTGCATGCAATTCTTTTGGCCAATTGTTAAAAATGTACAACCCTCTGTTTGCCTTACTAATGAGAAATAATAAATATACTTTTTATTTTCGATATATTAATAAATTCAGCCGTCCATAAAAATAATATTTTAATTTCTTCAGTGCCTTCTACTTCATTATCGACCTCGCAAGGTTTGTTTTTAGTTTGTTTACTTTCGGAATTGCTTAACTTTACCAAATCTAAAAAACCTATTCCATCTGCAACTTTGCAGCCGTCTTTAGACTTTTGTATCTTCATACTCGATGCAATTCTTTTGGCCAATTGTTACAAATGTACATGCCTTTGTTTGCCTTACTAATGAGAATTAATAAATCAACCTTTTATTTTTGATATATTAATAAATTCAGCCTTCCATTAAAACAATATTTTTAATTTCTTCAGTGCTTTCAACTAAATTATCGACATCGCAAGGTTTGTTTTTAATTTGCTTCATTTTGGAATTTCTTACATTTAAAAAATCTAAAAAACCAACTCCATCTGCAACTTTGCAGCCATCTTTAGACTTTTGTGTCTTCATACTGCATGCAATTCTTTTGGCCAATTGTTAAAAATGTACAACCCTCTGTTTGCCTTACTAATGAGAAATAATAAATATACTTTTTATTTTCGATATATTAATAAATTCAGCCGTCCATAAAAATAATATTTTAATTTCTTCAGTGCCTTCTACTTCATTATCGACCTCGCAAGGTTTGTTTTAATTTGTTTACTTTTGGATTTTCTTAACTTCACCAAATCTAAAAAACCAATTCCATCTGCAACGTGTCAGCCATCTTTAGACTTTTGTATCTTCATACTCAAAGCAATTCCTCTTGGCAATTGTTACAAATTCACAACCCTCTGTTTTCTATACTATTGAGAAATAGTAAATCTACCTTTTATTTTCGATTTATTAATATATTCAGCCGTCCATTAAAAGAATAATTTTACTTTCTTCAGTGCCTTCAACTAAATTATCAACTTTGCAAGGTTTGTTTTTAATTTTCTTGATTTTGGAATTTCTTAATTTTAAAAAAACTAAAAAACCAATTCTATCTGCAATTTGTCAGCCATCTATAGACTTTTGTATCTTCATACTCGAAGCATTTCCTCTAGGCAACTGTCACAAATGTAAACGCCTTTGTTTGCCTTACTAATGAGAAATAATAAATCAACCTTTTATTTTCTTTTTATAAATTGATTAAGCCGTTCATTAAAACAATATTTTTAATTTCTTCAGTGCTTTCAACATCATTATCGACCTCGCAAGGTTTGTTTTTAATTTTCTTTATTTTGGAGATTCTTAACGTTACAAAATCTGAAAAACCAATTCCATCTGCAACGTGTCAGCCATCTTTAGACTTTTGTATCTTCATACTCAAAGCAATTCCTCTGGGCAATTGTTACAAAAATACAAGTCTTTGTTTGCTTTACTAATGAGAAATAATAAATCTACCTTATTTTCTATTATAAAACATTCAGCAATCAATAAAAACAACATTTTTACTTTCTTCAGTGTCTTCCACTTCATTATCGACCTCGCAAGGTTTGTTTTAATTTTTTTACTTTTGAATTTCTTAATGTTACAAAATCTGAAAAACCAACGTGTCAGCCATCTTTAGACTTTTGTATCTTAATACTCGAAGCAATTCCTCTGGGCTACTGTTACAAATGTACACGTCTTTGTTTGCCTTACTAATGAGAAAAAAAGGATGTACCTTTTATTTTTGAAATATCAATAAATTCAGCCGTTCATTAAAACAATATTTTTAATTTTTTCAGTGCCTTCAACTTCATTATCCACTTTGCAAGGTTTGTTTTTAATTTTCTTCAATTTGGAATTTCTTACATTTATAAAATCTAAAAAACCAACTCCATCTGCAACTTTGCAGCCATTTTCAGACTTTTGTGTCTTCATACTCGATGCAATTCTTTTGGCCAATTGTTAAAAATGTACAACCCTCTGTTTGCCTTACTAATGAGAAATAATAAATATACTTTTTATTTTCGATATATCAATAAATTCAGCCGTCCATAAAAATAATATTTTTAATTTCTTCAGTGTTTTCTACTTCATTATCGACCTCGCAAGGTTTGTTTTTAATTTGTTTACTTTCGAAATTGCTTAACTTTACCAAATCTAAAAAACCAATTCCATCTGCAACTTTGCAGCCATCTTTAGACTTTTGTATCTTCAAACTCGATGGAATTCTTTTGGCCTATTGTTACAAATGTACACGCCTTTGTTTGCCTTACTAATGAGAATTAATAAATATATTTTTTATTTTTGATATATTAATATATTCAGCCGTCCATTAAAACAATAATTTTAATTTCTTCAGTGCCTTCAACTTCATTATCGACTTTGCAAGGTTTGTTTTTAATTTTCTTTAATTTGGAATTTCTTACATTTAAAAAATCTAAAAAACCAACTCCATCTGCAAATTTGCAGCCATCTTTAGACTTTTGTGTCATCATACTCGATGCAATTCTTTTGGCCAATTGTTAAAAATGTACATGCCTTTGTTTGCCTTACTAATGAGAATTAATAAATATACTTTTTATTTTCGATATATTATCAAATTCAGCCGTCCATAAAAATAATATTTTTAATTTCTTCAGTGTTTTCTACTTCATTATCGACCTCGCAAGGTTTGTTTTTACTTTGTTTACTTTCGGAATTGCTTAACTTTACCAAATCTAAAAAACCAATTCCATCTGCAACTTTGCAGCCATCTTTAGACTTTTGTATCTTCATACTCGATGCAATTCTTTTGGCCAATTGTTACAAATGTACATGCCTTTGTTTGCCTTACTAATGAGAATTAATAAATCAACCTTTTATTTTTGATATATTAATAAATTCAGCCTTCCATTAAAAAAATATTTTTAATTTCTTCAGTGCTTTCAACTAAATTATCGACATCGCAAGGTTTGTTTTTAATTTGCTTCATTTTGGAATTTCTTACATTTAAAAAATCTAAAAAACCAACTCCATCTGCAACTTTGCAGCCATCTTTAGACTTTTGTGTCTTCATACTGCATGCAATTCTTTTGGCCAATTGTTAAAAATGTACAACCCTCTGTTTGCCTTACTAATGAGAAATAATAAATATACTTTTTATTTTCGATATATTAATAAATTCAGCCGTCCATAAAAATAATATTTTAATTTCTTCAGTGCCTTCTACTTCATTATCGACCTCGCAAGGTTTGTTTTTAGTTTGTTTACTTTCGGAATTGCTTAACTTTACCAAATCTAAAAAACCTATTCCATCTGCAACTTTGCAGCCGTCTTTAGACTTTTGTATCTTCATACTCGATGCAATTCTTTTGGCCAATTGTTACAAATGTACATGCCTTTGTTTGCCTTACTAATGAGAATTAATAAATCAACCTTTTATTTTTGATATATTAATAAATTCAGCCTTCCATTAAAACAATATTTTTAATTTCTTCAGTGCTTTCAACTAAATTATCGACATCGCAAGGTTTGTTTTTAATTTGCTTCATTTTGGAATTTCTTACATTTAAAAAATCTAAAAAACCAACTCCATCTGCAACTTTGCAGCCATCTTTAGACTTTTGTGTCTTCATACTGCATGCAATTCTTTTGGCCAATTGTTAAAAATGTACAACCCTCTGTTTGCCTTACTAATGAGAAATAATAAATATACTTTTTATTTTCGATATATTAATAAATTCAGCCGTCCATAAAAATAAGATTTTAATTTCTTCAGTGCCTTCTACTTCATTATCGACCTCGCAAGGTTTGTTTTTAATTTGTTTACTTTCGGAATTGCTTAACTTTACCAAATCTAAAAAACCAATTCCATCTGCAACTTTGCAGCCATCTTTAGTCTTTTGTTTCTTGATACTCGAAGTAATTCCTCTGGGCAATTGTTACCAATTTAATTTTTTTTTTTGCCTTTCTAGTGAGAAATAATAAATATACCTTTATTTTTGATATATTAATAGATTCAGCCGTCCACTTATACAATATTTTTTAACTGTCTTCAGTACCTCCAGCGTCATTATGGACCTTGCAAGGTTTGTTTTGAAATTAATCTAATTTGGAAATTCTTAATTCTAGAAAATGTACAAAACTAATCCTGTTTGCAACTTTACAGGCTCTTGCTCACGACAATGTTTTTAGCCCTCTTTTCAACCTCATTATCAGAAAAACCGATTTGCTTATTTTGACTTTTGGTAACATTAATTTATCCATAATTCATTAATCACATAAAAATATATATGATAAATCAATTTGTTTAAATTTTATAGCATCGTCAGCTTCATTATCTACATTGTCAGGTATGCTTTGATTTTCTTCTGTTGGCCCTCTTGAAGTGTTGAATGAGGTAAAATGCCATTCTAGCTATTGTATTTATTCGAGAGAAATTGCTTTTTTCTGTACAAAGATTCTTTTGCTGTATATTTTTACCGAGTTTTAAATTATACTAATGTATTTTGTGTACAATCTTTTCTATTTAAAACAATTTTCATTCAGATTCATGGTAACAGAATAACTTGCCTAGACTCAATAAGATATCTTCTTTCCTTTTACAGTATCCTCGGCTTCACTGATGTTTTCACAAGGCATGTTTTTATAATATTAAATTACCAAATTCTTTGACCTCATAGAAAATGTTAAATTAACTTTGATCTAAAACAGTAAATTTATGCTGTAAATTTGCTTTAGATCTTGATTCATTTCAAGTAAAGCCTTTTTATATTTTGGTTCACATAATCTAGTTATGAACTTGAGGGTAGGCATTTCTTCAAAGCCTAAAAATATTTCTAACTCTCTTTTATTCTTTCTTGTTCCCGCTACTTTTTGCTCTACCAGCACCGGGCTTCAGGTTTTCTACAACTTAAGGCATTTCATGTTGTTTCTTCATTCTACTCAAATATCAATTGTTACATGAGGTACTTATCATCGGTGTTAACTGGCCATTCAGTCTCAAGCCTCTGTATGAAAAATGTCATTTTCAAGTGCTACTTTAGTTTTCAGCTCTCATAGAACTTTGGAAGAGGTAGAAGCTTATAAGGGTAGGATAATTCAGGTTTTGCAAATCTCATTCCAAAGAAATTTTGAAAACCTGTGACTTGCTAATGCTATGGATGGCATTAGCAAGTGACAAGATCATATTTTGAGCACCTATGACAATGCCATAAATTTTTTTGTCTTTTCTTCATTCTGTAGTAAACAGTATCGTCGGAGAGACGCCAGTTGCATTTTACACGAACATTCTGTTTTCTGGAAAGGCACTTCAGAGCCATATTGTACATACCCTTGATGTGAAGTCTGTGGAGCAATGTTTCTCACACTGCCTCGAATGTCTCCAGCGTAGTGATGGATGTTTTTGTGCTTCTTTCAACTATAGAAAATCTGGGACAGGCAATGGCCGTCTTTGTGAAATCAACAAGGAAAACCATGAAACGGTTCCAGGTGACTTTAAAGTCATGGAAGGGTCACAGTATTATGTAGTCTATTAATTTCATCAATGTGGGAATTTCCCTACTAATATAAATGTTAATAGATCCCCTGTTGTATATGATAATACACTGATGCATACACATTTTTAGATGAGAGAAACAGCTCAATGATCAACTATGGTTTGTGCGGAGCAAATGACACTTTTCTTACTGACGCAATCCAAGGTGGCCACTTACCAGTGAAATAATCTTAGGGTCCAGTGGGGAATTTCCCTACTAATATAAATGTTAATAGATCCCTACTGAACCACTGTTAACAAAATTTGAAAGATTATGTAAAAAAAGGTTCTGGATTTGAAAACTTTCAAACTTGGCTGGTCCAAACAAGTTTTAATAGCATTGATATCTATGTCTAGATTTTCTTTTTCTTGTTAGGAATGGATTTTTGATACTATACAACTTTGATTTTACTACTTAGGTAAACTGTCAATTCTTCATTTCTCATATTCTCAAAAATTATCTTTCGCAGGAATTTTAACCATCGCAATGTCTTCCTCCATCAACCTCCATTATTTTGAGGAAAAAATTTATCAATTTAACAATAGAAAATGCGCACAGATCGGCCTAAGAAGAAATGTTTTTACATTATCTGTCGCCTTTCCCACTTTGTAAGTTATATTCACTTTGCATCCTCTGTAATATTTACCTGTCAGTAATGATTACTGGTGCCCTGACCTATTTTCTCTTAAAATTGTTTCACAAATTTTAATGTGATATGCATTAGGTAGCTTATTCAATTTTAAAGTTCTGTCTCCCTAATTTGAGCGAATAAACAAAAGTGAGATAAAAGATCCTGGAATTATTTTAAGCTTAATTTACATTTCTGGTGGTCCATATTTTGTTCTAAATAATGTACTTGAGCTTGTGGCAAATTGGAAAGTATGTACAAAGAAACAACAATGATACCGCTAAAAATCTAATGTTAACGGCAAGTTTAGGAAATTTAAGTTTAATTTCAACAAATGGCTGGAAGTAACACGTTTCCGGAGGCTTGAAAAATGCACGGTGAGCAAAATTTTGACCTTCCAAGTTTTCAAATCTGGTCGTTTCATTGGAAAGAGCTTGCAAAACAGAGTAAAAAAATGGCTGTCAAAAAATGTTTTTGTTGAAAGATTCTCTGAAGATTAATGATAGTACAGTAACATAACTGTAGAACAATGCATTTTATGATACAAGGATGAAGTTTGGTGCAAGTACACGATTGGATATTGTTTTAATCAAAACTCTTCTCATTTTGCAAACAATTGGTAAATTTACTCTTCAAAATAAAACTGATAAAAGAGACAATAACTAGAAGAGTTTTAACAAAACGTGTTTGCACTATCAACAATAAAACATCAGTTTGATTTTCGATATAAAGTTTGTTTTTGTTTTAATTCATCAATCATTATGCATCACATCAATGCAACCGGGAGATTACTGGCAAGTTTATTTCTGTGTTCGGTTAAAATGTCAATTTTACATCAGGAATGGTTTTCTGTCTTATAAATAATTGAACAAATCATTGAATTTTTTAATCTTATTGGAAAGCATTTCCATTCTCAAATGAAGTGAACTAAAGTATAAAGCAATGTCACTCTTCAAATTATTGAATATACCATTGAAATTGTGATCGACTTAAGAAGTCCTTGAAATTAAACTCATCATTGCTTGGAAGAGTGAAGTTGGAGCAAACACTTATTCACTAACAAGGCTTACTTGTGCAAGTGAGAAATAAACACAGTTCGCTGGAATGCTTCAAGGTAATAAATCCTGCATTTTCTCGTAAATTGTTGCAGTATAAAGCTGTTAGAGTTTGAATCATTTCCGTATACCCATAAAAAGTGTCAGTTGATAACATGAAATACTACAGGTTCTAAAAGTCTTTAATTGTGCAGTCTTTATTTAAAGACATCCTTTATCTTCCACAGAGTTTCACTAGAACAACTGTTTAAAACAAGGCAGCTCAGTGAGTCATATTTGAAAAAAATATGCAGAAATTCCGTTGCAATTTCCTACTTTCTTTGGCAATTCAATTGACCAAAAACATTTGCACTGCTGTGGCCTTGAACTTGTACATGTTTAACTGTGGCGAGCCTTGCAAAGGAAAACTTTGTTCTCAAGACAACGGCTAAATTGTGCGATAATGACATTATGTTGTTCTTCTCGGATCTTTTCGAAACCCATAATTCTTCTTGCAGGAAGTTACCATTCTCTAAAGCTTCACATTTTCCAATATGAATGCCTGTAGATAAACATGTTCTTTATCTTCGAGTATTTTCATATATTTTTCTACCTGAAATTGTTATGTTCTTTATTTACCCTTCAATCTTTTATCCCGAAACACGATTGGCTTAATGGGATAGACGTCCAAAAGTTAATTTTTTTGCGTCAGCAGAATTTGTCTTTGCCAACGTCTGCTACTCATCCACTCCATTTAACAGATAACAGACAAAGGCAACAAAATCTGGTGTGTTCTTTGTTTGCTAGCAGTGGTATGGAAGTCGATATAGAATTTTGCTTCAGACCATATTAATCTTTTTAGGCCCTTTCTCTCTCTCTCTCTAACTGGCACTAGGCAGCATTGAAAGTTTGAGAAACATAGTTTAAAGCTTTTTTATGTTCCTCTTCGTCAAACTTAATTGACAGTTGATTAAACCCCCTTTCCAACAACAGCCAAATTTGTAGTTAAACAGGCTTGCGAACAATCCCAAAATAGCAAGATTAGATTAGATCGTTCTGTCACTTCAACTTGGAATGGTTAATTGTTATTGACATTTTGACCATTTGGGTCCAAATTCTTTAATTTGTCTTTTGTCATAAACTTTGCCAAGTAATTTGTGAGAGTTCTCCATTCATTATGGCTTAATATAGCTGTTACACTTTGAACAATAAAAGTACTTTTTATACAATCTTGTTTGAAGTACAGTTGTAACAGAATATTCTTGTTTAAATTACAAAATTTTGTTTTTAAATAAATGCGTTGATTGTGTTAATAAGATTGTGTTTTTAAATAATTATGCCACTTGGCATTTGCATGCACAATCGGTTAAAGGTCGACTTTGCCTAAACTATTTTCACAGTTTCTTTCCAATGAGTCAATAACTTGCCTCACTTTTAATCTTAGAAAAAATATTTACCAAAACCTTTCTCTAAACCTTTTTGGTTTTCAAACCTTCCTCCGGTCAATGACCGTGCGATCGTAATGTTTTTTTGACTCTGCACATTTCTGTTTTCAATTTTAGCAAAAATGTTATTGTTTATACAGGTAGCAATTTATACAGGTCTTCTTTTTCAAGTTGCTGATTGCTTACCGACTATTCCTTTTTATGTGGATCTTTGCATAGATTAATAAATGAAAGACCGAACGGAACAATGCTACGAAATGCGATGCCGTTCCTGTTTCTTTCGATCTTCTGCTATACAATGACCAAAAAACTTGTCTTTGGCTCAGGTAAGCATTACTAGCAGGTTTTGATAGATTTTAATATGATTATTGTTAACGTTGTGTGTGTGTGTTTGCATGTACTTGACATTTTTTTGACTCATTTTCAAACAGAAAGTTGTGCTGGCTCCGCTTGCCGAGATAAATTAATCCCGGCTTTATATGCAGCGAGCTAGCCCGGACAGCTGTGCTGAGTGCATTTGTTTGAAAAATTGCTAATTGATGACCAATAGCAAAAAACTTACATAAAGAAAGCTAAAGGGATATAGGATAAAGCTAAAGGAACTGGTCTCACATACGATGTCCTCCGATGCAGCTGAGTTCTTATGCAAATTAAATAGAATTTGAAATTGTTTTTAGCGTATCAGAATTTATATGCTTTATTTAACTTATTTGCTAACAATCTCTGTGAGAATCCTACCTCTATGCAATTCTTATTTTCTTAGACGAGATATTTATAAAAACATCTAATAAAACTCGAATTTGAAGATTCGTGGATCTATAGACTTTTCCTTTACAGCTTCATCAGTTTCGTTGCCAATTGTGTTCACATATTGTTTACTTTTCCACCTTTTAAAGTTGTAAGATAAAGGTTAATTTTCTTCGTTAACATTAAGATTTTTCTAGATTTTTTCTCCACTGCCTGATAGAAATTAATCAGCTTTTAGCCGTTGTATTTCACAATTCCATTCGTCGGATCAGATTCATGATTCCCTACTACATGTGTAAATTATTAAATCTTTCTTAAATCTTTCTCTATCAATATTAGTTCATCGTAAAATCTGCTAGGTATAATTTAATTTTGACTTGGACAATAAATACTTGGTAGATTTGAAAATAAACAGCTCCAAATGGAATATATGCATTTTTATCAGATTTAGTATATTCAAAGATACGCTGTTATGTACTTTAAAAACTCTGAGAATTGATTCCATATTGTGATGGCCTTGCCATTTTCCATGTCGTGACTTAGCCATTCTAAGCACATCAATCACATTTTAGACTGCAATATGAAAATGGAGTCATTGCAAAGCAACTTCACTTCACCTGGATACCCGAAGAGTTACCCTCATAATGCATACTGTCGCTACGAAATCATTGTTCCAAGGGAGAAGCAGATACTTCTTACGTTTAACGATATTTGGACGGAGCAACAGTTTGACTATCTGACCATAGAGCAGCTCCTTAACGGCTCCTTGCAGCATGTTGGAACCCTGTCTGGGATAATCTCAAATTTGACATTTCTTTCGGCTGAGAATGCTTTCAACATAACCTTCAGAAGTGACAGTGGGTATTCATACCGAGGGTTTTCGGCATATTATGACACTGTGGACACAGGCAAGCTCTGATTAGTATTCCAATTACACATTTTGATCTTGCAATTTTCCTTCCCCTTGATCCAAAGACTCGACAAACTTCTCACTTTAGGCACCTTTCATATGGCACCGCGCAGCCTTTGGGTTAGCAGGGGCTATAGCCCCACCACTTTTTTGCAATAATAGGTTAGAAAATATTTTGGACAATTTACTCTAACTATGCTCTAGCGCAATATTGGATAGTATGCTCCTAAGGAGTAGCAGTTTTTTCTTCACTGGGTACCCAGTTTTTCTTGCTATTTCATTATCCCTAAGCTAATTCTATCTATTTTCATAGCTTTTTATATCTTCTCTGAACCATTTTGTTTATAAAACTTCAACAGAAATAAGAAAGTGTTTTCTTAAAGGGGGGTTTTCCGGTGTTTCAGAGGGCACGGCCTCAAAAAAATTCCGGTCATGCCTTTTCAGCCCTCCCACATTTGGACTGGTACGCAGTCCCTGGCTTTCATCACGCCTTTTATTTTACTTTCCTTTTTAATAATCGAAGCTTTAAAATGATGTTATTAAAGAGATTTATAATTTCATAATACTTACTTTTAGAAAGTGACATAAAAGATGGTAGCAGAATGACCTATATAAATATACAAGGCTTTTTCTTTTCTTTCTTCAGAACCTTCAGCTTCACTTTACACTTCCGAAGGTGTGTTTCATTTTATATTCTCTTTGCACTTTTACATGTCATAAGGACAGGCAGCCAAAAAAAATAAAGATATAGCTAGTATGCATTTTTCAAGCTTTTGTACTTTATAATTTACAAAAAAATATGCCACTCTCTTTTTACACCTTTCATGTCAAGAGATCATTTCTTGACAAAAATTTCGAGCAACGTTTCAGCTTTAATTTTTTTAACCTTTATATGTTTGTTTAGAAGTTAATGATCTTTAGCATTTTCAAATGTCATAAGAAGTAATAAAAGTCAATCCTCCTCGTGACAATTTTACATGGTGTATTTCGTGTGATTCTAAAAGAAAATTTGTCCCCCTTTTTAATTATTATCATCAAACATTTCAACCGTCGATCTAGATTTACAACAGCTGTAAAATACTTTTACTCTCTTTAGTGCCTACAACTTCATTGTCCACATTTCAAGGTATGCTGCTAAATTGATTGATTTTGCAATATTCAAATCTTATAAAAAGTAGCGAAATTAATTTGTATTGAAGCTATTAACGGTAATTATGAAGCTTTTTGTATTTTCTTACTCATGATAGAATATGAAGCTATTTTATCCGATTCTATCCCCTTTCTTTCATAAATGTCAATTGCTGATCCAGATTTCTTATAACACACACTTATGTGCATGAATTTATAAGCCAACCTTTTCAATATTTATGGCATTGTCAGCCTCGACGTTAAATTCGCCAAATATGTTTTTAAAGAAACGTCACTGCTAGCTTTAAAATAATACATGAAAAAAATCCCTCTAGGCTACTGTTACAAATGTACATGCCTTCTTTTGCCTTACTAAACAGAAGTAAGCACCTTATATATTATATATTAACTTATATATCCAAGCATTAAGCCGTCGATTTATGCAATATTTTTACTTTTTTCAGTGCCTTCAACTTCATTATCGACCTCGCAAGGTTTGTTTTTAATTTGCTTGATTTTGGAATTTCTTGACTTTAACAAATCTAAAAAACTAATTCTATTTCCAACTTCACAGCCATCTCTAGGCTTTTGTATCTTCATACTCGAGGCAATTCCTCCAGGCAATTAATACAAATTTACACGCCTTCATTTGCCTTACTAATGAGGATAATAAATCTACCTTTTAATTTCTATATTCAAAAATTCAGCCATCGATTTATACAATATTTTTTAACTTTCTTCAGTGACTTCAACTACCTTACCAACCTCACAAGGTTTGTTTTCAAATTAATCTTATTTGGAATTTCTTAATTTAAAAAAAGCAGAAAACTAATTTTATTTTCAATCTTATAGGATCTTGCTCACGACAATGTTTTTAGCCCACTTTTCAGCCTCATTATTATTATTATTATTTCAACCTCATTTTTAGCGGTTTTTATAATATTTAATTACCAAATTCTTTGACGTCATAGGAAATGTTACATTAATTTTGCTCTTAAACGCTCAATTTTTGCTGCTGATTTTCTTTTCTATTTAGTGCAAAAGAAAACCAGCATCAAGCTTTTGCCCCCTTTGGACTAAATACAAGCAGCAAGAATTTATAAACTTAGAATTTAATTTTGTCCCTAAATTTTCTGCAACTTCAGTAGTTCTTGTATTTAACAAGCACATTTATTCATCATTTTTGGCTTAATGCAAATTGATTCATGCAGATTTATGAAAATATCTTTTCTCTTTTCTTTAGCATCTACTACTTCATTCCCTTCTTCGCCTGGTATGTTTTCTTATTAACTGTTATTTTCACCCAATGACTTTTTAAGAAGCAGATACTGAGTTTGCTTTTAAATAATGACATAAATAATGATGTTTTTCTTCCGATATGAATTAATAGGAAGTATCTACATAAGATAAGGAAACAATATCATTTGTCTACATAAACATGAAAAGTCACTATTGTGTAGACAGAAAGAGTTGTTTTCACATTAGGACTCCATTGGTAACAATCTCTATAGCAAGTGGCACTGATTGGGCAACCTTAACAGTCATGTGATCGCGTTTCTTATTGGCCTATTTCCATCCACAACTGGGTATATATTTTTCCTAGCGTAGAGTTTTCAATCTATGTTCTGACGTTTTAAACTCTGAAGAGTGTCAGACGAAAAGCTTTAGTATACTCATATATTTCCTTTTTTTGTAGCAAATTTTAAGTTCTGTACCACGAAAAAATTGTTTGCAAATAAAAATCTAGTTTCAATTGTTTATCGAGCATTGTTACAAATAAGTCTTTTCTTTCTTCTGCATCAATGTCTACCAAAGCAATTCGTTTTTTTCAACATTTGTATGTCTAAATGTAAAGACAAAAGAACTTGCAACGTAACCATCATAACTACTCAAATTGTTGTTGAGTATAACTTGTATACAGAGGAGCTCTCCTCCCAATGTTCTCTTTCTTATATAGAAATTTATGAATTAATTGAAATCTGTGCTGAAAATATTATATTTTTAGCTCTGTGATTCTTTTCATTTCTACTCTACATTTCCATGATAACTCTTATAGTTTGTGACGTCAAAAGAAATAGAATTGCACTGTGCCTTATATCTTTACATTTAACTTGGAGTTTTTTCTTGTTGATTCAACAAAGGTTACTTTTGATTTAAACCATAAATTCAAATTGATAGAATAAAATAATAATTGCAATGGAAAGTTTTATTTATTTTCTCCTTCAAATATCTTTAGCGCCATTTTCCTTTCCGCAATGTAGTATTATATCTTAAGTCATTTCAAGTAAAGCCTTTTTATATTTTGGTTCACATAATCTAGCTATGAACTTGAGGGTAGGCATTTCTTCAGGGCCTAAAAATATTTCTAACTCTCTTTTATTCTTTCTTGTTCCCGCTACTTTTTGCTCTACCAGGACCGGGCTTAAGGTTTTTCTACAACTTAAGGCTTTTCATGTTGTTTCTTCATTCTACTCAAATATCAGTTGTTACATGAGGTACTTATTATCAACAGTCGGTGTTAACTGGCCATTCAGTTTCAAGCCTCTGTACGAAAAATGTCCTTTTCAAGTGCTACTTTAGTTTTCAGCTCTCATAGAACTTTGGAAGAGGTAGAAGCTTATAAGGGTAGGATAATTCAGGTTTTGCAAATCTTACTCCAAAGAAATTTTGAAAACCTGTGACTTGCTAATGCTATGGATGGCATTAGCAAGTGACAAGATCATATTTTGAACACCTATGACAATGCCAATAAACTTTTTTGTCTTTTCTTCATTCTTTAGTAAACAGTATCGTCGGAGAGACGCCAGTTGCATTTTACACCAACATTCTGTTTTCTGGAAAGGCACTTCAGAACCATATTGTACATACTCTTGATGTGAAGTCTGTGGAGCAATGTTTCTCACACTGCCTTAAATGTCTCCAGCGTAGTGATGGATGTTTTTGTGCTTCTTTCAACTATAGAAAATCTGGAACAGGCAATGGCCGACTTTGTGAAATCAACAAGGAAAGCCATGAAACGGTTCCAGGTGACTTTAAAGTTATGGAAGGGTCACAATATTATGTAGTCTATTAATTTCATCAATGTATTTCCCCTAAAATTATTTTTAAAAGAGTGAGAAGCCTCCTTCTGAACTACACGACATCATTTTTACCCTTTACAAAGCATCGTCATGCCAAAATTGTTCTGATGTTTGTTTATCACATGAAGCATTTCGACTTAAGGGGTGGAGAGGCCTGAAGTGGAGAGATCTTCTGTTATGTGCTACACAGAAAATTTTAAAGGAAATTTAGCGGACAATAGCGGAGAGGCGTGAATCGTCATTTTGATACGTTTGTTTATATTAATATTAATTTCAGTAACAAAATTATGATTCGCACCACAAATATATACGTACACACTGTTTTCTGGCTTTGGTATTAGGTTTGACATCCCACGTCTGTTAGGACCTATCGTATGCTTGCGGTTTCGGGGCCTGAACAAAAGATATTGTAGACTGATGAATATAAAAATGTTGCAAACAATTACAGGCCTATTTTAGTTCTGTTCGTCTTAGCGATTATATTAGTTAATATTGTATATCATAAGTAAATGGCATATCTAGGATGACAAAACAAACTTAGATCTCGCCAGTTTGGAAGCGGTAATGTAACATATCAATCGCATGCTGTAGAACACTGACGAAGAAGAAATTGATTTCTTTTAATATCAAAGAAGCATCTGACAGCGCAGGGCATGGAAACTTTTTGCCAATGCTACGGAAGACATCGTCAATGCTAGTTCCCAGGGTACTTTCAAAAATTTAGGGAGCAGTTCAGTTATGCTGATAGATGTAGCTCAGCTTTAGCAGAACTGTTATCGTTTTGTGGCATTCCGCAAGACTCGTCTTTAAGAACCTTGCTTCTCATACTTCCTAAAAGTGATTTTGTAAAGTGTTTGGCAGGGCTGCGGAGAGGATTGATGGGCCCCGGATCAAGACGAAAGATGCATACCTTAGGCAGATGCTTCTAGGGGGTAGGGGGATGCTCCCCAGGAATTTTTGAAATGATGGTTGCTAAAATTGCTCTTGTGGCTATTTTGGTTGCCAAAATTGCTCTTGTGGCTATTTTGATTGCCAAAATTGCTTGGGTGGCTATTTTGGTTGCTATAATTGCTATGGTGGCAAAACTGTTCTGGTGACAGTAGCGTAAATAGAGGGGCTCACAGAGGGCAACCCCCCCCCCTCCCCTGTATAGCTAAACTTCTATTTTGTCGGAAAATATCTGGATTTGTCGGAAATTTAACACAGTTGTCTATGTTTACCTAATTGCTTTGTTTCGATATGAAAGAATTTAAAGTTAAATAAACATAAGAATATATGAATATATAAAAAGTTTTTTTTGTCAGTTCCGATGTCGTTATATTATGTTGATATTTAGGGCAAAAATATAAATGCTTTTTAGATTTTTGTCGGAAATTCTAAGTTTCTCACTCCTCCTGTGAATTTTTCTATCTACGCAATTGTCTGTTGGCTATTATTTCTGTTTGCTGTTTGATAAGCTTTTCAACTTCTTTACCCCAAGCCCACTAAGATGAGAAAATATCTTTATCATTCAGGCAATCAAAAACTCAAACTGCTTCTACTGCTTCAATATTGGCCATTTTTGCCACATTAGGTGTTGTGATTAAAGTTGCTTGGTTTGCCTTTTTGAAAACATATTGCTCTAACTCCTTACCCGTTATATCATCTAAAACGTTTTCCCCAATTTATCTTGCTCTGTCAACATTTGCTCCCTCTTCTCCTATGACACCTGTTGCGATGAAACTGAAGGAAAGATCATCAGACTTATTGCATCCATGAATTTAACAATTTGCCTTGTATCGTTTAGATCTCTTTTTATTCTTGCTGTCATTGTGTCTTTATATTGCTCGCTCGTGGTATGTTTTACTCCTGTGAATTCGAGCAATGCATTGTTTACTTCAGCTGAAACTTGCATTGACAGCACCCATACCAGCCATTGAATTTCCGACATTCCTCTTCCATGGGTCACTCCACCAGTGGTTTTAAGATTTCTCATCAAAACCTGTTCTATTACAAAATCTGATGAAAGACCAGCCCAGTAACGTTCGGATCGACGTATGACATGAAATCCATAAGCAAATGCAGCCTGAATGGAAGGTTTTTCTGCTTTAAGCTTCTTCTAGGGGGCAAAAGTCGACATTCGAAACAATTTATGGTTCCGATTTACGGAAACTGCGCATGGCACAATGGCAACTATGGTCTTGCGCAGAAGTTCATCATAACTACTACGTACGAGTCCCTACCATCCCTAGCTTCGGAAGCTTTTTTGAGGAGGAAAAATTTTGAATGTACATGTTTTTTGATCAATGCTAAATGCTACTAGGTTGTTGATAACGTCATCAACTTTGTCATATTTTAGCCTTTATTTTAGAGCATTTCCACTACTTGGGTTTTAGGGGACTTTTTCTCTAGTACAAAGGTCCAAATAACACCATAAATAGTTTTTGTTGCAATTAGTTTAGGAACGCATATTGGTGTAGTTTGGCCTAACTATAATAAAAAAATTTAACTACAAGTTTCAAGCTGTGTTTTCTAACATGTTCTATACCTGTTGCTTTCTCAACATTAGAGGTTGAATTCTTTGGAGGTTTAATGGTTGCCAAGAGTTTTCGGTTCAACCATTTTTGTTGATAGATATTTTAATATTGTCATAAAGAATTCGCTTCTCAAAGGCATAGAGTTTCCTAAGAGGGATTTGGGACTGTCTCTCCTGTACCACTCAAGGCTGACAGCACCCGTTTCCTCACCAAACAAAGAAAGCACTGCTATGATTCCCCCTCTGGATTCTAACGCTCGGCCAACATTTTAGACAGGCTGGGGGACTTCAGCCTCCATTCCGCCATTTTTTGCAAAAAATTGTTTTGAGAAATACAGAGAAGAATAAAATGAAAGGAATGAAAAATAATAGTGCAATAAATAGTTAATTTTGCATATCTTGCTTTTTTGTGCTTTCTTCATCGGTTTACAATTTACAAAGAGGCGGCCAAAGTCTACCCCCGATTAATATTTGTTCCAGGTTTCTAAACAAAAACCATTAGCAAATAGGGGTAAGATGGTCCTCAGAATGTTTTGCCATTGTCAATCATAAGACTGAAGGTGGTGTTCTCTCATCATTTGAACCATATATTTTTGGGCTGTCGGTGCGCCAATCGCAAAGACGGCCATAAATAAAACACCAACCGTTTTTGAGGGGGTTGAGAACAAGAACAATGGCCTTCTTCCGCCGTCTAGCAGCACCTTGTTCATGCAAAAAGTCGTAAGCCATACGGCCATTAACTAATGCACGAAAAAAAGAAGTAGAAAGTCAGCATGCATGTAAATAGAAACCCCTGAAAATTTCTAGATATGGGCTGGGTGGGTAGGGTCGCAAAGGAAAAAACCTTTCCTCTTCAAAGTCCAACTTCGAGTTGTCATGCAACGTGTGAGAATGAAACTGTGCTAAGACACAGTTTATATACCCAAGGCCAATGCACACTTGCACGCTTGTTGCTTTAGCCGTTACTGACTACCGCCCGCTACTAATGCTGGGATATGAAAATATTTGTCCAATGCCTGTAACCCCCGTTTTTTTTGACTGTTTGAATCATTTGAACGAAGGCCTTTTTCGGACGCAGTGAAATATTTGGTCAACGCTCTTTCTTCAAACGTAAGTATGTATTCAGGTATTTTCTATCAGCAGGTCGTTGTTCTGGCCATGCAGATATATTTTCTTCTAAGAAGCTGGTTCGTGATTGTGTTGCGGAGTTAGAGACAAAAATATTTCTCCTTCGACGTTATGCTTGTCAACGATTGTCTTTACGTCACAGATCGTGCTAATCTAATTGTAAAGAACAGTTGATTTTGGTAATCGATGTAGAACTAGGGGCTCCATTTAAAGCAAATTATGTTATTTTTAATGCATTGTCAAGTACCTGTATAGTGTAGGCGAACTCTGACTGCTGACAAAGTTTAGAACTATTCAGGTACGGGTTTAGGATTGGAAGGCAAGTTAATAAAGTGCACAATATTATCATGAAAATTTGTGATGTGTTTATGCCCGCTAACTATCCAAATCCATCGAGCGTTTTCACTCGACTCCTACTTCCGTTTTTGCATCAATCGATCATTTTCACTCCCAGCTCACACCTCCGTCGGCCAACACTGCCTTTTCAACGAAAATGTTGTAATATGAGATAACAACGAAGCTGTGAATATGATATGCGGAGCGAACTTTTAATTTGCACAGCAGGGTCAAAAGCGAGCTAAGAAATCCTAGACGGACAGTTTGATGACGGAAATGGCGAAGAGGAAGTTTTGTTTTGACCAAGGGAAAGGGGTGTACTGGACATGGCAGATTTGAAATTCAGATTTCGGTATTTTGTTGTCACGGTTTTTATTATTATCGTTTTTGGCGTTCATGCACCAAGGTACCTCTCAGCATGTGACAGCTCATAGAAAACCATACACAAGGTTTGGATAGGGATCAGCGTCGGATATTAAGCTAACTCTTTACTTATTTAGGATTGACTTGACTGTCAAGTCTAATGCTAGTTTCCACTTGAACCATTTTAAAAGCGGCGGCAATGGCCTACTGCCCCTTTAACTCTATAGCAATGTTCCTAAGAGCATTAAAACAGGGATGGCGCCAGAAAAGAAATGCTGGGGGGAGGTCTGTAATGTCAGAGTGTCGACAGTGAGTGTAATATAACACCATTTCCGCTGTGGTAATTCTAGTTCAAAAAGGAAAAAAATTGAAAAAAATCAAACAATGAAAAAAAGTAAAAAAATCACGAAGTGGAAGTTATGAAAGTGCCGACATTGCTTAAAATTTTTCAAAAATCGAAGTGCCGACGGGGGGCTCAATGAATTTTGGGGGGGCTCCTGCCCCCCAAGCACCCCCGGTAGCGCCATCCCTGTATTAGAAGCTTAGATACTTTTTTATAGATTTTGTGCATTATTTAAAGATTGGTAATGCTCAAGGTAATGCACAAACGGCGGGAAATTATATTTTCATATTGATAAAGACCTTTAGATTTGTTGCTAGATTGACGAAGTATGGATATGTTTGATGTAGATGAGAAAGAAATTATCACATATTTTTCAATCAGGGCTTTAAATATGGAGAAATCATTGAGATGCTTTCCGAGTGTCGTGGAATAGAAATAAGTTTAAAGACATTAAAGAGACGACTCAGAAGCTTAGCAGCTTTATCTTCAACTTTGCACCCACAGTCTGAGCAGAACATGTTGTACATGTAAGATCACTTTCCGAACTGATCAGTGATGGTTCGCCGTTTGAGCATTACCTTGCGCCTGCGTCAATTTTTTATACTTCCGCCGTGAGTTGACTTTCTTTTGCCGTGAGTTAGATTACTCATGCCGTGAATTGACTTTATTTTGCCGTGGTTGAGTTTGTTTTGTCGTGAGATAACTCTCTTCCGTAATTTTTAAATATATTTAATTCAATAAAATAAACCTCCATTAGCAATGTTCTCTAATTTCCCGACTTCAATTTTCCATTTGCTAGACAACATTAAACAGCGCTAAACATTTTTGACCAGGATCAAACTTTGCTCAACAACATTCTGAAAACCACTAAACAACACTAAACACGGTAGCAAAAGGATTAAATTTTTCACTGAACTTTTGACTAATCAAAAGTTGAGCGAAATGTTTAGTGAAATGTTTAGTCGTTTTGCCAGGGCTTTATGGGTCAATTATTCAAATAAAAACTGCCCTCTGATTGGCTTCACCTACACGAGTCTGCATTCCATGTAGCCCCAGGCAATTCAATTCAAACTCAGCTGAAGTTTATGTTGCTGCGATAGGCTATGTAGGCCTTGCAGTGGAACATACCAGAGTGGCGTTTATTCGACGACTCGCATTTTCAGCTTTAAAACTTTGAAGTAACGCATACTAAGTTCAATCTGAATCAGAATCTGTTTTACAGATCCTCGCAACCAGTGGCGGACACTTGGGGGGGGGCGAGGGGGGGCGACCGCCCCCCCCAATACTTTAGAGGACAATGGATTTTTGTTTTAAAACAATGGGAAATGTGACGTCATCTTATTAAAACAATAGGCTTGCCCCCCCCAATATTTGATCAAGTGTCCGCCCCTGCTCGCAACCCAAAATGGAAAGGTTAGGCCTTCTTCGCCCAAGAGATATCTTTATTGCACAGAAGTCTTCCGACAGCAAAAAATATGTCCAATGCACGCTTTTAATTTTAACGAATCATCTTTCATATCATATAACAATTTATTAATTCGTAAATAGTTTGAAATTTTTGGTTAAGTATAACATTTCATTTCTATGTCATGGGAAGAATATCGTCTATGGGTTTACAACATTCAAGGTATTTACGTTTTGATGGAAATCACCTATGAACTCCACTTTTCGTTCTGAACGGGAAGCGGTCCAGGGGATCGGAGCAGATAAAGTTGAGCATACCAAAACAGTTGCATTTGAGGTGAAATCTTGCTGTTTCATTTAAAACTTTCAAAATGACGATAGCCTCGTTGACTAGAGGTAGTTCTTCGAAAAAAGGATGATTCGTTTTATTATTCTTAGCGTTTCGTATTTATTGCTTTAAATTTCGAATATTACGTCATCAGCCTCACCAAAAATTTCCCCACGAGCTGCCGCTAATATTCTTACATACGGGGGTTGCAATGACGGTCTATGGATACTTTTAGCATAACGAGCTGCATTCAAAGATGGTGTTGCAGTGGGTGTCTCAAAAATTGGCCATTGTGAAATGTGACAGCACTGCACCCACATTTTAGCAGCAAGGAAGAAAACCACTTTGGGAACAAAGCAACTTTGTTATAATTGGGGCCCATCGAAACCCCTTCTCCAAAGGACAATAGAAGCTACGGTCCTGAAGCATTTAAACAAGCAAAAGCGCAGCAAAAACACCCTTTCGCGGTGGCCCTACTTACTAGTAAGGCTGGTTTTGGTGAATGCTTGAATACGATTTTAACTCTAATCGCTTCATGGAAAGCCTCATACTCAACTCAAAGGTAACTGTATATTCTCTATTTATTGCCTATTAATATTTGTTCCAGGTTACCTCACAAAACATTAGAAAATAAAGGTGAGCCAAATGCAATCAGGTAGAATGCCAATTTAGTCGTTGGCATCGTAAGGAAAAAACTTTGTTCTCCACAGTCCATTTTCAGATTGTCTTGCAACGTGTGTTGAAGAAACTATACCAAGAAAAAGCTTATATACTCAAGGCCAATGCAAACTTACACGATTGTTGCTTTGGCCTTATGAGGACAAAGCATCACAATCGTGCTATCTGTGCCAAAAACAAAAGCCTAATGGACACCTTAAAAAAAGGCATACCCTGTGAGGGGTTTAACGTGTTTTAATTTCTTCTAATAAAGCTTTATAAAAATTTCCTCAAGCTATATTTATCAAGAATTGGTTCTCAACGATCTCAATTTACAGTAGAGATCTGTTTCGACGCAACAATTTGTTTTGCGACATGGCATGCTAATGAGAAGAACGTATTTGCATTGTACAGGTTGTCAAATATAATGTTTGCTTACGCACCTAGAAGTCCAAATTTATCAGCAACCGTAGAAGCTCTCAATTGCAGATATTCAAATAGGCTTAACCCGTAGTTAGAAAATGAATTTAAGGCAAATTTTTTCCAAGTACGCGGTAAAACCCGGGGCAACATCACTTTGTTCAAAATTGGTGCGTCTTGGCTTGGTCTCATGGGCGTAACGGCAGCAGCTAGAAAACTTTTTCTCAGCTAGATGCTTCCCCGCTCCTATATTCTATGCCTGTGCCCTAATTCAAATGGCTCTGGAACCAAGAGTAGTCTTGCCCAATGTTTTTCTTTAAGCAGGGAAAATTTTAAATAGGTTTTATTACATGAATTAACATTGCCATTTTCTGTCATTAGTACAACAATTCTTTGCCTGTACTAATACTGTTGCATTGCTGCCACTAACCCCCCCCCCCCCCCCAAAAAAATCAACTCTAAATAGCCAAAGCTGCTTCTATTATAGATGGAGTCTTTCAAAGACAAGGAGGCCCCTGTCCCCACACCGTCATTTGCAGATGCAAAGGCCGAAAAGCGACATATCATCAAGAATCTCCTCATTGTCAGCTTTGCCTTCCTTCTCCTGTTCACTGCATTCCAGTCACTGTCTAATTTACAGAGCAGCTTGAATCGAGTTGGTGGTTTGGGTGTCGCATCACTAAGCGTCATCTATGGTGCATTGATCGTCTCCTGTCTCTTTGTGCCACCCCTTGTCATTGACAGGCTCGGCTGCAAGTGGACCATAGCTGCATCGATGTCTTGTTATTGTGCATATATTATTGCCAATTACTACGCAACATGGGCCACAATGATTCCGACGTCAATCCTTCTGGGTAAGTTTGAATCGTTCTCCTTCCCCCTCACCTCCTCGTACCTCACCTCACCTCCCCTCTTCTCACCTCACCTCCCCTCTTCCTCTCCTCTCCTCCCCTTCCCCACAAGGTTTCTTCGTCCATTCACTATCTGGCATTCAATCATTGGGTTGAATTTGTTGCATCCTTGGTGCAAAGGTCTCTTCTCCACCATTCCTTTATGGCCATCACTGGACGTGTGCAATGGTCATGAATAGTGCCACTGCCCCTGCTAACAAAGGGTACCCCTACACAAGTGTCAGGTCCTCTCCTGGGGTTTTCTTGCTTTACCTTCCCATGTAAAGAACCATCTTCTGAGGGTCCTATTCAATGGCGGTGGTGGAAGTTAACTGTACAGTGCTCACTAAGTAGGCAAATGCCTGGAGTAAACCGGGGCAGATCATTCTATGGAAAATCTCGCAAGCCTGTGGTGGAAATCCTATTGTTTTATCAGGAAATCCGTAGAATTCATATTGTTTTGGTGGAAATCTCGTACAATATTTGCAAAAGTTTTCCTCGGGGTAAACGTTGGACTGCAGTAGTTTCAGTGGTCACTAAGTAGGCAAATGCCTGGAGTAAACCGGGGCAGATCATTCTATGGAAAATCTCGCAAGCCTGTGGTGGAAATCCTATTGTTTTATCAGGAAATCCGTAGAATTCATATTGTTTTGGTGGAAATCTCGTACAATATTTGCAAAAGTTTTCCTCGGGGTAAACGTTGGACTGCAGTAGTTTCAGTGGTCACTAAGTAGGCAAATGCCTGGAGTAAACCGGGGCAGATCATTCTATGGAAAATCTCGTAAACTTTGGTGGAAACCCTTTTTTTTTATCAGGAAATCCGTAGAATTCATATTGTTTTGGTGGAAATCTCGTACAATATTTGCAAAAGTTTTCCTCGGGGTGAAGGTTGGACTGCAGTAGTTTCAGTGGTCACTAAGTAGGCAAATGCCTGGAGTAAACCGGGGCAGATCATTCTATGGAAAATCTCGTAAACTTTGGTGGAAACCCTTTTTTTTTATCAGGAAATCAGTAGAATTCATATTGTTTTGGTGGAAATCTCGTACAATATTTGCAAAAGTTTTCCTCGGGGTAAACGTTGGACTGCAGTAGTTTCAGTGGTCACTAAGTAGGCAAATGCCTGGAGTAAACCGGGGCAGATCATTCTATGGAAAATCTCGTAAACTTTGGTGGAAACCCTATTTTTTATCAGGAAATCCGTAGAATTCATATTGTTTTGGTGGAAATCTCGTACAATATTTGCAAAAGTTTTCCTCGGGGTAAACGTTGGACTGCAGTAGTTTCAGTGGTCACTAAGTAGGCAAATGCCTGGAGTAAACCGGGGCAGATCATTCTATGGAAAATCTCGTAAACTTTGGTGGAAACCCTTTTTTTTTATCAGGAAATCCGTAGAATTCATATTGTTTTGGTGGAAATCTCGTACAATATTTGCAAAAGTTTTCCTCGGGGTAAACGTTGGACTGCAGTAGTTTCAGTGGTCACTAAGTAGGCAAATGCCTGGAGTAAACCGGGGCAGATCATTCTATGGAAAATCTCGTAAACTTTGGTGGAAACCCCATTTTTTTATCAGGAAATCCGTAGAATTCATATTGTTTTGGTGGAAATCTCGTACAATATTTGCAAAAGTTTTCCTCGGGGTAAACGTTGGACTGCAGTAGTTTCACTGTTATGTGATCTCATCCGCAGGGTTTGCAGCAGCTCCACTCTGGTCCGCAAAATGTGCTTATCTGACAACAAGTGGAATCCGCTACGGAGAGCTAACGAAACAAACTGGAGATGCCGTGGTTACTCGCTTTTTTGGCATTTTCTTCCTCATTTTTCAGAGTGGACAGATCTGGGGCAACTTGATTTCTTCTCTAGTGCTCCAACAAAAAGGTAGGATATTCTGAAAGAAGGAGAATATCGATATCGAAAATATCAGAGAATTTCGTCCTAGAAACTAGATACTGCATGTACTGCTAATATGAAGTGAAATTGTTCCTTTTCGAATACAGTAAGTCAAACATTACGCAGATTTTTTTATTGGAAACATTTTATTCGAGAATGAAATAGTTACTATTATAAACAAAGGTGTTTACTAGAGTTGGTCTTGGCCCATTTTAAAGTTTAAGCTCATCACTTCCTACCTTGCCCCGATTTAAAGATATCTAAAAACACATTTGATGAGCAGAAGCACATTTACAAACACGACTGCCTGGAAAAACAGCAACGCAACGATTTTTAACCTAGAATGCTTCCTTCTTGTTTATTTAAAATTTGAATTGTATGTTTTTAGTAACATTAAAAGCTGAAGGAATTTTGTTCATAAATGATATAAGAAATAAGAAATTTATGCCTATATAGTATCTGAATATTCATACTACGCTTTAATCATGCTTACAAATTTCAGTAATGCTGTAAGCGGAATATCGGCTTTAAACTAAATATTACTCAATCGAAAATGCGCGCGCACTTTAGGGGTAATGACAAAGGAAACTGTAAAACTGCACGTCAAGGGTCAGGGTTGAATTCAAACCAAACAGGATAAGGAATTCTTGATCCTTTCAAATGCTATGACTTTCAAAATATATATTTGATGAAACCAGAAGATCAACCTCAACTAAGTTTCCAAAGTGACATATGGACTAAGGTTTCATACCCTTTGATTCAAGTGGAGTCCCGTATCTTATTTCCTAAGAATGTTTTTTCGTTCCTATTCGATAGAGGTCTTATATACCTTGAATCAAAGTGCCCTGCGATTATTTACATATACTTTAATTAAATCACTGTCTTGTATCCAACGTATCTATGACAAACTGTTGTATTAATCATCGTTTCGCCATCCCTTCTTGCTTGCGACTTACTAGTGAGGAAATCTTACGGTCTAGTAAGAAATTTCCAGAGTCAGGAAAACATTACGGTCGCACGGCCACTGACCGGAGGAAGGTCCACGAAAAACAATAGAAGCTCCTATGACACACCCAAGCCACGCCCACTTTATATTGTTTTGTGAGGAAGGTTTGCCCTCTGGGATGTTTTTGTCTGGAGGAAGGTTAACAACTTTTCTGGACTCTGGGAATTTCCCTACTAATATAAATGTTAATAGATCCCCCGTTGTATATTAAAATACACTGATTCCAATACATTTTTAGATGACAGAAACAGCTCAATGATCAACTATGGTTTGTGCGGAGCAAACGACACTTTTCTTACTGACGCAATCCAAGGTGGCCACTTACCAGTGGAATAATCTTACGGTCCAGTGGGGAATTTTCCTACCAGTATGAATGTTAATAGATCCCCCGTTGTATATGATAATACACTGATTCCAATACATTTTTAGATGACAGAAACAGCTCAATGACCAACTATGGTTTGTGCGGAGCAAATGACACTTTTCTTACTGACGCAATCCAAGGTGGCCACTTACCAGTGAAATAATCTTAGGGTCCAGTGGGGAATTTTCCTACCAGTATGAATGTTAATAGATCCCCCGTTGTATATGATAATACACTGATTCCAATAAATTTTTAGATGACAGAAACAGCTCAATGATCAACTATGGTTTGTGCGGAGCAAATGACTGTCCAGGAACTCCAGTGAATGGATCATCTGCAGCCGACAAAACAGACGGACCAGATAAAAAGATCATCACATTGATGAGCATTTACCTGGCTGTTGGTATTCTTGCCGTTATTTTGATTTCGACGACCCTTGATAAAATTACAATTCTTGGAAGTGAGAAGAAAAACCATGGCGTCTTCAGTTTGTTCATCGCTACTGCCAGGCATTTGAAAGACAGGCGCATGCAGCTGTTGATTCCGCTGACAATGTACAGTGGGCTCGAGCAGGGTTTCGTCTATGGCGATTTTACTAAGGTATAGGCCATTAACAATGTATAAATGCATGGCAGTAGAGGCCATCGGTTCATTGGATTCACCAATAACAGCTTTGGGTATTAGGGAATAACAGTAGAGACCATTGGTCAACTCCACAGAAGACTGTTGGTCAAATCCCTGAACGTATAACCGACCTGTGGTTGCCCATCTTCCATATAACGTATAACCGACCTGTGGTTGCACTAAAAAGGTCGTCAAGTAAAGGGCTCACTCACGTAGGCTACTATATCGTATTGTTCATATTTTCACGTGCTCTTTTCATTCCATAGGTAAAACGCTAGAAGGAAGTTTGTAATAAAATTTTAATTTGTCGCCAGATGCAGTTTTAGCTTGTCTTTTTTCCCCAGAATTAAAAAAAGCTGATTTATCACCACTTGTGAGTTTTTGCAAAATGGAATTCAAGTCGTTTTACTGTGACTTCAGTTCTTAACCTTGAAGCAACAGAACCTGTTTGCAACGAAATGTTTTAGTGCTGGAATGGGGTAAAAATGTGTTATTTAGCTGCCATTACTGATCTCATGTGAAAATGTTTTTGCACTTTCCATCTTTTGCAGTCCTTTGTCACATGCGTACTGGGAGTGGATAAAGTTGGCTATGTGATGATATGCTTCGGTGTCACTGACGCTATTCTTTCCTACGCCATCGGGAAATTGTCTGAGTACACTGGTAGGCCAGTTCTTATGTTTTCGGGTGCAGCTTTGAACCTCGGTTTGATGGTGGGCTTGTTGATATGGAAACCGGTGCCTGATGATTTGCCCATGTTCTTTGTTGCTGCAGCAATGTGGGGTGTGGCTGACTCTCTGTGGCAAACCCAAGTAAACGGTACGTTGCTTTAGAGCATTACTCAGTACGATCCCTCTCCCCTTAAAGTTTGTGAAACGTTCTTATAATTGATTCTGTTGACCAAAGAATCCAAAGGCCTCTAAAAGGCGGATTTGAAAAGATTTGCTTATTGTTTTGGGACTAGGAAAGAGTTCTAAGGAAAAGTACATCAATTTCATTAAAAAAATTGGAAGCGATAAAAAGCAGAAAATGAAAGAAAAACAGCACGACAAAACCTGTCTAGTGTAGACGAATAGTATACGAATAGTAGACGAAGGTCTAAATGGAGAGTAGGAGAGATAGGAGAGAAGAAGAAAAGAGAAGTAGAAAAAAATAAAAAGAGAAAGAGTAAAAGAACAATAAAATGGACCAAGATAGAACATTATACGGAATCAACTCCAGAAACGACTTTTCTTCAAATTTTCCACTTTAGGAGGTTTCCAATCAAGTTAATTTTGAAAGTAGTTGACAGATACTTAAAGGCTCTTGCGCAACCGGCATGCTTAGCGGCAGCTGTCTTGAGAAATTGATTGTGTTTTTTTTCATGCAGTACGATACTAGGCCGGTTTGGAAAATAAAGTCGCAAAGCATGCCGGTTGCGCAAGAGCCTTTAAGTGGCTTAAGCCTCTGTCGATTGTCTTTAAGCCTTGGTCAAAGCCTCTCGACTTTTGACGTTACAATGCTCGACATTGTTCCTTTCGACTTGTCTCGACATTCTTGATTTTCACATCAGGTTTCCACTGGCGTTTCACAAAACCATTGTCTTCACTTTGCCGTCTCGATTTGAATTGGAGGGCACTTTTGCTCGAAGCTTCTTTTTAATTTCTCTTACTACGAACTTCATTTTGTTCTTGCCTTGAGCAAACGGAATGTTCTTGAAGCATTAATTGTCTCGCAACTCATCAATCATTTTGATGTTAAAACTGAAAGAGGAAGGACAGGGCAAAGGCCTTAGAAGAACTGAACCCCAAGGATGTTATTAAAAAACTGTTACTGAGCTTGAAGTTAATTCATCAGAAGACATTGATGTATACTTTTTCCCTTGTTTCCATTTCAAACATTTCAAACAAGACTTAGAATGTCAAGAACGAATCGCATTCCGCGTCGAAACAGTCCCAACTGCTCAAAACATATCTTAAAACGCAATAACACCGGGCAAGGCTTGAAAACGCAATGTTCGACAACATTTGACAACGCTTGGGATTTTCTTGACCTTGTTCAAACTTAACACAGTACAATATGTTCTTTACATTCAACAATTGGGCCAAACTCTTCGACATGAATATCGAGTATTGCGTTAAATTGTCAGAAGAATTCTGCTCTCTGTATTTCAGTCAGTGTATGCTTTGCTGTCTTGATTTCGACCAATCACTAACCCGGATGGAATAACAAAGACAGATATAACAGGTGATTGGCTAAAATCAAAACACCCGAACGAGGCTATAATTTTTCCACGATAAAATTCATCAGAAAAGTCATTGGACGATGAATACTTTTAACTTCATAAAGAATTGAGACAATTTCTCTCGTTTTGTAGCATTCTACGGTTATTTGTTCCCGGACAACCAAGAAGCTGCCTTCTCAAATTACCGACTGTGGGAATCGCTCGGTTTCGTCATTGCCTTTGCGTACAGCGGTGCAATATGCGTCAGCACCAAGCTCTACATTCTCATTGCCGTGCTCATAGTGGCGATCACCTTTTACGGTGTCATTGAAAGAATGGAACACACAAAGAGAAAAACCATGTCCTATGCCCCTTCGATGCAGGCCATCGAAAGAAAAGAAGAACTTTCGTAATTTAGAATGGGACGGGTCAAAATAACAAATGCCTAGAGTTGTACAGGAAAACCCGCTTTTAAAGATGGCCTACTTTTAAAAGAGCCCGTAGGCTAAAAAGTGGCATTTATCTCCAATGCAATAAACGCTTTGTATCCCCTAATTCTCCGAAAAATTTCTTGTTCAAATATTTAAGGGCTAAAGATTAAAAATAATTACGTACCGGGAGAATAGAAAACCTGCTTTATATTTAGAACCTACAGTCAAAGATTAGCATTTAGTAAGAATCAACCTTCAATCCTAGACAGACGATGTTGAAATTTAACACTCCCTGAGTGCGCTATCTCTTCTACTGAAATAGATACGCTGCAACTTTGAATGAGGGAGAGGGGTCTCTTCAGGGTTTGTCTCTACAGCTATTTCCAAGATTGTAGGCTCAACTGAAGAATAATGCTGGTTCTTCTTTGCGGGTTTTTGCTGTATATAGATTAAATAGCTTTAGTTGTACCACAATACAATGTTTATAGTTTGAGAGCAATACTTTCCAACATGCATACAAGCTCGTTGCTTTTGGAAAAAACGCCTCGATACCTGCCTGGTAAATTAATACTATCTTCCAAACACACCCTGTAGTTGCCTCTTAGCAGCAAGATGCAGCATATCCTTTACATGCTTCCACGATTTGCAGATGGTAAGCTATCAGAAAACTATACTAAGGCCTTTTAAATGTTCAAGTATAAACGTTTGGGGAACCTGTCCCTTCTCCCTTCCCTCACTCTCCCCGAGTTTCTTAGCGTGTCTCCTTTATAGGTGCCTCAGTGCGGGAAAACAACAGGCTGAATAGAATTCTACCGGCCCTAGATTGTATGTGTTGATTATCATTGAGTTTTTCAAACGTCGGCAACAAGCTTTGTGTTGCCTTAATATTGGTTGACACCATGTTCTGCATACTTCACAACACAGTTGGCGTAATTCCATAATTCACAGATCGATACATATCGTCTTAACAAAACTATATCGTAACCTTTCTTTTTAATATCTTCGAGCGTAGCTACGGTTAAAATGGTTTAGAGAGTATATTATAGATTTGACAGAAATGCCGTCTCTTGTCATTCAAACATTGTTCTTGATTTTGGCGAGCATCTTGCTGTTATCCTTTGTCACTAGCTGGATTGGATCCTAAAGATTGTTGGGGTGGAGGGAGGAGAGTTGTGATTTAAAACATTAAACCCTCAAAAGAAAGAACAGATTTTAGGTATGCCTAGAAAACTTTTTGGGGTCAAAATAAAGTTTGTTTTTTATTATAGCCCATTTTCCTTACGAAGAATATATGTCATGGATTTTGCAAAATATAGACGACTTTCTTAACACAAGGTTATTATCAGTAATAGAATGTTATAAAGAAGACGAACTGACATCAACCCTTACCGGATAGGGGGGGGGGGGGAAGAGTAACTTAAAGATTGTAATGTTTACAATACAATGACAAATACAATGAATACCTTGGACATAAGGGTATAACCATGGCTCTACAATGATGACTAAGTTTTTGTTCTTCCCAGATGTATGTACTGCTGAATAGAAGTGAATGGAGATGTATAGAAACATACAAAAAATTTTAGGCAGCCCTGACTCAAGTTTATCTTGCTTTGATTGTAGAGAGACGAATCTATGTAAAAAAGACCCAAAAGGCAAATATTTTAGAAGAAAAGGATTTAGTTCGACCCAGAGCAATGATTCAATATTAAATTAATGAGGAAGATCGAATAATTTAGCCTCACTGAACTTCTACGATTGGTGTTTGAAAATGGTACCGCAAGAATCCTTGCTGGTTCTGAAAAAGTGGCACTAAGCTCGGGGCCGTCGCGGGGAGGGCGTGAGTGGTGTGATACCCCCTTGTGACGATGTCAAATTCTGTTGCAAAAACAAAGGGTTTGCTATCATCTAGGGGTGCTTAGTTGGATTACAATAGCTAGCTAAGGCCCTGAATAGGCTATAAACGTTCAAATTTTGCAGACTGAGACAGGCTGCAAGTGATGACTTAGCACGCATCCCAAATCGATAGCGAATTGAAATGAATTGAACGAATATATTAAATTGAAGAATCTCTCTCGTTTTGTAGCATTCTACGGTTATTTGTTCCCGGATAACCAAGAGGCTGCCTTCTCAAATTACAAGCTGTGGGAATCCCTTGGTTTCGTCATTGCTTTTGCGAATAGCGGTGCAATATGCGTCAGCACCAAGCTCTACATTCTCATTGCCGTGCTCATAGTGGCGATCACCCTTTACGGTGTCATTGAAAGAATGGAACACAAAAAGAGAAAAACCATGTCTTACATCCCTCCAAAGCAGGCCATTGAGAGTGTGGAAGAACTGCTGTAATGTGTCATTTTGACTTATGGCTACCGATTATTATACTTGTAGTGATTCAATTTAGGCCATTTTAGACAATCCATCATTGCTTCTTCTGCATACCTACGTAATTCTATATTCATCTTTCTCTTTGCTAATTACACGTCATTTTAACCTAATTCATCACACCATTGCTAACCATCGAGCATATCCTTTCCTTTGTATAACTCTTAATTAAGTTTGCCAGTTTTCTATATCAATACCCACTTTTATAAATTATAATCAGGCAGTAGAAATCACGTTACACACTGTACAAACAGTTTGCATCTCTCTGACTCCGTGTCCTCTGCACGCTAAATCAGATCGCACTGGTTGAAAACAGCACGTTTGTCGTTTAATGGAAAATTTAGGCAATCATCGATCGATGTTCCGATGAATACTAAATACTTAAGAGTAAAGGTTATTGAAAGAGTGTATAGTTTGAGGGTGGCATAAAAATTGTGATAAATAGGGGGCAAAACTCTCCAAAATTGATGTTTGGATGAAAGCTCGTCGATTTTTTAACAAAAAACAAAATCAATAGGGCGAAAATCGATGATTCATACCACTAGGAAATATATTTACCCAGTTGTAGATCGAAATAGGCCAATCAGCGTCGCTTGCCTATTGAGAATGTAAATATTTGGTTTCTATTTTTTAAACAAAAAAAATAATGACTCCACAATAAACTCTAGGTAAGGCTACAGGAATCGGAACAAAACCGGATGTCTATCTAGTATACGTTCCGGCACACATGCAAAAATAACTGATCAGTAAATCCAAAACTGTTTGGACCATAAAGAGAGATTCGATTATTCATCTGTTTGCAAACTAAGAGGGTGGCATCTAAACACGTTCTGCATTTGTTTCTATCATCCGAAGGTAGTTTTCAGGACACTGAGAAGATAATGCTGATCGAGCAATGTCCTGGTCCTTCCTTTGGATGTGTCCACACCTCATAATTCCTACACCTAGATTTACAGAGAGCTGGCGACTTTCTTCACTCTGGGAGCAACTAGGGGCAGTTGCCCCTCCCTCACCGAGTTGAAGCAAGTCTAGCGCCCCTTTTTAGAAACGATTTTGCACAATTATTGTGAAAATTTACTTTAGAACGTGAATAGAGAGCCTTCTGTCAGTAGTTAGGGTCTGCAATTGTTGTAAACAGCGTACTTTCGTCGTCAATTTCTGAAAAATTTTCAGTGCCCCCACTACCAACTGCCCCTCCTTCAAATTTGCTCTGGATCCGCCCCTGGAGTCGCCAGCTCCAAAGTTTGGTCATGCTAGGGAATCGAACCACGGAACCTTGGGTCTGTAGTCGGCCCATCTACATAGTTCAGAAAGCTGTAACAAAGATCTTATGTAATCTGTATCCAAATAGGTTAACACCAGGTAGCATCCATAATCAACAAGCAATATTGTTAATTGTACATAAAATTTTGAAGCGGCAAACGCACTACGCAATATCTTTAAATATTGACAACGAAAAGGAAGGTTAATGCTATCATGTATATCCATACAGACTCACACATTCTACATAAATTGAGCACATTGTATTTTGTTCTTGGAGCTATGCTGTCTTTGACGAGAGAGGAAGCATGTAATCAATCAACTATTTGTGGATTCAACTACTCTATCAAATTGGTGACAACTCCGGTGCCAACAGTCCTGCTGCCCTCTCGTAACGTAAACCTTGTGCCAATTTCAATAGGCAGTGGATGCATGAGAGCCATACTGAACTTGGCATCATCTCCAGGCATGACAAAAGATACTCCTTCAGGTAGCTTGATGGCGGCTGCCACATCGGCCGTTCTCACATAGAGCTGTGGTGTGTAGTTGCTGACAAAAGGCTTGTGTCTGCCTCCTTCCTCTTTCTTTAGTATATAAACCTAAAGATAACATGCATATAATTGAACCCATTAATTTCAGCTGTTTTCAATAAATAACCCCAACCACATTACATGTTCATCAATGAGATGTCCCATGGATTTGAGGATGCATTTTTAGAACATACACGTTTCATTACTGTATATTTCATTATTCAACAAACTTCCAAAAGAAATTCGAGCAGAAAGTGATTTTATTTCCTTCAAAAATAAATTGAAGAGCTTTTATACTTTAACGTAAACTCTCAACCTTATAACTCTCTTATATACTACTCAACTTCATTCCCCTGGTACGGACTTATTTTTCTCTTTCAAATTATATTTCAAAAATGCTGATTGTAAACTAATTTTTTTATCTTATTTTGTTTATTGTTTTTATTCTAACAGGACTACTGGGAAAATAGTGTAAATATGTATATATGCATATCACTACTGAAGTATTATCCTGTATAAATATTCGATAATAATAATAATAATAATAATAATAATAATAATAATAATAATAATAATAATACAAAGACAGACAAGCAGGAAGTCGAAATAAATACCGAAAAGTCAATGCCTTCATTGTAAAGAGGATAGATTCACTTTCCCTTTTTAACACCCCTTCCAATTCTAAGCCCTTCTCTAAATTAGATGTAGGTTATCAGCACCCCCAGCCAGTTGGAAGATTTTGCTCTTCCGAAAAGACTACCAAAGAGACTACCATGAAAACAATCCTGGCGGCACCTTCTATCCAGAAATTATCTACGCCAAGCTTACTATTTCTCGCGTTGCCACATAGCTTAATACTTCATGTTCTGAATTCTGAAGGATACTGGGACATGACTATCAAAGGCAAAATAGCTTTCACTTCAAAGCGCAGATGCATTCAAAGGCGAATTATCGAACAGAAGAGCACGAAACAGAGGTCTAAGGTATCAACTCGAAGCAGTCAATCTTCTTTCCGTTTCTTGTGCCTTTCTTAGAAATACATGACGCCTTGATGCACGAAAAATGCTGAAGGATTTGGGTTTCTTCTTTGTTTCAAGTAAGACAAAAGGATAGTAATGGTTAGATAATTTACCATAAATTATCATATTAGTATTACGTTATCCATGCGAGTTAGTAGCTTAGCACAAGGCCTAAGAGCAAGACAAACGAGACAACCGTAACATATTACGTTCGAACGAGGCACCTTATAAATACATCAAATGACATTTAAAAAAGCGCATTGTTACCTGAGCATCAAACTTAGTGTATGATTTGATTGATCCTGGGGCACACATGACCATTCCACGTTTAACGTCTTCCCTTTTAATTCCTCTCACCAGAGCCCCAAGATTGTCTCCAGCCTGGCCGTTGTCCAGTTGCTTATGAAACATTTCTAGTCCTACGAATCAATCAATTTTGAATATCAATGGAAGTCCATGGCCATCAATAAGAACAAAGAAAAGTCAACAATTGTTAGCTTCTTTCGGTCGAAATGTTCTGCCTGAGCATAGAACGGATTTGGGGAGGGGGCTGAAGTGTTTTGTGGTGAGGGGGCTGAAGTGTTTTGTGATGAGGGGTGCTCAATATGCCACAATTCAAGAACATGATCATTCAATGTATGGCTTTGAAGAAATTTTGGAAATTATTAGAGGGTGGTAAGGTTGTGGAGATAAAACAGCGTGTGTCCTAGAAAGCGTTCACTGCGAGTGACTTTAATTATTCATCAAAATTGCAAGAATGAGCGTGTCAATCAAAGCATAGTCCAGCAAACAGCGAGCTGGAGTCTTTAACAATGAGAACAATGACTGGCTCCTTGAAAGGTACGATGATATGCAACTGTGAACAAAGCTAGAAACTTGTAGCTGTGGCTCTAGGTTGGTTTAAGAAGTAAATGACAGAAATTGTCCTCAATTTCATCAAAAGTATTTTGTTTCATGAAAATTTTTCCTTCGTGCAGAGTTAACAGTTTAGGGTATCATACCAGAGTTTTGTACATTTCTGATTACTCTCAGGATTTCTGGTCGAAGTTAAAAACAATTGAATTTTATGAAAAGAAAGCAGAAGAGCCAGCTGGTATGTTTATAGAATGTGCCTTCTTTGATTAACCATATCCAGCAGTTTAGTATCTAGAATATACATATCTAGAATAGGGGAGTTGTATTCCAAAAGCCTCATTCTGATACCGACTGCCATGCAGATTCTGAAAAATAACAGTCCTTGAGGCTGTTTAGTTTTGATCAAAGATAAAACAAACCATTCCATGGAAGACTCTTGTCCAGTTCAGCAATGCTAACTGATTTAACATCCAAAAAATGTATTTTCAAAAATCTATCAAACGCAGTCCAAACCTGTAACTGTTGTTTTGAGGGTGGTGCCGTGACCGGTAATCTCAACTTCGTCACCCTTGTTAATTCTTCCCCTCTCAACTCTCCCAGACACAACAGTACCACGTCCAGAAATGGAAAACGTATCTTCGACAGGCAATAAGAAGGGCTTGTCCAGGTCACGTGTTGGAGTCGGGATATGTGAGTCGATTGCCTCGAGCAGTTTTAAAATCGCATTGTATCCAATCTCATTTTCTCTGTCTTCTAAGGCGCACAAGGCCGAACCAATGATGACAGGAGTATTATCACCATCATAGCCATACTGAGACAAAATTTCACGCATTTCTAATTCGACCTGAAATATAGAATGGTGACGTCAGCCACGAGATATCCATCATCTACCAACAAACACTTTTAAATGGCATATCCTAGTATGCATTTCTTGAAAGTCCATAGACGCAGGAAAGTTCATTTTATAGCGAAATCTGGCGCGTTTGAGGCGCGGGTCAAAAGAAACTTACTAGAACAGGAAGGAGGCGGCTAGAAGCTACAAACCCGTGAAAAAATTCTAAAGACCACCCCCTTTTTAGATTGGCATGGATTTCCTCTTTTTTACAGACAAATTGTTAACGCTTTTCAGAAAACTTCTTGTAATATTTTTCAATGTAATAGAGACATTTATTTAAGAACTAACTTTTATTGGGACTCTAAACCTAATAAAATTTCTATACAGAATTGGACATTTTCAACACATAGTAAGTATCACTCTCGAGAACAGTCCCAGGCAGAGTTTACTTTGCATAGTGTTAATACACCAGGACGTGATTTCTTAGAATTACTGCTCAGGGGAAGGTATGCCTGCCAAGTTTTCTTGATACTACCTTTAAAAAGACATTGGTTTCAAGAAATATCTAAACAAAATCTTTCCACGACCCGTTTTCGGGAAGACTTTATAATGATGACAGGACGGGATAACTAACACAGGCACACTCATTTTGCCGGGGGATGGGCGTTTTTTCCAGATATATCTTCAAAGAATATTGGAGGTTACGCATGTAGAACTTAAATACGTTTAGATTACCAGGTCAAGCATTTCCTTATCATCAACAGCATCTGCTTTGTTTATGAAGACAACTAAGTTCTTAACTCCGACCTAGAAATAAAACAAACGCTTGTTATCAAAATCAGTAATAGCGGTCTTAAATAAAAGGTAGAAATACCAAATTTTAGCTGCTAAGAATATGTGGTGGCCGTACCAAATGGATGTTATGACAATTTATGAAAGCAGTTGAGCTACGATGAAACATTTTTGGAAGAAGATAAGAGGGGGCGAAAAAGGGAAAAGTGGGAAAGTAAATGAGATTTGTTTAGGGTAAAGAAAGAAGAGCAAGGTGGAGAAAAAGAAAGGGGAAGAGTATGGATAATAAAATACAGACTGGAGAAATAAGCTCTGAGGTAATACTAACACGTAAACAAATCTTTTCACTTTCCATGAATTTTCTTAAAAACTTATCCAATGCGTTTAACAAAAATACAGAAAGAGGATGAAACACGGTGACTAAAGGGGTGTAAAAAAAAGGGTATACCTGATTAGCAAGAAGAAGATGCTCTCTGGTCTGCGGCATCTGTCCGTCTGTTGCTGCAACCACCAAGATACCACCATCCATTTGCGCTGCTCCAGTAATCATGTTCTGTGGGGAATATCAACATTCTTTGCTGATAAAACACAAGAAACTCAAAAGTAGAAACTTGTCAAAAACCTGTTCGGAATTCAATAAACACTTTTAATTCTAAACTTTCTATTAATAGTATTTTACAGCTTTTTACTCTTGACTCTTCTAAAGGTCACTCCAACCCTTCAAAATGTTCTTTCAAATATTTAGGGGTTTTTATTGCAAAACCAGTTCTGAATCTACAGGCCAATGCTCTGAAGTCATGCAAAAATGCAAATCTATAAAAAACCTTTTTTAGAGCCTCGGGCATGCAAAGACAAGCTAAAATCCCCACCTTGATATAATCTGCATGCCCTGGACAATCGATGTGTCCGTAATGCCGGTTTTCTGTTTCGTATTCCACATGCGATGCATTGATTGTAATACCTCTCGCCTTTTCTTCCGGAGCATTGTCAATATCTGCATATTGTTTATACTTCGCACCGCCAGCATTTGCAAGAGCTGTACACAAAAGTTAGCAAATTTTAATGTTTACTCCAAAAATCATATGTTCATTGCAAAGATCCTTTATCTTCAAATACGCTATAGACTGTAGCAGGGTGCACAGTGTTTTATTTCAGAAACATGCATATAAGAGACATAGGGTTCAAGTTGGCAGAAAAATTAGAAACTTTGGCAACCCAAGCTAAAAGGGTTTACATTTATAAATGAAAATATTAATAAAAGAAACACTCCATTATTACCTCAATTACATACTATTTACAACACTTTTCTTTTGAACAAGATCTCCAAAAATCCAGATCAATTTTAATGATAAATTTATAGAAAGAGATAAGAAAAATTTATGGCTGCAAAAATTATATGAAATTACCCTTTAAAATTCCCTGCTTCTCATATATAAAAACATGCAGCCCTTAAGGAAAGGGGAATTCCTTTCCTTAAGCCTTTCAACATATTGGGTACAAAGAAGCAGCATTTTTTGGAAACAAATCTTGTACAGCTGTACCTTATTTGAAAGCTATATATCAGCTTATGTTTTAGGATGGACTTGGCAGCCTTTTTAATGGCCTCCAGAGACTGGAGTTGGGTTGTTTCAAGGCTTAGTTTGTATTTGTATGGGGAGTCTAAAGAATTGATGTCGACTACCATTTATTAATTATAAAAATCGGCACATACTTTTTGTGATTGCGGCTGTTAATGTTGTTTTGCCATGATCCACGTGACCTATTGTACCTATGTTTACATGTGGCTTTGTTCTATCAAAAACTTTCTTGGCTGATTCAGCAGCATAACATCTTAATTGCAATTCTACAAAAAATAATAATATGCTTATAAGAAATGAGATGAAAAATTATAGCAAGTGCTACACATGCGAATATATGGGTTATTCCATGCCAAATGGACCAATTTTTGAAGTGGTCCCACATGCACCACCTCAGATTTGCATGAAAATTTATGTTAATATTCGTATATGTAAGATAGGAGCATCCTGAAAATTTCAGCTTGATATCTTATACCATCCCAAAGATATGGTTCTTCAAAGACCCCAGCTTTGGCTCTGATCCGCAATTCTGGGAGATAGAAACAAACTTTTTGCAAACTTTGAGGTCCTATATTTCCTGACTTGATTTTGATAACTCTAGAAGCCTCAAAATTGATACTCTGAAGCGTCGTGCAAATCTGAGGTGGTGCATGTGGGACCCCTAGTCCATTTGGCATGGAATGACCCTTATGAGATATTGTTATTTGAAAATTCCAACTTTAGTTGAACACTACAGCAATCAATAAGGTTGCAATTCATAGATAAGATCTAGTGGTTGCTTTTCCTTGATTAATGCCCTTCTAATTTCTGAAATAATTTCTTATATTTTTTAGATATACATACCTTTCCATAACTGGTAGAAAGTTTTGTTTTGTGCCTTCAAAAGAGAGGAATCATATAATCAGGAAAAATATTTATGCAGCTGTTATTAAAAACTTGGAAAAATAATATTTATGTTTTGTTTTAGTTTCAAATTTGAACTACAGCCTACACTATTTTGAACTAAAACTCCTTGGTTATGCAGGTATCCATTTCCTAGCAACTGAAAAGCCATAACCCTTTTATCATCTTTTTAACCCTTTGTAACAAAGATTTTTAAATGGGAGTTTTCAAGTCTGGTTTTCATATCTTCATTTATTCTTTGTTATTTTCTGCATATATAAGGGCATTTTGATGATCAATCAAACCTGAATCAATTGATCAATCAAACCTGAATCAATGAATCAATCAATTGATGAATAAAAATATTCTAGTTTTTCAAGTTTTGTTCTAAACATGTGTGAACTGGCGGCCTTTCGGTATATAAACAGCGCCAAATGTTGAATCATTGATGAGAAAAAAAAAATTGATGAAAAATTAGATGAAAATACTGTTCTAAACTTAACAAATTACAAAATTACAGAAATAAGGACAAAAACAATAAAGGACATGATTAACTGTGGAACAACACTCTAAACAAGTGCATCTGGGGATCTCCTTTAGGTAGTCTCTTACCATAAAAACAAAAAACTGGGGATCTACTAGGAGTAAAAATTAATGAACATATGGGCCTGAATGGTTTTACAAATTTCAAATATGGGCTACATGTCATTCTATACCCTATGTACATGTACAGCCCCCTCCCCCCAATCTCTTGTGACAAAAACATCATAGTGTAGGGGAAAGGATGAATAGGTTCTTGTTTATTTTCCAATTTTATATCATTTGTAAAGAAGTCTTTTTTCTTAATGTTTTCAAAATTGAAAGAAAAACAAATTATTGGAGCATACCTCTCGTAGATTTTTATTTCCCAACAGCAGGCATGCTTTTGTAGTTCCTACTGTAAAATAAAAGGATTTAACACAAAACAAAAATATTTATATATCATACACAAACAACACAATTTGGCATGTTGGATTTTCAAAAAAAATTAAACTGGAATTTTTCAAGGTTTAGCAAGAGGTTAGATGCCAAAGTGGTTCTAACTTCGATGAGATGTATCCAACAAGATGTATCCAGTGCTTCTTGCATAGAATGGCAAACACGATTCCATGTTGTAAGAAATTACAACTTAGGAAGACAGCAAAAATTCACTTTGAAAAGCCTTAAACTTTATTTTTAAAGGTTTTGAAAGTTATGAGAAAACAATTTTTATAAGTTCCTAATCAACTACTTAGTTTACGTTATATTTAAATGAAATATATAGTTGAAATTCATTTTTCTTGTTAAATAGAATATTTTTACTTAATTGTGACTTTCATTTCTATGGACGTATCTTTTCAGTTGAGATTATTTCTTAACAGAAACATACATCAAGCATATTCAAATAGTATATATATATATATATATAGATTTAGAATGTCTGCAGGGAATTTTTGATTTGTCATGAGAAAGCCTTTGATTTAACACTGTTGATGGAAGGTAACCTTCAGATGCAAGGTAATAACCATAAGTCATGAAGAGTTTTCACTATTTTGACCCATATTAGCATCTTTTGGCCTATCTGGGCAGCATTGGCCTGGCCCAGATAGAGCAAATATATATATTTAAATTATTTGTCTTTTATATTCAAGCTATCAACATTTATACACAATAAAGTTGGTTTGTGGCAGTATCTTGCCTCTCATGTTGATTCAAGTAAGAATAGACTGGCTACTAGGCTGTTCCCACCCCAGAGATGTAGAATCACATTCTGAGGCCCCTACAAACCAAAAATGGTTTTTTCAAAAAAAATTAAATATATACACTTAGCAAATGGATTAGAATAAAGCTGGTGCAAATGGTTTTCAAAGATACAACCAAACTACCGTTACCCCCTAGTATTAGCCTACAAACTTTTCCATTACAATAAAACCATTTCTGTTAAGTGAGATCAGTGATCTCAGTGGCCTTTTTATATCATAACCAATTTAAAATCATTGCCTAGTATGTACAGGTTACTGGTCAACTAGATAATGAGGCTCAATAATGGCTTAATCGAGGATTTGAATTAACATTAGATTAAATCAAGTGGCTGAACTTCATTTTGCAGCAAAATTTTGTAATTATGCTCATGATGAAGGTCGAGACAGCTTCGCATGAATAGAGGGGTTCAGTGGAAATCGAGAATCAACAGCAGACCCTTAGAGTATGTACTCATTAGTGAGTTAGTAGCTAAGTACAGACTGAAATCTTCACCAGTGTTTTAATATAATGTTTCATGGTGAATAGTTTGATGTTTTTATCAAAAAAATTATGAAACTTGTTGTTAAAACAAACTATTTCATGTCTTTTTTGCCCATAGCGGCCACATAAATTTGTAAATATTTTACATTACTGCTAATTTATATTGGGGAAGTTGTGCTTGACTATGAAAAGAGCTACACTAATAACTTTATAGCACAACCACACTATTTTAACGAGCCTTGTCAGATGTAAGTTCTTGTCACATTTTGTGTTGATTTTGTGAATAGACACATTTCATCTAGATCAATATTAATCTCCAACTTCTATTGTTCAAAGAAATATTATAAATAGATACAATTTGTATCATACAATGTCGCACACCAAAAATAGAAAAATTTCCCATCTTTGTCAGAGCTGCTACCTTTGTCGAACGCTTTATGTGGGTTTGATTTGAGCTGTGATCAACATTGCTTTGCTAGCTAGCCTCGGAAGGAACAAATTGTGCATACGAAAAACTATAGCGTTTCAACCAGGACATCCGAATTCTGCGTGCACAGACTGCCCAGTGACTGAATCAGTCTAGGTACAGTCCTGAAGATGTGTAGAGAAAGGCTGGGAATTCTTCGCGTACTCCAAGGAAGCGAAATAAACAGTTACTATAAAAACAAAGAATACCTTTTCTGTACAGTAAATTGTTTGTCAGGTTTCGAATCATACTTGCCCGTCTGCCTGGAACCAAAGCCGAACCAGTTCGCGTGGAGTTTTGTAACACACTTTAGGCCATCCAAGTGATTGCCATGCGCATTGGTCCCAATAAGAGGCTAAACTTTGGGCAACATCAACAACGTTTTTTCCAAGACATTTCCAAGAGATGGAGTTTTTTGGCAGACATCAAACGATCAGTGCTGAGAAGAGAAGGGGTCAGAGGACCCTTGGCTATAGGGGTCCATAAATAAAAACTCAATTCAACATCTCCATTACCACAAACTGTTGACAATAATGAAAATAATGAGAAAAGTCCATGAATGAAGTACAGGGGCGGATTTAAGCAACAATGATTGGGGGAGGGGGGGGTGCTAGACACTAATTTTGATGCCACACCCTTCAGGTCACTGGTAAATGATGGAAACGCCCATTTTTAGAATTTGGTTTTTAACTGTGGCGTAGCCAGGTTTGGAGGATTGGTAGGCCAAAAAGAAAAATATTTTTGCTGATCACAACCCTAAGAATTTGGGAAAACACCCATTTTGTAAATGTGTTTGAAAAAACATGGCATTTTTACGTGGCAATTTCCCTTTATTCAACGTCATAGGTGGCTGACCATATTCTACAACTGTCTATGTCCTTCACAATTCCTACTGATAAGAAGATAAATACTGATAAAAAATAAATGAAGTAAAATCTTGGCGTCACTTTGTTACTACTGACTACCAACAAATGATTTCACCAAATGAAACAAAATTTACCGAAGGACACAGAACTATTGGGGGGGGGGGGGTGATGAAGTAAGGTAGAAGCAGTTTGAATCTTTGACTGCCTGGGTGTTAAAGATATTTTGCTAAGAATTTCGCATATTTGAGGGCTTGGGCTAAAGAAGTTGAAAAGACTCTGTATCTACCAAAAAATATGATACAACATTATATGTGTCATACAGATTTTCACTATAGCATGTGCATTATGGTATTTAGATATCAGTTAAGCTCAAATTAAATCAAATGGCAATTAGAAGTAATAACCACCAGACAATGGCCTAAATAGGAAAATTCATAGGAGGGGTGAGAAACTTAGATTTTCCAACGAAGTTCTAACAAGCATTTATACCAGCAGTGTAGAGTCATGAAATTTAGAGGGGGCCAAATAGCTTTCTCTTTATTGTATACAAAATAAACGTTTTGGTTGTTTTTTCTCGGATGGCTCCTCAATATCAATTTCTTTACCTTTCCATATTTTCTACAAATCATCTTTCAATGTTTAGCTGTTACTTGAGCAGAAAAATCATTAAAATTTTGCCAGCATATTTTGAGTTTTCAGCTATCAAGAGGGCATTTGAGGTCACACATGAATACTTTTTACCTCATTTGTACTTTTTTCATAAATCTTGACATAACATAACGTTATAGGAACTGCAATAAATCAATCCTTTGATATATTCAGATATTTTTATGTTTAATTGGCTTTAAATGGCGTTTAATTGGCGAACGATGGAGCATATTATTCAACAATCTGAGACTAGTGACTTGGCAAGGGGTCCAATAATGAGGGTCTTGGATGACGTCAGTTTTAAAATCAATCAGAAATATAACACCTGTCCAATGACTGAATTATATAATTTTTTTCAAATTCAAATTCAGTTTCATTTCAAACAATAAGAAATACAAGTTAAAGTTTAAATACATATACGTGAAACGATTTCAATACAAATTCTAAATTTTAACTAATAGAAATAATTGCTAATACAAAAACAGTAATACAATAACTTAATATATATATTTTTTTATCGTTGTTTAGGACCCTTAGAAAATACTCCAAAAAGGGCGATCAAGCTAGGGGTCCTGCTTTTTAAGCATTGCTAATTAACTGAATTGAAGATTAAGAACGGTAACAAGAGGATAATGATTAAAGCATAAAAATGAACAAGAGTATAAATTGCAATTACAATATGTATATAAAGAAGGGGAAAATAAAAAGGAGAAAACAAAGAAAAGAAACATACATTTTATTTGGAAAATGTGTTCGTTAAAGGTTTTTTATCAGCGATGTTTTTAGAATGCGGAAAACATGACTGTCGTATGATCAATGCGAGGAAGCCGAAGAAAAGATAGATTCTAGTACCATTTCATGTTTTTCTGTTTTGTGAGTGAGGAAAATATTCCGCAGGAGTTGAACACTTTTCTAGACATTGTATGATTTAGTTTAGTTGTAATAGATTTCTTTCACTATCTGAAATCGAAGGGTGGAGGCCATGCTCCCTAACTTTTTGCAAACCAATAGAGTTGTTGCAAAATCTATTGCCACCGAACTTTAATTTGCCCTTGGCCCCTTTATTTTCCAACTTGCCTCGGATCCCCTAAAATAAAGATTTTAAAAATTGACTGTGCCTTTATGGCTGCTTTATTTACCTTCCTAGTTTATCTTGTATCTCAAAGTTTGGTCTTATAAGCTCCGCATTCATGATCAAAATATTTCCTGGTATATCCTGGCTACCATAGCCACACGACACGAGTTCAAGGGCATATAGTAGCACAGACCGGGGCATGAGCAGTATAAAAATACATAGTTTTTAGAAAAAAGTAAGCAAGGGCCTAAGTAGATAAATCTTAATGGTGCTGTGTTGCTTAATTGTTCTTGCTATAGGAGAGAAAACAGTTTTCAGCGTAGGGAAGGAAATGCTTTACACTTGCTACGAGGAAACACAGCATTGATTTGATGTGCGAGGCTGCTCGACGGGCTCCAAGGAGTTCTTGCAGCGAAAAGTTGATAAAATGTAGCAAATAAGAAACACCGCAATACGCCGAGAATAAACAACAACAAAGAAAAGGTAAATCAGTGAAGGCTAATTGATTTGATGGCTCGGTCAATTGTACTATCTCAAAACAATCACTAATTGGAATTATGAAAAAAAATGATATTTTCAATCAAAGTTTGTTAAATGACTTACAAAATTTGTTAAACAGCAAAATCTATTTAATACCAAACACAGACAATTCTCAAAGTGACATACCAATTTCATAAAAGCTAAACAGAAATAATTTTTTGCTATCAAAGTCTGTGATTTAAGATAAAATTTTGTTGTCTTCTAACAGAACCTGTTGTTTATGATCAGGATTTTTTTACCAAAATGTGCTCTTTGCTATCGGAGTATGCTGTACACAATCACTGTCTCTTCAGATTATAAAACAAATTTCAGATTACAAAGTAACAAATATTAGACTGCTGAATAAAAATTAAGGCAGCCTTTCCACTAGCCTGGGTTAAAACATACCCGGGTTAAAAGTTATATTTTTTTAAAGTGAGTCAATGAAAACGGCACTTTTCTTCGACCCGTTTTTAATCCGTTTTTGATCGTTCCCACTAAGCCAGGTTAAAATGTATCCAGGGTGAAAAGTTGTAAGAGAAATCAGTATTTGCATAAAAAATTCTTCAATTTCTATCGTTGTAGGCCAATGGAAGCAACATCGACATCCAGGATTTTGTTTTTTGATTTTTGGCGCCGTCTAAATTTTTAAACGTTGCTGTTGTTGCAAGTGGATCAAAAGTTATCCGGGTTCGGCGTTTCCATTAACTCGCAGGTAAGTCAAAAGATACCCGGGTAAAAACTGACCCACTTTGAGACCCGTTTTCAAACTTATCCGTTTTTCAAGTGGGTTAGCGGGAACGCGACGTAGAAACGGATAACTTTTAACCCGGATATGTTTTAACCCAAGCTAATGGAAAGGCTGCCTAAGTTAAAAGCAGGAAACTTGGCGTGGCATAGTAGTAAGTTAAAAAACTGGAAATTATGATACACGATACAATTGAAAACTTTAGAATTTCTTGTAAACGTACTTTAATCTAGAAAGTTTTCTTATCCTTTTGAAATTTTACTAACAGGTTCCTTTTAAGTGAATTTTCTTATATAAAAATTTTCTTATGTAGAAAGACGGTGGCTGCTAAAGAATAATAAAATCTCAACACTGTGTCTCCAAGATTGTGGAATGTAAAACTTGTAACTTTTAAGGGAAAATAACTGAATCTACTTTTTTCATAACTTCAAGTTTTTATTTCAAAAGCTACTGAAGTGTCTCTCTATCAGGTTTCTCATGACACTAAACGCTTTCCATCCGTAAGTGACCAAATGAAACCTCGAGTTTCAGAATATCATAATTCTCAAAGCTTTACGTCCCTAATAAAATATCGGCTTCCTTGAGAAGGTCAACATGTATCCTTGTATACAATGGATGCGCAGCAGAGAATTTAACTTTGTATTTCAAAGAATTCAGGCCATCATCTTTTGAGTCTATATTGGCATGATGTAACAAAAAGTCCCTAGAATGATGAAATGAAAGTGGTTACTGCAGGATCGGAACTGTATCATGTCTATATTTCAAACATTTTAACTATACTGAACATGCTTCAGCAGTAACATTGCAGAAAATGTTTCCATCAATATATACTTGACACTAGTCAGCTGCATTCATTTTCTAGTTCATTTTTGAAGAAAAGATTAGACACCAATACCATTCTTTAGTGTCATTATCAATATTTTTTGTTATATAGTAGGTGTCATCCCCGTTTTGCATACATCCTGGCGAGGGAGCAATCACTATCAATTTAGATTTTCTATATCACAAAGTGTAGAATTTTGATAAATCAAACAGGCAACCTCCCTTGCAATAATTATGTAATACCAAAACAAATGTTTGATTTGTCCAGTGGTGATAAATTTATTTCTCTTAATGGTGGATCTGAATTATAGAGTAGATGTTAAGATAAAGCATATAACACAAAATTATCCACCTAGTAGGTATCCTTTTCAGGATACTTACTAGGGGGACAATCGCCCCTCCAATGCCAGTGACTTTCTATTGTTTTTAACAATAGGCTATCGCTATTGTCTTCCTTTTTATTCATAATTCATAATAAAAAGTTTATTCATAATAAAAGCTTGTCCACGAAGCTTTGCTCTTCGAATGGGCTATGGATACTTTTCTCACTCTATGGGTACGCCCAATAAATTTTGACAAACATTTGCTTATCTAGCACCCTTTACGGCTTAAAATTGTTATGAAAAGCGAGCTTGTCATGTTTATGCTTTGGACTTACCTCTTCTCATTCTTTGGCGCCTGTTCATGCTTTATCATAATGTATCTTCCTATTGACATAGCTGGTCTTCTCAAATTGTAACCATGGCTTGTAATCCTAAAAGAAATTAGGGATAAAGTGTTTAAGTGATCGATAGATTAGATAACATATTTCAAAATCATCCATTCGATAAGAATATCGAGGCTGGACAAAATTTATTCTTTCTTATTGAGAAAGGGTAGCAGCTAAATATATAGGCAGGAAAACGACTTTAATTGATTGAGATTTTACAAACTGCTTTCAACATTCCGCACTTTGCAAACGTGTTCATGTATTACAAATCTCCATTTTGAAATATAAACCTAATCAGCTAATAATTGCTTTCAAAATACAGAAGAATTTAGGACAATTTGAGAAACTGGATCAATGCGATCAGTTTCCACGAAAATCTAAATCACAGCAGCTGTAACATGCCTTTTTAAGCATGAAATGAATTAAGAAAAATCCATCAGGAAAAATGAAAAGTCTGATAAAGGCTCAAGAAAGTTAGTTTTCAAGATAGTTTTAAGGAAGCTTGTCTTTTACAATCCTAAAAGTCCTAACAGGCAGGCACCACGCAGCTATTGGGCTTGCATGGGCTATAGCCTGGTGTGCGGTGCCTGCTAATAGGTGCGCGCAATGAATCTTTCTCATAAACACAAGGTAGTCTAATGTGACTCCGCTAATTCTCCTATAGTAATCTTATTGGAAAACTGAAGGAAACATTAGCATTGACTAGGGAAATCGCGATGTGGCCTTATAAGGACTAAAAGCGTTAGCTGTGAAGCCCAGTATTTACACGGACAAAGCCAAATTAAATGATTTGTTTCTTTTTGGTCTACTAGCCCCATTAAAATAGATTCTTACCTTTGATACAGACTGTCATCTTCCCCTCCCCAGCCCCAGAAAATGTTCGAAAACCCATTGATTTTTTCAAAATCACCTTTCTTAAACATCTCGACGCCACCAAAAATGGTCTTGTAAAACAAGCTGGAATGAAAAAAGTTTTGTGTCATTTGTGTGTTAGTTAATATGAAGCATTTAAAGTGGAATTTTTAGCCGCTACAGTTCTTGGAGAATAGAGTTTGTCAAGAAATCTATTAATCGTGTAAGGCTAAAAAATAAGCCTCCCTACACCAACAAAAATAGTCAGGGCTGTTAGCCAAGATGTTGTGCAAAATCGGATACCAGCATGAAACTTCGTCCATAATGGTAGTTTTGAGCGTTGAACAAGATAAGATGCAAACCCTAGCTGAGAAAAGCCCCAAAATGCTATTTGTACTTGTTGTACTTGGTCCCAGGCTCTAAAAGCATTCATTCTAATGATATCGCTGCTAGTTGTGATACCAGCATGAAAGTTGGAAGAGATTGGCAGTTTGATATGCTCAAAAAGATAGGATGCAGACCCTAGCTGAAAAATGCCCCAAGTGCTATTTTTAGACATTTGTACTAGGTCCCAGGCCCCAAAATCGGTTTTTAATAATGTTGCTGCTAGTTGTATTGCCATTTGCGATAACGTTTTGCTCGCAGTTTCAAATTTCGTCCACAACTGAAGCTAGCCAAAGCGAGCGGTGTAAACCATTGAGGCGGGATTACCAACTGTTCATATTAGCCAATCATTGAGGGGATAGACTGCCTTTAACTTCTTGATAAAATTCAAAAAGGTACCAAGAGATAGCTATAAATGGAAACCATACCTGTAACCAAATTTGTCAATAGCAGGTGACAAATGTGCTGGAGAGATATGACACCCATACAAATTGCGATCGTCTTCTGGAATGAGGTCAACATCATGAAAAACAAAACAATTAAAGTCCATGACTTTCAACGCTTCTTTGAATCCTACATTCATCAACTTTCCTCTGTTGAATTCGTTGGCGTCGGCCTGAAAGAGGAGTTACTCTACTTAGGTAGCTTCCTGGAGAATTAAATACAATGAAAATGGACCGAACACTTTTGTATTTGTTAACACAGTTGAAGGTTTTGGTAGCTTCTAGATGATATGGACTCACTTCGTTTGCTCCAGACTGATTTTCTAGAACGAATGCCCTGTTCCTGGGTAGTCATTTACCGACCTCAAAATTTGAAAGGATGGAAAGCTGTGTTACTAGCTGTAGGTCTGTGGAAAGTGATTCCGATGGAAAGTAGGAGAATATCGAAGAAGAAGAGAAACTGAATTATCGTTTATACTTGTTTTCGTTCTTGCATGCTTCATTACAGATGCAAATATCGCTGTGGAGGTATTGAGATTTAATCGGCTAGAATTCTCTTAGAAATAAACATGCGTGATGAAGCTTGTAGATTATTTACACTGGGAGCTGCTAGGAGGATGTTGTAGAGGAGGGATCACCCTGGGTACCAGATTCACTATATAAAATAATAAATAAATAATTTTGTTTTATATATAGTGAGTCTGGTACCCAGGGTAAGGAGGGATATTCCTCTTCATTTTCTCTCCATCTATATTTCGCATGACCCCGGTATCGTTTCTTAGTGATTATATATCGGTTTGGATATAATGATCTAATTATCAACTTTACCTGCTCAATGACGAATATTTGAAAGAATATGTTTTGTCGCGTTAGCATGGGGTAAACATGCTTCAAGAATGTCTTTAGATGTTTCTCTCTGTCACGATAAGGAATTATAACGGCTGTCTGTAACAAAAAAAATTGTTAGAGTTTGTGATTTATCAACTTACAATACTTGATTTTGTTCTGCCTTAATGATCCTCTTTTTTATTTCATTTTTTGGTAGTTGATGAAAAATGAAAACAAAAATACCACTGTTAATCTCGAGTAGAAGAATATTTGTTGTTAGTGGGAACTAAAAGAGAATCAATGGATACAAAACTATCCAACCTTACACCACAAAACAGATAACCTAATGTATTGAAAGTCCCTACAGAGATGACACATTCCATACAATTAGGTCCTTCGAATCTGCTCCGTTCCTTTCAAATAACTGGATACAATTGCAGTGCCGTTGGAACGAAATTCATATTGGGGGGCTGCCCATTGTTTTTCTTCTCATTTAGTACACTGTTATAAAGGAAACATATTACAGTTTGACAATTATTGGGGACTCTAGCCCCCCAGCAACCCCCCCTCTTCCCCTGGTTTCCACGGGCCTGAATTGGGAGTTACATCTGGAAAAACGGGATTTGTAGCTTGTCAAAGGTCTCGGCCCCCTGGGTACCAGACTCACTATGTATAAAATAGAATATTGTACACACTCACTATTATTTTATATAGTGAGTTTGGTACCCAGGGTAAGGTCTCGGTTGCAGTGGATCCTTATCGAGAGCGTCCCAAGCTCTACAATCATTTACAGCTTCGCAATAAGCATAATTTTGCTGTCCGTGCTCTTGATAATGACCATTTTCTTTAACTTAGTTTTAAAACGATTACAATTTTCACATAAGCTAATTTTTACAAGCTACATGTGCTTTAATGCACGTCTTACCTTAACAGCCGGGTTGCAATGCGGGGGATTATAAAAGCCCCCATTCTTGATGTAATCTAGTTCTTTCTCCAACGCTGACCACGTAGTTTCTGTTTGGTCTACTTTCAAGGGTCCTACTGTTAAAAAATGAAAGTGACTCTTATCAAACACGAGTTAATATCATATGAAGGATGTGTATAGTCACAAAGTAACTCTTTCAATGCAGTTCAATATTGGTATGCGCACTGACAAATTTGCAATAAACTAGATTTTGAAACATGATGAAAGTATTTCGATCAGGCGTCAGTCGATTCATAGAGAATTGTTCACATTTTTTCAGCAAAAGGCAATGACTAACGCCAGAGTTATTCTGGAGACCGGGACAATGGAAGGTCAAAGGAGTTTAGTGGATAGTGCAGTTGTAGAAAGAAGTAGGTCTGGGTACTAAATTTGTATACCAAACAAAACAAAAGTCTTTGAAAGGCCTGTTGCGTAATCTCGCGCAGATTGACTGAATTGAGGTCTACAATGTCTGGCTTCACTGAGACATACAACTGCATCGAGCATTGTTGATCCGTACATTAAACTTCCACACAACTCATATACCAACGGTCAAGGTTTGAATGTGATTTTATTGTATTTCAAACCTATGGCTTTTAGGCCACTTTTGGCTCAAATCTTCAAAGTTTATTTTGAAATGGCTTTGAAAAAAGCAAATATAAAGCATATATTTGGTATATATGTTTGTTTTTTTTAAAAGGCATTTTCAAATTTTGCACCACAAAGAGATTATTTTGAATATTATTTTTATTTCCAAGGTTTGCAAGACTTCGCTCGAGTTCAACTAGATCAAAAACTTTAAAGTTCTTCGACCGAAGCCTTTTTGACTGAAGTCCGTCTAGTCAACGAGACAAATTATCAATATTACATATGGCTTTGTGTTTGGCACGCTCGACACCCTCGGTTGGGACATTGTTGCAGTCTTTAAATAGGGGCCCCGTTTTTCCTTAGGAATTTCCCTAGATTTTTTCACCACGCCACTGTTTATAAGCAGTGTCTTCTCAAAAGAAAACTGGTGCCTTATCTTTCCTCTATTTAATTAAATAGATTTTGAATGATAACCACACACGTCAATTTTTACTTTTCTATCAATTTCTTTATTACTTAAGATTATAGTTGGTCTAACAGTAGTAATAAGATTGACCAAGAAAGTACCCATAGCTAAGTTGGCGATAGCAGTTATTTATCATCATTTTGAATGCCCAATATACCGTTTCAAAGAGTGCAATACAGAAACTTTGCTTTATGTCGATGATCTTATTCGAAGGTCTGCGAATCGAACGCAACGAGAAACCAGCAGTTTCAAACCAGAAAACGTTTTGGATAACATAGTTAATGGCTTACCTAGTTTGCTGCCTTTTGCGCAAGTTTTTTCTGTGCTTGTAATAACATCGGGTAAAGATGTACTTTCCGTTCGCGCTTTTGTCGTGATCAGAATGTCTGCTGTCGTTGCAACAACATCATTTAAAGACGAAGTTTCGATTTTTCTGAGAGGAGCCTCTCCGCTTTTGCTGCGTCGTAATGACATACTCTGAATCTCATTTGGCTCCTGTGTAGTCAGAACAACCGAATCTTTTTTGAACAAATCCATCCGACTTTTTAGTATAGTCTTTTTTACTCTATCGTGCACTTCATCGGGTAAAATGAACAGGCATGATAAAATCAGAAGTATGACAATAGGCAAACGGATTTGACACGCAGCTAATTTAAAAAGGCGAGAAATCATCGTTGCCAACTTTCTTCGATCTCTTACATAGGAAGGGAAAGGAAGCCTCGTGGGCAATCGGTTATTACTGATTTCAAAATTCTTTTAGCTTGCTTAGAAAGTTACCTGGCTACCATCTACAAACAGCTCATGATTTGTAGGGCAACAGCGTCATAGAAACTTGCTTTGAGAATAGTTTTATTTGCATTAGATACCTGTTCTTTAGTTAAGGGAAAGCTAACAAACAACATCTTGTAAATTTAATTGTCATAGATAAAAGATGCTTTTTGAAAGATAACTAAATATAATGGAGTCTTGTGTCATGCAACGCCGTAGCAGTGAATGCATCGTTCGCGTACTGTAGTGAAAGACCAAATATTATTACTAGCCAGCAAACATTTCAACACATAATCAGTAGCATATGTTTTAGATTTTTGTAGCTGAATTTTTTGATCGAAGATAAAAGTCTTCTTGACTAAATATGCATGACCAATCATAAATGTGATATTTACCACGTGGTATGTGACAAAAACCATGGTGACATGTATTGTGGAATCCCACAGTGGATTTACTATTGTTTAGCTTTTCATCTATTTTGGTATTTACGCTTTAGTCTTATATTCTTATAATTAACTGTGTGCATTAATACATGCAACAGATGTATTTACTAATCATTTGAGCATAGTTATACTTATCCTCTCTTTTGCTTTTGCTAACTATTAACCCTTAGGCCAAGTCACGAACTGCTTTGTGTCCAAGCTAAGTAATATCACACGTATAGCACTAAAATCTGTTTGGATGAAATATATAATTTACATAATTGTTGTATTTGGTAGACTAATTCAATACTGAGTGTAACACCAAGACCCCGTTTACACTGTGCCGGATAAAATGTATGTGCATAAAACTTGTTCGGATTGATTCGCGATTACACTGTGTCGCACATATTTTGTCCACTTTGGCCTCCCATTAACACTGCGCCGGATAACTGCAGTCACATGACCTAAATCATGCACAGAACGCCCAAAATGAAGTCTTCTCTGGGCAACAAAATAGTAACAAAATTTCTGTCAACGTAAAAAGACTTCATTCTCTTATCAGAATCATCTGCTTCTCTTTTAGACCAAATCCAAAGATATTTTCCATACAAATTAGGCCTAGTTTGCTTTAATAGGTTGTTCTTGAAACAAGACACTGAACTAGCAACGAAAGTAAGCAAAGATGAAAAGGATGCCAATTTTACGTGGACTGACAAGATACTGCACTTATAACACGAGTATTTATCGACAACAAGGCAGCCAAGATGGCGAAAGGTCTTGATTGGGAGACAGTGAAAACTAAATTGGATGGAATAGCCAATCGCTTTCGAGCAAAATGCGATGTGGATGAAATTTATCCGGATAAAAGCGTTTACACTGTACCACATAGCTATCCGAACTAATTTAATACACTTTCCTAGGTGAACTAATTTTGTTCGGATAGCCGCTCTCAAATTCGTGCGGATAGCGTGGATCTAGTGTAAACGCGACGCCTATCTGAACTAATTTTGATGCGGATAAGATTTATCCGGCACAGTGTAAACGGGGTCTAAGTAATTTCATATTTTGGTTTAGTTGTTGGTTGTGTTGTTGTTGAGAATAGATTCGCTTAGAGGTTATATTTTGGAATGATAAAATTGGAAACCTCACTAAACTTGTATTTTTGAGATCTACTCTGTCAAAGAACCAGCAAGAACATGAGAAGTTCTAATACCATGCAAAGAATCTTGCTTTGTTTACGATGGACGCTAATCAAAAGATGTGGACTGTACTTTTGAATTGAAGTTTATATCTAGAGAAAACCTTCTCATGAAACAAAATGTCTTCAAGAAAAATTTATTTTGTCATGTTGTAAGACTGTTAAGTTCAAGCGCTTGTAGGTAATTTAACGCGTGCCTTAAAGGTAACACGAGACATCATGTCAGGTATTAAATTTATCTAATCATACCACATGTAAAATGTACCTTTAAACAGAGTTGTAATCTAATGAATTAAAAAAGAGAACAAGATATCAGTGTAGAAGTCGAAGGGCGCATTTGGCGGCCTTTGAGCCCGTCGTGTCCTGGGCACTGCAGTGTAAATGTTTACTACAAATAAAAAAACGAAGGAAACAACAAGAAGTGTCATCCCTCTTGTGTTGTCTTCCATCCACACCGGATAGTTGTCGGGAAACCACGACCACGATTATTCCCCAACCAAGCACCAAGATCGAATCAACGGCTCTAGCAAACGCGAAGATTCAATGAACAAACCAATGTCAATCGCGCTCAACCAAATACTTCTCAAGCACTAAGAAGTTGTCACTTATAACAATCATGAGCAATTGAACTGTCATATGGAGGGCCCTGAGCAGACCAAAATTAGATATTCAATGAGAATCGATGATGAACATATGCATATAGTAGCTTCATAGACTTACTCCATGAGCCTCTGTTTCGATACTGCCTCTGTTGTGGCGTCCGTCAAGTGAGGCAGTAGCGAAACAGATGCTCATGGAGTAAACCTAGTAACTTCTAACTTCATATCATTAGCGTGACCTGATCTCGACTCGGGTTGAGACCTATCACGAGAACGCATAAATAAATTAACGATGTAAAGTGAACCCATAACTAGATATACTTTATTCCGCGTTGACTGGATTAATAAATTTTGTATTCGTGCCAAATGGTTTACAAAATATGCAAAAATTTAATTCAAATGGCGTTATTAGAGATCAAAGCATCTGAATATCAGAAGCTAAAAGTAATGACGGTTATAGTTTAGATTCTATAAAATATGGCCTAAACGTGAGAATTTCTAGCCCAGATGGAAAAGCCCATTTCTTTCATATCTGTTCAGTGGATAAATCCGACGGATTGATTTCTCTGATCACATGAACCTATTGCAGGTGAAAGTTACTTAAAGGCAATCTGTCTCGTTGTGGATTGGTTAACGAGAACAATAGCTGGAACAATAGCCTAAACACGATTCCAGCGCTCTGCCATATTTTCTACAATGCGATAAATTAAAGGGGGACTGGAAACAATAAAAATCCATTTGTTCTTATACCCAATCAACGTCGTGACAGATTGCCTTTAAAGTCTAGGAATGATTAGGAGATAATGCTTAATCATCAACATTAATATAAGGAATACTTCGCTCTCGTTCATATTCTTTCTGTTGAATAGATAATAAATAAAACTTTTAACATATTGTAAATTATTTCAAGAAAGTTTATTTTACTGCTTGGCATGGACATGAAGTCTGATTATTTACACTTAAGGTTACGGTACACGTTTTCTGGACGAAAACATCCATTTTTCGCTTTCTTCTGATTCTAGTAGCTGGACTTTCAAGGCACACAATGGCGCCATGTTTTAAACTAACAGAAATTTTGAAAATGGAAAAAATCCTATATAAACGAAGGTTTTCATAATTCTCACGAGAAAAAAAGGAATGGATCCAAAAGATCCGGACCTTTTAGGTACGATATGGGTACGATCCACAAGCGTTTACACGAGATCGGACCCCAAACTATAAAGTGTTTACACGAGAACGGACCAAAAGCGAATCTCTCTTTTTGTTAATTTAGATAATTGTTAATTTTCATTTTGGCGGGAGAATATCTAAGATGGCGTCATTTGCAAGCAACGATAAGCGTTCGTTTTTTACATTGACAGACGAGAAGACAGCTTTGTTGACGAAAGTAGTTATGGATTACAAAGCTGCTAAAATGCAAAATGGAGAAGACTTGGGGGCTGTTATTTCGAAATACAAAGACATTCTACTTAAATTTATCGAGGCCTATCCAGAAACAGCAACAGAGGACTTTCCAAATAGTCAGGATAAAGAAAAAAATACAAAAGAGAAAGTGAAGAGAAAATAAATAAAATGAAGACAGGGTTCAGAAAGGCTTGTCGACTGTGGACAAAAGAGTGGGGGTGGGAGAGTAGTTTCTTTGTTGCATAATGAGTGCTGCGTACAATTGAAATGGCCTCCATTGACCCCAGCAACAGTCTCGTTTTACTGCCGTGCTTTTGTGGATCCGTACCTTCCCGTTTACACGGCGCCGATGAAGGTACGAATCCGAATGGATTCGCTTTCGAATCGTACCCAAAAAGGTACGGATCTCTCCCAGAGAAGATACGAATCCTACCGTGCCCGTGTAAACGCAAGGCCTATCGTAGTCAGTTTGGGTACGGATCTATGCGGATCCGTTCCCGTGTAAACGGGGCCTTAGTTGAGGTCTATAAGTCTCTTGACCTGGTAGGCCGATTATCGTTGCATTGCGATTGTGGTCGCATGTCTCATTTGCAATAACTAGCTACAATCAAATGGCTATACGGCTTTGTTTATTTAAACAGGCTCATTGATCTCAAATGACTTGACCCAGATTAGCAAAATCCCGTTTTCTCAGGACTCACGGTTCGTCTATATACAGGTACAAAAAAGCTATTTGGTACCCAAGGAACCAATCGAATGGCTCAAAAATTTGCATATGGCCGGGACAGACGTCGGGTAAACAAAGATTGTCTCAACATTTTTGCATTTGCTCTGGTCCGTCTTTTATAGCCAAATATAACTATAGGAGCGAAGAAAAATTGATTGCCAAATTTTGACAAGGTAAGATTAAAGGAGAGGAAGAATTTAAAAAATCTGAGACTTATTTTGGTTGCTTGGGATCTGCACTTCCTGCTGATTATTACCCCAAGCTTCCGGGTACAAACCTTTTGAAGGTGGTACCCGTTTAAGCAATGAATTTGCGTGGAAAATATAATTTTACAATATTTTTAAATTCTTTTAATATGACTTGAATCACCACATTATTGTGCATCGAATGATGTATAGTTAAATAGGATTACGATGATAGTTTGGCTTTTAGGGAGAGAACCAAATATCGTATCAAAAACGTTCACCGGAACCTTGAGCAAAGAAATGCCGGTGTTATTCTATAAATGGTTGAATTATTGTCAAAACGAAAGAAAGCAAGAAAATTCTTAAAGAGATTTCCTTGCTATCCAGTAACGGTAAATCCTTCTTTTAAGATCCTTGAATTGCGTTGCGAAAATCCAAACATTTTGAGAAAATAAAAATAAAATATTTTTTAGCCTTTTGTTACCAGAAGCAAACAGCTGAGCCAAACTGTGTTATGCACTTGAATTGAAGGTAAGCCCTTCCTGGGATCACAGTTGGTAAGCCCCGTTCTAGGCTGAATCACTTGGTGCATTTCTTAGAAGGTTAACAGAAATTTTTGTATATAAGTCATGCTCATAAGAGTCTGTTACTCTGTACTCCAAAGAATTCAATCCATCTTTTTGCGTGTGCGAAACAGCTTCCTTCAGAGTTTTAAACCTAGAAAAGAAATATTTAATTAGATAAAGCTAGCTTTCCATGCTTCCCGAAAATCAATGTGGATTATTGTTGAAGAATCAAATGGTCATTACTGTGCACCTGTAACGGTTGAACACTGAAATAACAGATGGCTGAAAGTGGTACTCTTTTGAACCAAAAATGCATGGTCTCAAAATTTCTTTCGCAAAAACGCCTGCGAGCTCATATATTAACGTTCTTGAGTCTATATCGAAGTAAAGGTTCAGAAAATCATAAACGATGGTACATGTTGCTAACGATTAACTTGATATTCTGCTAAACCAGTCATTTCTCCACCCCTCGCAAGAGTACTCTAGTCTATAAAATACTAGTTTTCATAGTATCCATGAAAAAAGTTGTTGCAAAGCACATACTAAACTCAAAGAAAATACTCTTTATCTCTGAGTTTTTCAACGCACTTTTGACTATTGAGCACTTTTACGCCAAGGTAATGTATACTATGTTTAGCATTGAAACAAAAATAAAATGACGTAATAGTCCTGGAACCTAATTTCTTACATATTACCGAGAGCTCGCCTAATTTACATTGCCTGTTATCGTCGCATACGCTTAAAAGACACTTCTGTTAACAGCCGTTATTAAAAACATGCCCCAAGATATATTCATTTAAGCTTTGTTTATAGGCTGGTTTTAGGCTGGTTTAGCTTTCGCCTTGTTTCTTGAAATTTGGTGTGGTAATAACAAAAGTCTATCGTGCAGGTCTCTACATAAACAGTTTTTGAAAAATAGGTGTATGGCACCTATTTCAGAAAATATATTCAATTATTAAATTTTTTAAAACTTGTTTCGTAATAAAAACATGCAACTGAAATGCAATTTTGTCAAATCGGAATGAATCCAAAGTTGTAACTAAAGGAAATTGTACCATAAGAAGAATTGTACCATATTTTATTATGGAAATAGCTGCATTGGCTCACCTTTCGTCGCTTTTAGGTGCCTCAGAGTGTTTTATCATTGTATATCGTGCTTTTTCAATAGCTGGTCTCTTCATTACTAGTCCATTTTGACCAAGTCTGATTTGCAAATAAACGCAGAAATTTTAAATTTTTCAAATATCGTTGATATATTCTTATGATTTTGAGATTCATAAAAAAGTATAGAAATCAATGTTATACAGTTTAATAGGGGTGCAATGCAATTAAATATATCATAGAATATCATTTGATTTTTAAAACTCGTTGAGAAGGCTTTATTTATCCGTCCAAGAATAGCTGTCACTATGTTTTTATTTGTGAGTTTCCAATGACTATCTTGCTTGCATCTCCTTGTTGCACTTGGTTAATTTGTTTTACCCCAAAGAATCACGTCAAACTAAAGATACAAAAAATACGAGGTCTATATATATCTATCAAAAAACATAGTTCTTAAGATTGATCCTTGTGTGAGGCCAGCCTTCAAACTTGGATGTTGACATTCAACTGACTGCCACTTCATAAACAATTAAATTTTGGTAGTTTACCTTTGATATAGATTGTCATCTTCAGCGCCCCATCCCCAGAAAGCATTAGAAAAACCATTGACTTTTTCGAAATCGCTTTTCGTGAACATCACAACGCCACCAAATAGAGTTTGATAGATAAGCCTGGAAAAAACATTTAACTATTTTTCGAAATTCTTTGCTATGGATGCATGACAGAATTTTTTAAGGAAATTTCATCTCTGCACATATTCAAAACTTTTGAAAATCTGGGTGTCACCTTTTGAAAATTTTCATGACCACACCCAGCAAACTAACTTGATTATGATCACTGCTACTGTTATGTTCTCGTTTAATATTGTGGTGCTCTTTTAGAAGTTTTATGCACCTACTGGCAGAGTCTTCCACTTTGCGTTTTCAATGCAAAATCTCTTTATTTTAGTTTTATCACTGCACAAAAATTGAGTTTATCACAGCATAATAACGATTTATCACTTCACAAATTGGGTATCACTGCACGTTAAAATAAACCCTGATGCATAAAATACTCATGTCACTAATATATGAAACTATAATAGTAGCTTTTTGGTAAAACATTTTCTTTGGTCAGATAGATAACTTTTCAAGATAATGAAAATACCAAGAGAGTTAGATGAAAAATAGTTCAAAATCATGGATTAAAGAAGCGTTGACTGAAGGCTGGCATAATGTAATTTGACTAAGTCGGTGGCCTAAACAGTTTGTTAAAGAATATATGATGCGTTATTAGGCACCGGGCACCATTCTAAATGGGTGGGCTGAAAAGGGCGGGACCGAGAATTTCGTGGATTGAGACCGAGAACTATCCATATTATTGTAAACCATGAAGCCCCTTGGTTTTTCAGATGCATAAATACGCAAATAGAAACATTTTGAAATGCGAACACATACTCGTATTTAAATTTGTCCACCGCAACTGACATGTGAGCAGGAGAAAGATGGCATCCGTAGAAATTCCGATCGTCCTCAGGAATCAAATCAACATCATGGAAGATGAAGCAAGAGAAGTTTAAACGTTTCAACGCCTCTGCAAAGCCGACATTCATAAGCTTTCCTCTATTGAATCTGTTTTCATCTGCCTATGAAATTATAAAAACTTGGGGATTTACAAAACTTAACTTAGGACGAACATAGATTTTGTACATTTGATACCTAATGATGTTTGTTTAAAGGCTATGTGATATAGTCATAATACTAAAAAATATACCAATAAACCCATAAATATTTACAAAACTAGTTGATAAAAATACCTACTTGGGTACTATATGAAACCACTGTGTCATTTCCAATTTTCACTCTTTGCATCAAAGAGAAGTTATCTTGTACTACTCCACCTACCACTTTGCCCTAGTGTCCACCAATGAAGTCGTTTTTTTAATTTTTGAAAAAATACGGCCTTATGTCTAAATCAAAGTTTCATGTACCGAGCCGAGAAGAGAACTCACGAACCAACACCAAGGAGGCAACTGTAGATGACGTTGTTTGTCTGTTAATCAAATGGTATTTAATCGTATATTGTCTCATAATAAATGCAAACAGATGCAAAGTCCAACCTTTGTTCAAAACAAAATATATTTTCAAACGCCCATATGCAAAGCCTCCTAAAGTCATTATTGTTCTCTAACTAGAATTTGATTTGTCATATTTTAAAAAAAACCTTTCTTTTTACCTAACTTTTGTCACAAACGTAATTAACCAACCTGTTCAATGACAAAAATTTGAAAGAATATTTTCTGTCTGCGCAGCATTGGGTGAATCTGTCTCAAGAACACTTTCAAGTGTGCATCTCTGTCACGATAAGGGATGATAATTGCTGCCTACAAGAACAAAACAACATAACATATGTTTTGAATCCATGATGATTGGCCAATATAGCAGGGAAAATATATGTTTATATTTGCACTTTGAAGTTGTCATTTAATCAAAACCCTCAATCATTGTACTCTAATTTGCTTAAGTTTATACTGATTGGCTTCCAATAATGATTTTTACACTAAAATATATTTAATTATTTGACATATAGTTATTCATCATTTCAACAGGAACCTTTTTCAAAAGTAAAATGCCTATTAAAGTAATCTAAAGTGACTTTTTCAGCTTACTGGCTCGTATTAAAATAGGTTGCTAACTGTGGGCACTTGTTACATTGTTTTTGTGAATTGATATAAAGAATGTGTTCACGTGTCAGCAATGTAAAAGGCAATTGGGCGATTCGGACTGAATCATTATTTCTTGTGATTGTCTAAATCTTAAGCTCAATGAAATATGGGAATTATGAGTAAGCTAAATTTTCATTCTCCTAGAAAATTTCTTTATCAAACATTCAAAATTAAAAAAAATTAGTGTTTGCCTTTCTTGATGAATCTGGTATATGTGAGATTTTGGACATACGGTTTTACAGATGACATCATCTTAATAATCTGCCCCAGTCCCCTCAATCAATTGGTGGGTCTTATATTAAAAGCAACTTACTTTGACAGTGGGCGTGCAATCAGGAGGGCTAAAATATCCACCGGGCTTTATGAATTTGAGTTCTTCTTTGAGTTTCTCCCATGTAATACTTGACTGATTAACATAGATTCGGCCGACTGAGAAGAAAAACAACCATTGAAAAGCTACCTCTCTATTAGTTATAGCTACTGAAAAGTTGCTATCACAAGAATAGGCAGGTAAGCAAAAAAGTGGGTGAATTGCTGAAAATGATGCAAATCTTATTCACAAAAAGATATCGATAAAATAATCGATATATTTGGTCGCTGTCGTGAAAGAGATTCGCTTATTTTAATGAAAATGTGTAAAGTTTTAAAAATGCTTATTAGTTAACATTATTTTAATTACGTTGCATTTTAATCATTTATTGACACATGTGTTGAAGTATACTCCTAAAATCTTTGGGCGTTATCATATTTTGGGGAAAAAAATTTCAGCCTCCCCCCCCCTCCTTAACTCACCCCGTACGCCCATGTGACTAACTGTATCAGAGGTGTCAAAGTCAAAAAATACTGAGCCGATCATATAGTCATAGTCGACACTACCATACCCATCATCAGTTGTTTTGAGACGATTTGTCAAAGTGAAAATAAAAAGCAAAGGTCTTAATGTCTGCTGGAAAGAAGCCCATTTCAGTTTAAATAGTTGCACAGCTTGGTAAATACAAGCCTCTCAATTGACTTTGAAACAACAGGTAGCCCAGAAATCGGTAGGTAATTTGATTGAAAGGACTTGTTTCCATCTTTAAGATTCGAGCAACTCTCAGTTTTCCAAAGATCAAGAAATTTCCTAGTTTCCAAAGTAGTAGTAAATATCAGTAAATATTGACTTTGCTACACAAGGCTATGCAAGTTTTAAAAAGAAACTTGAGGACATTAAGGCTTTTTACCTTATAGGAATTCATTGGAAATTTTCACTTGGCCTTACTTGCTAACCATTAAACTCATCTTTAAATCTTATTCATCTTATAACTTTTTCATTAAACCAAAAGCAGTGTTTTTCAGAAACCCTCATTTGTCGTAGAGCTGCATGATTTTAATAAAAAATCCTATAAAAAACCTAGTAGACCAATTGGCTGCAAGGATATTTACTCATTAGGATCTCTAACATTTTGTTCCCAAAGATGTCGCGGCAAGATCATCCAGAAATGTCTGCTCTTTAAAAATTCTTTTATCCTACGGCTTTTGATCGTCTTGTGCTTATTTTGTAAAGAACCATTATATTTTCCGACATAAAAAACTGGGTAATGACCACTCAAGGAGATTTGAAACAATCTAGATTCAACAATGTTACTGGGAGATGTTGTTGCAATATGGTCGATGACTGCGTAGACTTGCTCCAAGTCTATTTCATGCTTGAGAGAGGAGAATTTATTCCCCTCCTGTGGACTTCTGCGAAGGAGACGGACGACGGGGAGTGGAAAAGCGAAATAGACTTGTGGACTGTGTATGTTTCATGAATCATTAATGAGCTTACTGGACAGAATTCTGTCCATCTCTAATTTAACGATGCCATAGCGATATCCACGCAGGTCATTCAATGACTTCTCAACACAATAGCAGAAGAAAATGTTTTGTTTGCTATCGCTATTCTCTGTCTTCACAACGCGATCCAATGTGTTTTCTGACTTCTGTCTAATACCCCGGGTATTGAAAAACTCATTAATAATTCATGAAACATACACAGTCCACAAGTCTATTTCGCTTTTCCACTCCCCGCCGTCCGTCTCCTTTGCAGAAGTCCACAGGAGGGAAACAAATACCTCTCTCAAGCATGAAATAGACTTGGAACAAGTCAAGTCCAATAACTGTGTGGAGCCAGACAAATGTTTTTTTGCTGTCCCTCAATTAACTGCTTCAGGTTGACAGAATAAAGAGCAGTTCACAGCTAGTACAGTATTCTCTCCAATTAACGGACACTTTAAAAAGCGGACACCTCTGATTAATGGACAAATTTTTTCCCCCGATCGTTTTCTGGTCATGGTCTCATAAAAAACTTTCTGAAAAGCGGACACTTAATTAGCGGACACTCTAATTAACGGACATTATTTTTTGTACACAATAGTAAATTTGGCTTTTTTTCATTCCAATTAGCGCACATTACAAAAAAGTTAGGAGCCAGCAAACAAAAAACTTAGACGAATGAATATTTGTTCAAATATATATTTCAAACACTTTGACTTTTGACAATCTAGTTGGTTTTTTACAGCTTTGAACTTCTTTACAGCCCAGTTAAATAACTTTTCTTGTCCATGGATATGGTAAATTACTGGAATCTCCAGACCATAGCCACCTCCACGATTCAACCTCTTTCCAATAACTTCCTCCGATCGGGGGCTAGATGCTTCCGACGGAGGGGCTTTAGCCCTCCCCTGGTGCCACCACTGATTACACCTTTTAAATATAAAACTTGGGTCTATTTTCAAATTTGGGACTTACATTGCAAAGCTTTCCAAAAGGCGGACATTTCCAATTAGCGGACACCTTGCTCGTGCCCGACGGTGTCCGCTAATTGGAGAGAATACTGTATCACCAAAAAGATTGATTTCGTTTTCCACCTTATTTGCAAGTTACCTGGTAGCAATAGGCATTTCTAAAATTAATTTTAAAATTTTTCTTGCATCAACAGAGGCGAGGCATGGCGTTATTATAGCGTGAAAATATGCCATCTTAACATCATGCTTTCCAAAGCAGTTAGCACATTCCCGATTTGTGCTTTAAAAACGTGACATGCTTATGACAGATGAACTCTTTATAACAGATTTGTTTGAAACAGATACGAAACTGACGCTGAACAAAGACACCCACCTAGATCTTCGCCTTTTTTACAGTTCTCTAGGGTTACTGGTTCCGTGAGATGCTTTTGAGCTCTTTCCATTGATGTGGTGCCAGCATCACTTAGACCAGGGACGATAAATCTCTTGTTAACTAAAACTTCTCCGAGTCCAGATGAAAAGCCTCTGTGAAAAAATGCGATGATGAACAACAGTAGCATAAAATAAACAGCAAGCTGAAACATAAGCCGGCCTGTTTTAATACCATTTTTAATCATTGTAACACCAAGTAACAAAATCAAATTCTCTTGTGAAAAAACTTGCTTTGAACGATCTTGCAGCCAGCTAAAACGATGCTAAATACGGAAAACAGAGCAACGCTCACGCAATAAATTGGCAAAGAAAATACCGAAAGAACGTTTGGCTATGCTATGGTAACAGGAGTGTAGACATGACAAATGAAACTACCTTTAATGCTTCTTAGTTTCGAGAGAGGTTTTTCAAAACACTGGGTGGATAAAGCAATAATACTTCTCCTTATTTTGCATGTATTCATTTTTGCCCCTTTGTGAAAACACCAATTCAAAATGATTCAACTAGAAAGGAAGAGATAACGGTAATATTCCAAGTAGATCAAAGAAACGAAGAAAAGTGTTGGGGCGAGAGAAAGTGAGATGGGGGTGATGAGGGGTGTTTTATTCTCACAAGGGTCTGGGAATACAGAAGACATATCGTTTGAATGATAGTTGATTTACCTGAAGTTACAAAGGTGCAAGGCCAGGGTGAGGGGCATTCCAGTCTTTGCCTTGACGGCTCATTCAAACGGTTTATCTCCAAAAACCAAAGACTCAACATTTAACCAAATTCGACAACTTTATCGTATTCGATAAAGCTCGCTAGTAAATGTTACATTATACAGTAAAATCAAACCAAGAAAGATTATGGAAATAAAATTCGAGGTCATCGATCTTCATGGAAGGAAAGGTCTACCCTATGACAATAATCTTTTTTGAAATTCTTTTGATCGACAAAATACAATTTTTAAGTTCATGGACAACCGCGCTCTGCCAATGATCGGGCACAATCTGGCTTTTCCGAGAGTTGCTGCCAAATGGCAGAATCATAGGTTTTGTTAGTTTGTTTAGATCTGTAAGACCGAAGAGGCTGTTCTCTCAGGAAATTACTTTTCTTCTTTTGTTGAAGAGAACAGGCTCTCTCATTCTTTCCCCCAATCTTTGAGCTGTGTATCCTACGTACCCAGGATCAGGGTGGTACATAAATTCATAAAAAACGGAACTCTTTTGGGTAGGAACGATGTGCTTTTGAAAAGATGGAAGGGCTCTCATTGTGCTTTACTGTAAACAATGCGAGGATTCACATCAACATTTTATAATGGCCTGTTTGTTCTGACTTTCAAATTGATATTTGGTTTTTAGGACAAAACTATTGTCAGAAATGTACATGTCACTCTAATTTTGAAATGCTTCGGACATTCCTGCATTTGAGCTATGTGTTCTTGTTTACATTAATCTACTGTCCTTCAAACACGTCATGCATTTGCATGCCTTACTACCTTACAAAGCCTACCGTATCTACTCGATTATCTACACTATATAATAGAATTTCAACCAACAACAACATCGTCGAGATAACGGACCGTCAATGTCGTCCAGAGGTATTTTTTCCACATCTTCTACATTATCACCCTCAGCTAACCGGGAAGCAGCTAGGCCGGACTTGGGTAAAACAATGTAAGCTGCCCTCGTTTAAAAGCCGCCCTCGTTTAGAAGCCGCTCTTGATTATAAACAGCAGCAAAATGTGCGAATTAATAATAAAAGCCGCGGCTTACATTCCAATAAATACGGTACTTCTGTCTAAGTCTAAGGCTGTGATTTAGCATTTCAAAGAGACAACTACAGCATTGAACAAATATTGAAAATATGGGTTGATAAAATTTATTAGTTTAGATACAGCTCTTAGTAAGAGCTATAATTTCAAAATGATTCTTTTTCGAACTCATAATTTTAAACAACTTTCTGATACATTCGCTGATAAGCTCACGTGGTTACAAATCACATCTGGAAGTAATGCTGTTTTTTATCACTTAGTACAATTTCTGCTAAACATGAATTGCGCATACCAACAGAAACTTCCAATACCACCTAGAAACGTTTCCCCTAGAGAGTGCTAAAGCGAATGGGGATTTTGTCTTAATGTCGATGAGTAGACTATAAATCGTCTTACTTTGAAATTGGATACTTAAGCCAACCAATCCGTTCAAAATAAAGAAGATACTAGATAATTTACACGCACAGTCACACCCAACTGAGCTGTCTCGTGGCATACCTCCGTAACATATCTTGGGGATTCTTATTTTCCCTAATGGCCTAACCTAAAACATAACTAAATAGCAACAGCTGGTGGCCGTTTAAACAAAACCAGAAGCGAAACCCATGCAGAGTACATTTGGCATCGTGACGCAGCTGTTTCTATGGCACCGATAAAGATGTACAAGAATCTCCGAACAACTGGGCAAGAGGCGAAACTAATATGCATTTTGGACACGTGGAGTCTAGCTGGGCTATTTTCGAAACACCCCTCTTTAAAAATCAAGACAGACAAGGAGCCGAATGAAAACATATATTTGAAAGAAACGTTGAAAAAACAAGCTAGAAAGAATTTGGCTTCTTCAACAGGGAAGGACTTTGTAACAATGTATGATTTGGTGCGCAATGCAAATACGTAGAGCTCGTATATAAACGTGATAATTCAGGTAATAGCTGCTTAACCCGCAAATGATTAAGAATATTGTTCATCGACCTCTTTTTCCTTTACCCTTCTTTCCCCTGTTTTTTGTTTTGTCTTTATTTTTCATTGCTCTAAGATCTTTCTTCATTCTTGGATCCACAACCTTATAGAGTCCTTTCACCCCAGACGGCCTTGGGTATCTCTTGCCAGCTATAAATAAGAGGAAATTGTTTTTAGTTCATATAAGTCATATGAGATTTTTATACACCATTGCACTGAGGTGTCAATATAAGAAGCTGCTTTTACTGTTACTACAACACTAATAGCAGAAATTAAAGATAAATTGTCTTACCAAGTCCTTTCTTTGCAACCACGTATTTCTTTTCAACTTTCTTTTTATTCAGCAGTCCGGCATTCTTGTATATCCTATAAAAAATTCAACGAAATTTTATTACTTGTTGAAGAAGATTTCCAAAAGAACTAAACTGAAAATTATCTTGAACACAAAAAATTAAACTCTAGATTGCTTTGGAAAGTAACGTTGGTAGAAATATCAGATAAAGAAATATGTGGTACATACGATTTGATCTGATACATTTTTTCTTTTTCAGATACATCCTGTGTATCCAGAATTGTATCTGCTTTCTTGCGAACCTTTTCCATCTTCTTCATCGTCTAAAACAAAACATTCCTACCATTTAACAGCCGTATGACGTACAGAGTAGCTGACCGCCGGTTTTAGTCCTGCTTATGTCATGCTGGTCATGTCAATCGCTTACATTCTCTCTCATTACAAAATAAAGCAACTTTTGATTTAGTGCTCACATTTCTGATTGGCCTATTTTGATCCACCACTGGGTGTATATATTTCCTAGTGTAGAGTTTTCGATCCATGTTCTGATATGTTATGCTCTGAAGACTATCAGATGAAAAGGTTTAGTCGCTTGTTTCCTTAACTATGATTAGGAAAATGTTTTAAATAAATTATATTGGGGCAAAACCTTTGTTTCTCAAGATCTTTAGTCACACTGCTGCATTTATTATACTCAAATTATCCATTCTAAGTTAACACAGGTCGTTTCGTTTCGAATGATAAAAATCGTTTTTTTTGACAGTTACTTAACCTGATTCGAATAAGTGTTTATTCTGTGCAAAATTTGTTGTAATTATTTGAATATATATAGAGCACTATAATTTGCAGTTTTTACTACCTAGCTTCGGGAGGCAGTGTTAAACTGAGAAAATGATATGATGTTTGAACTGTATTTTACAATTATATTTAACTAAAACTTAAACTAAAACTTATATTTAACAATATTTTTAAAAGCTTTTAAAAAAAGAACTTTTTGTCCTTAGAAATCCACATGCAAAAACACATATTTGTGACATGCAGTGAAAGTTTTTGGATCGTTTCTTTCATTTCAAGATGCTTTCAGTTCCTTCACTCTTTTTCTTCTTCCGTTTCTTTCTATTTACAAAATGCTTTGCAGTTATGTGCGATTAAATATTTTGGGACATTTTGAACAAATTATCCCCTACTAAACATATTATGTGCAGATATTCCCCTTTGAAATAACCTCTTGGGAGATAATCACATTATAGATAAAAAAGTTAGGTTCTTAATACAACTACTCTTTAAAGCGAGAAAATTCAAGGGGGGGGGGTCTTTTAATAGCCCTGAAATTTTTCTTATATAGTATCTTGTTTGATGTGAGGCTTTGCGACTAAAAATTTGTTAAATATAATCGTGGATGTTTTCTACTCTATTTTGCTCTTGCCAAAAAAGGCGAAACATAACCAACTATATGGGGACATTTCAAATGCAACCGCTAGCTTTTCACTCTGTTTGGGTTAGCGGCCACTGATTGGTAGATGTAAGAAACCAATCAAGTACGCCGTTCCACCACTCAGGATACCCACGATCCACATCTGGACATAAATTCCGCTCACCTTCTGATGTGTCGAGCGGCGATGTACTTTAGTATAATTCGTTGAATTTTCCCTTTTACCTAACATACCAGAAGAAACCAAATTGAAAACATTTTCGCAAACAAATAACTAAAACCGAAGCTCACCTTTCTCTTTTTCCTTGCTTGGGCCTCCATCACTTTCTTCATCGGTCTTGCGTTAATGGCCTTGAGTCTTTCTTTGTAATAGAAAACGTCCTCTCTGGAAATTGGAAGCTGGATTGAAGTGTGTTTCTTTTCTTCATCGGCGAACCACGACGGCATTTCTTCTTCACCGTACGAGTATCTGAGAATAAATCACGTATCAAATAAAAGTCAAGTAAAAAGACTGGCCCTGATGTACTGGCTTTTCATTCCCGTTCACGCGTGTCTAAGACATCAGAGATTTGATCATGTAGATTCCCTATACCGTACATTTTCAATAGCGAAACAATATTGTACCGCGGAGGGTAGAACGTATTAGCACAGTACAAACACTTCTAAAGATTTTCATTCAATTCAATTCAATTCAACTCAAATGCTGGCCAGCAACAAAAATGTAGCATCTTACACAGCAAAAGGGGAGACAAAACGAGCAAGCATGAGCAATACAAGATAGAAATAGATGGTCACGTGTTTGTTCAAGAAAGAAGGATACCACAACCTACAACTGAAAACATATGAAAAAAGCCAAGATTTTTTAATCCAGAGTGGGATTGCAACAGGGCTGAGCTTTGTGCTTCACAAGCGCCAAGTAACTGCTCATTGGGGCTGGCGATAGCCTTTGAACAGAATCTTCAGTTTTCGATGGTTTCAAAGTAAAAAGGGATAAAAGGGTTTGGTCAGGTTGAAATTAAGGCCCGTGGCAGGTTTCAGGACAGTAGCACATTCTGTACGTCGTCCTGAAGCGTCGGCAGCAGACCTTATGTTGTTTATGGTGATAAATACTGAGACAAATCAATGAGAGGAAGATGCTTTTCAAAAAAAATCTTTACCTGTTGTAGGCGTCATCTATAATATCTCTTTTGCGTTTCCTTGATGTTGCCATGGCAGCTCCAAGTGCTAGGGCCTCAGGGGTGAGGTACCTCTCGGCTATAAAATAGAAAGTATAACATTGAGAAAGCTTACCAAGTAATCAAAGAAGAGAAAACACATACATGCTATTGCAAATTACAGTTTCACAGGTCTGTCATATATTGCTCAATGGCGTATAGGCAGAGGTGTACATGGTGTGAATGGCAGGATGGTTGCAATTTCGAGTTTCATGCTTGATGCGATAATTAGGCGACTGATAAAATAGAATGATTCTTAGTTGCAACTCTGAAAATCGGGCAAATGTTTAACTGCTCTCTCCGCGGATATTTTAATACAATTTTTGTACATTATTTTGTGAACAAAATGAAGAATGAAGAAGCAAATGAAGAAATGTTTAGAAATCTTCACAAAGAAAGACCAAAATCACGCGCTTTTGTTTAGCAGGGGTGGGAGCATTTGATAAAAACAAAAACAAGGCCTAGAAAGCTTTGATTTTTGCAAAAAATGAGAAAAAACAAACCTTGATGTTTCTGTGACACAACTTCAAACGATCCCTCTTTCCCTTGTGTTTTATTTTCGGGTTTAGGTCTCCCTTGGGAGATGCTTCGGTCATCGATTTCAGAATCGCCGCTATCACTGTCATCATCATCATCATCATCGTCATCACTTTCTCCTTCGTCATCGACATTCATATCCTCGCCCTGTTTTTCGTCTTTCTCGTTTGATTTCAGGCTCTCTGTGCTTTTCTTGCTTTTTACAGTATCCTTATCATTTTCAGGCTTCTCATTTGTCTGCTCACCTTAAAGAAAAAACAGCCCAAGCTTATAACTACGAATGGATGGGGTACACGACCCACTTTTCTAAAACTCCACACGTAAATATAATTGCCCCACGAGTGAGAGTGGACGTTTTCATTCTATTGAAAAAGGAAAGCTGGCAAACAAAGACTGATGTCTTGATTATCCACATTTTACCCACGAAGCTGAATTCTTTCAAATACAGTACAGTGGAATCTTGTTTCAACGAGCAGCGCTTCCCTTTAGGAATTACATAATATACCCAACAAAATAGCTAGTCTCTTTAATTCGAATAGACAAAAGCGTTCCAGGTACTGGAGGGCCAGTTCTTAAAGTGAAAATCTTGGCATTAAAAACGAGCCATGACTATTTAGCAATCAAGGAGCATGCGCATGGAACCATTTCAATCCACATCCTGGCTTGACAAGCTTCAACGACAGCTCAAGTAGCCTGCAACCAAGTCTAACGAGTCTCGCCGATGAAAAACTTAAAAAAGTTATCTAAATAATCACCGATGATTACATCTCCCTTTTTCTTGTGATCTTTCATTATCTGCTCGATATCGTAGTCTTCAGCCTCTTCTTCTTCATCCTCAATTGATTTAAAAACGTCCTAAAACATAACAGTTGCGTCTTAATCGCCATTTGATGGGAAAAAATTGCAAATAAACAGCATGCTATGAAAAAACAGCAAAAGACAATATTATAGTCATTTAAATTCTACTATTTAATTCCACCAGATCTATATTTTACTTACTAATCAAAAACCAAACTTACAATCTAAAATATTAATGAATATTTTCCTTTGATAAATACCAATAAATACTTTCTTTTTATGTGTTTTCACCCTTTTACAATAACATCAGTACACCAAAAAATTATGCTTCTCGTATGTGAGGAGGGGATCAAACAAATATGTCAACACTATCAAGGTACTAGGAAACCAGGAAACCAACCCGGGACGCAATGGAATTCGTACAAACCAGATAACAACTACTGCTAATGGCTGACTTGATCATCAATTTTACAAAAGGCATTCCTTGAAACAAATTTTGTTAATGATAACCTAGTGTTGCTCGTCCTTAAGTCGTCCTTTCTATTTTCTTTCTTGTGATAAAAAATTTTAATTAAAATTCATATTTGGACAAAACTTGAAAACAACGTTGTTTTGACAAAATGTTTTGGCGTCCTTCTGGACACTTTTTCACAACTCTTATAAACATGGTTTGTATGACTGCATGTTTCTCCGAAACTATGAATGAGATCTACATCGAATTTTTACTGATTAATCTTTAAGGTAAAAAAATCTGTAAATTTCCATTACAGCCTATATCAATCCACTTGAAGCATTCAAAATTAATATTTGGTGCATCCTGAATACCCATAAGGGAAATCCTATCCCCATGTTCCCTTCTTAACAGTCACTCGAATGATCAACTGCTTACAGTGATAAACCAGACGATGGACCAGACAAAACGACTCAGTGCTCAAAACAGCTCAGTAACTGAAACTTTTTCGTGATTAAAATACCAGTGATTAAATCCAAGCATTTACAGAATACTATGTAAGTCTGAGCAAGGAAAAACTGGACAAAAACTTCACTTACCTTCTTGAACCATTGCGATGTTTTGTCGGGTCCTTCTTTAACTTTCACATTGACGAGAAGTGGGTTTTCAGCTTCCGATCTAGGTAGAAAAATCAGAGTAACTAAAACCTAAAACGCCTGAGAGTGCTTCCAGCAAAACATTAAATTTCAAGTTTATAAGTGAATTAGAATCGACAAAACGATTTGTTTAGAACTTCAATCGTAGATTAGGCAAAATTCCAAAATCAGTTTTCTTTACAAAAAACAAATTTGTTTGAGTAATTATAGCTTGTAACATCTCAAACATCTATCTCTACACAGAACTAGCCAAAGTTCCCGTTTAGCCTTTGATTTCTCATATCTGAATCCAGTAGGCAAAAGTTTTTTTTAACGTGAAACATTTGATAATGAAGGCAAATGAAGGCTTAAGGAAATGAGGCGATAATACAACAATAGATAAATTGAGACGTTTGATTAACAAGGCATTTACATAACAATATTTTACAAACAATTTACAAACAACAACAGTTATAAAAAGCAAAAGCAATAAATTCCCTCATCAGCTACTTCTCCATGTTGTATGTTCTCGGGTCTTGGGCACTTTTTTAATAAGAAAATTTAAGGCTTATATTTGATCGCGTGTGCTTGGCTACTGACATTGTTACAAATTCGTACCTCAAAGGTATTTTACCCACCTTCTTATAATAAAGAAGATAAAGCCCCGTAAAAAACGCAACTCTAGCGTCAGCGTGTAATTGGAGAGACTGAACGGAGCAAACGCTACGCAGATATAAGCATGCAAGTGTAAGGGGGCTCTTACTGACTCCGATTGCACATCGCATAAACCATAATATAATCGACAGACACAAAGAAAGTAACATCCAATCACCAGTCAACATAAGATACGTTTAATCACAAATCAAGCATTATAATCATAAATACATACTTTTTGTGCTTCTTTTTCAAATCTTCAACAACTTTTTTCTGCTCCTGTGTAAGTTTGATTGATTCATCTTCCATGTTTGGACGCTTAGGCCCGAACATGTCATCATCATAAAGTTCATTATCTTCGTCACTCTCTTCGCCATTGCTAGAACCTCCATCTAATTCAAATTCCAGCGCATCTTCATCATCTTCGTGGTAAACCTCTTCATCGTCATTGTCATCCTGATCTTCACCTTTGCTTTCAACCTTTCCTAAATGCTGCAGTAGAAATAAGCGACGCATAGTCAAAGGGTGAATGGTTGCTAATAATTCATTGATTACGTGGAACATAAGACCCATGTGAACCTAAAGAAACGCGACTGGTCACAGAGAAATAGCTCCTAACTGGCCTTGAACGACAATAAAATACCTTAGGTGATTAACTATTGATCACTTCAAAACTGTTCATTTTGATTCAGTGATTCAGTGTAAACAAAACCCCACACAGCAAAAACCTTGTGGTAAAGGTAGCCGACTAAAGGGAGGTGTCCGTCGTTTTGAGGCTATACTGACAAGATTTTGACTACCGGGAAAAACTTTGGACGCAACTTGCAGCATAAAAACCCACATATAAGATTCTACTTTAAAAAACCCTGCAAACCACAAATGGTATTTTGCCCAGTTTGGCCTACGAACTCTCAGACAAGGTTTCGAGTTCAAATGATGGATATTGAAATCAATTTCAATTTTCTGGAATACTGAGACACAATAAATATAAAAATTAGTTAAATCAGGAAAAAGCAAGATCTGAAAAGATGGCATACCAGGATTAAAGAAAAATTTCAATTTCAACTGATATAAGCTAAAACTTTTAGAAAATACTAAATTATTACAAGATTATTGAAATAAAAACCAAATGGGCTCAACTGAAAAAATGCCAGTTCTTATATGCGGCTTTCTACTATATGTATATTGCGTAGACGCGACTTTTAATTGAGATTTTGGTGGCACGTGACATCTTATATAGAAAAACAACATAAGAGAGATTACATACCTCTTTGGATTTGATGGCTGACAACCTGAAAAGATCCATTTCTAAGGCATCATTGTTATCCCCGGCTGCTTTCTTCCCAAGTCTTTCACTTAATTTCTTCTTCATTTCGCGGACATGTTTCTTTTTCCTGTAATAAATCAATTATCCTTATCTCTTTCTGTTAAAAAGGCCGCCGAGAGAAGTTGGAGGCCCTAGGAAAAAACTGGAAAATGAGGTCCCTGCGAGCGAAGGGAGCAGAAAAGTTTTGCGACCACGCCCTTTAAATTAGTAGCTTAAATTCGTTCATTCGATTAAAATGTTTTACTATTTATGGGCATAATTTTGTTACTTTTAATTAATTTTATTTTTAAATAGAATTCATTACTTGATGAGATCAGGTCCCCTAGCCTCGAAGCCCTGGGGCAATTTTACCCCCTTGCCCTCCTCTCGGGGGCCCTGACCATACGAGGTGATATGTTCTAAAAATGCCAATTATTATCATTGTTTCCATCACGGTGTCTTGAAAACAAAAAACAAAACAAAATCTAGAAAATAACATAAAATGTTTATGAAAATCGTACCTTTTTATCCATAAAAAATATTCAGCACATTGGAAAAGAATATATACCCAAGATAGGATACAGAATTGAAAAAGATTTGCTTGCATGAAGTTTACCCGAAAAGATCATACTTCGTTACGAAACCTCAAAGCAACAACGGCAATACCAAATGCACAAGGTGCGTTTAACAGCGATGTAAATAAGTGCTGACGCTTTGAAATAAATATTTCGAACTTTCAAATTTCAACTAAAACATCTGAAAGAACACTCCACTCCAAAATTAATGGATATATTATATGGTTATGCTTTGACTTAATTCGTAAAATTTAGCACCAGCTGCAAACCACAGTGAGTTGCCTAGAATTCCCACCGAAGGTGTTGCAATACCCTCATCATCTTTTCTATTTAATGTACCTCCTCCCCCTACACAATGTTGGGTTCCGACAAAATCATTACGAGATCATTAGGTTGGAGCTGAAACCGTGTATCAGATTTCTAGTGAAATATTCGTCTTCCGTTCCAACATTGTCTGGGGGAGGGGGAATGAGGACCCTTGTTCTTGAAATAAAAAGTAAAAAAGAAAAATGAGCCGACTACTTTTGGCAGCCAGTGTATGCCGATTTTGGATTGATTTTGGACTCACCTATCTTAGTGCAGTGAGCACTGTAAGACAATGGACAGTACAAACGACACAAGGAATTACCTTTTTGCTTCATGTTTTTCTTCTTCTTTCAGATCTTTTATCATTTTATCTAAAGCTTCCTGGTGATCGAAAATACATTATGAAGAAGATTCAAATAGATAAAAAGAAAGACGATAGTTCTTTGCAAAGACAAAGAAAGAAAACATGTTATTTGAGATAAAGCACTATGAGACGGAGAGGTTAAATTTGCACAAAAACACTTTGTCTTGGTATACAGCTTTATTGTCCGTCTCCAAAAAATTCTCTGTAATGACTTGACTATATCAATCATACATTAATACCATATTATACTGGCATATCTCTTTCTCGAAAAATACTTGGAAATTCTCTGCATTTTTAAGATCTGAGGCAGGTGAAATCCCACAAAATATACATTTGAAAACAAAATTATATTGAGCTTTACCTAAAACAACAATAGATCAAAGTTTTTTGAAGTTGCGATACAAACCTCTGTTTCCTCTTCGGTTTCTTTATTACTCTCAGATGGTTCCTCCGACTCTTTCCCGTCAGCCTTTTTCGCCTCTTCCTCTTTGCGAATCTTCTTTCTCCAGGTCAGAATATTCCTGTTACAGAAACAAACAAACATGTTATTGCAACCAAACTAACATGCACCACGAAATCTCCCTGTTGCTAACATGTTTAAAGGTCTTATAATATTCATCAGATAGAAACTTCTAAAGCATTATTTACCAAAATACCCATAACTTACTTTGCATTCTAGTTGCTAATTTTTCAATTCTCATTTGCACTTATTTATTTCAAGGTAGATAGAAAAAGCTGAATGAGCAATGTTTGTGCATGCAAAAAGATATTAGACATGATGCTTATCAGAAAATGGTGAAAAAACAAACTTGAATATCAATAAATCATCTTTGGTTGTTATATAAAGTTTCATACTCCAACAAAAAAAACATGAAATGCAATTTCTAGCTGGCAAATAAATTGATACATTTATTGGTGGTACAAGAATTAAAAATGGCTTTAAAAATAGCAAACATTTTGAAACGTACTATAGTTTTTCGTCTGACACGTTTTAGAGCATAAAAGTTCAGAACATAGATCGAAAGCTGTAAGATAAGATACATTTATATATATTTATTTATTTACAGTTGTGGATCGAGATAGGCCAACTTACAATCTGCAACTGGGTATATATATATTTCCTAAATCACATTCTTCGATCTATGTTCTGGCGTTTTATACAATAAAGAGTGTCAAACAAAGCTTTAGTATGTCTCAAATTATTTGTTTTTTCAAAGCCATTTTTAAATTACTATATAAATTTAGAGAAAATATAGTACATTAAAATACAGCCGATTAGACCTTTTAACAAAAATCCATCACGTCTCAACGCAGCCATAAAACAACTGTGTCTCAATGGATAGTAGCAAGCTAAAAAAAACTTTTTCTGCTTTGGATAGGGTTCAACCCTTTGGCTCCACGTGCCATTTTGCTAAAAAAAATTTGCTTGATCTTGCGTTGTAAACACAGGTGCAAATCTAAAATCGCTAGTTTCTAAAAGTTCAGTTAATAACCTAAAATTTTTCAGTTAGCACTTACTTCAGTTCCTTTTTTCCAAGCACTTTGATATCTTCGCAACATAGTTTTATTTCTTGGGTTGTTAAAAAATGACTGGCAATTATTTCGTCGTCTAGTATCAGCTATAAATTGGAAAACAATATAATTAATGATTAATATTCTAATCACAAATGAATATCATTCAAATATCATTATCAATAGAAAATAACGACTTCACTTAGAATTATTGAACATCTATTGAGCATCTGTAAATGCAATATTTTCGAGCGATTTACTTTGGCTTTAGAGTGTAGCACAACATATTTATAAGTTAAAACGTTTATTGCGATCAACAGGCAACTGTAAAACTAATCTCTCTGTAGCTTTTATTGCATTTAGTTGTCATTCCCCTGGTACAAGGGGAACATAGTTGACCAATAGGTGTTAAATGAGGGGTCATTCTGTAGTCAAATTTTGCAGTTACATAACAGGAATTTTTTTGGTGTCAGCATTTGTTCATACATCTACACAACAGACAGTAGTTTTCATTAAATATTCAATTATAATAGTTCAACAGTAGAATTACACACCTACTTTTCTAGATTTATTAACCGAGAAACGTTATTGAGGAAAATGAAAAAAGAAATCGCTGAAAAGATTTAGATTTCTATTCAGAGATCAATTTATAAATAACACAAAAAACAAGTAAATAAACTAAGGCTCAAGGAAACAAGGTGAGTGTCTCGAGTTTATTTCATTACAGACATTGACACAAGTCCTGAAATTGTCAGGGTAGGACAAACACATAATGTACAGAATAAGGAAATAGATCACATCATGCCTGTTACCATTATTGAATTATGAGGCGTACCTGGCTTGTTGTAGAGAGCATTTCAATCGGGTTGTCGCAAGACATAAATTCAGAGACTTTGTTCGACGTGAATAGGGTGTAATTGCCTTCTTCGTAACCATCTCTCTGGCGTTTGTGTTTCTGGAGAAAAAAATTGATCAAATAAGAATTTTGCGTTAAACGAAATTCAAAAGGCATACATTGAAAAAGGGTTTTATAGTTAATAGAGATCTAATTGAGGTTGAAAACATGATCTATAAAATGGTAAGATGGGTTTGTGGGTAAGGCAACGAAAGATATATAGTCATTTAATCCTTGCTCTTCCTTTTCATATTCCACCAACGCAAACACAAAGTTTTAGAATGGGGTTTGTAACTGGGAACCTTAAAGTGAATGGCTTGAGCTAAAAATAATTAACAGTCTGCTTCAATTCCGGCATGCACTCATACGCTAGGTGACAAATGACCAAAGGAAAGCTTTTATGAAATCAAAACAACAAAAACGTATTGGGTAATGATCACTTCTTCCTTTTTCATCACACTAGGAAATGCTTGCAGTTCCCCACTTTTAACTCTGGTCATTATTCACTTTGATTTTAAACAAGAATTTCTTCCTGTTCCAAGAGATGCGATGATATTAAAATACTGGAATCTTAATTGCCACCTAACCCAAAAAACAGCAGCTGGAACAAGCTGATCATAGTTTTGCCAGTGAATGTACTTCGAGAACTTTTAGTTTGATTTCATACTACGACAACAAATTTACCTCTGGCTTGAAAATGTCGATTTTTTGCTTTTTAGTATCCTCGGCCTCTTTAAAAACATGTTTTATATCAAGCAGCTTCTGGTCTAACTTTGCAGGAGCTAGAAAGCCCTAGAAAATGGTTTTGGGAAGACATTATAAATAAATAGTTGAACATTTCATCTAAAAGAGAAGCATGTAAACTCAATCATCCAAAATATGTTCATTCTAAGATGCAATATTCACAACTGTAATCAAATAGAAGTTATCAAAAAAATTTCATTTTGATAGAAAGAGGCAATTTGCAAATCTTTGTTACGTTTGTAGTTACGTGAAAAAGCTACCAACAATGAAACTTTATCATTCATAGAAAAAATTACCAATGATACAAAGGATACGAGCATGGTGATAACTTCATTTAAAGAAATGTTTCCAGCGGACAAAGAATGAATAAAAACCCATAGAAATAAAGCCTAGTTGATATGAAGGTGAAGCCTAAAAATATCAATATTTTTCCCATACCTGGCACACGACAAAGATTTCAGCTGATTCATTTCTTGAGGCCTACGAGAAAAGGGTTTAATATTAGTTACTAAAAGATTCATGAAAGGGAAGATGAGATCCAAACTTACTATAATTTTGATGAGCAATTGTGAGTTATGAGCGACAATAAAAGCGTTCCAGCTATTGTGATTTGTATCTTGCTTTTGCAGTACAGCAGCATGCTTCGGACCACATGGTAAGCAAAATGAATCTACATAACACATGGAGTGAGGCGGATAACCATCTCTCTGTGCATCAAGGAGAAATGGAAAGAATCAGTACACATCTCCATGGCAAAGTTTTTTTAATATCTTAAGACATATCTACCGAATTTCAACACTGAAAGTCTAAAAACAAGATTAATAATCCTTGTGCAATGGTTGCACAGACACAATGACAGCACAGATCTCAGTGATTTCAGGAAGCAGCATTTGGCTTCATGTCTTATATAGAACCAGCCAGAGGTAAATTTTGAAGGTATTGGGAAACTTATCAAGATAAAGAGTTGCCATCTAGAGAGCAAGAATAATGAAAATTACTGTTTACCGGTCTGTCATAAAGTGCCTGATTCCTTTTAGGCAGAGTTTACATGCCTTTGGTGTAAAGAACAGGACGGTTCTAAAGTGCTACTCACAGGATTACGTGTTTACACATGATGGACCAAAGATAAACATTAAAAGTACCTGAGGCTTTGTCGCATGAACTCTTTTGAAGAGGGCTCGAAATGTTACCAACAAATTTGCATAGTCCTTTGATCTGAAGACCTATAAAATTGGTAGTAACTTCAGGCAAGGAAGCAAAACAAAAAAAGGGCAAAATGTAGTTGAAAACGAGGTTGGCAGGGGAAAGGATGTGGTTATACTTTTCAATTACAGAGATGTGAAATATCAAAAAGGGAAATTCCTCCATAAAGAGAAACAGCATGCAAGTATATGGAAACATTCAAATTTGGGTTAACATGTAGTTGAACATACCTTTGTTATAAACCATCCTCCTTTGTTCAGGAATTCACAAGCCAACTTCAAGGCTGAGAGAGTTAGCTGGGCTGTAACCAGATACAAACATTTTTGAATAATTAAATATCCATAAGGTTCATAAATACACAAGTTGGCATTTGTATGTGCCAAATGTAAAATAATGGCTCCTATTATTATCTAAAACCAAATACTTTCTGCATTAAAACTTTTTCTATTTTCCACTCAGCATTTTATCTTGCGTATCTGCATACCTTGAGTGAAAGCATCCTGAACCCAAGCAGTTCCAACATTTGGGGCACCATCATTCAAAACACAATCAGCTTTCCAAGTTTTCAATTCTTTTTTCAATTGCTGTCAAGTAAATGTTGAATTACTAGCAAAATACAATCAAAAACCTAAAGAATGTTATGTACAAGATGTACTTAATATCAAAGTTTTAGCCAATGCAAAAAAATTTTAATACACAAGTAGTATTGGCATAAAAAGAAATGATCAAATTTAAGGGGAGCACTTTTTCGCATGAAATTTGAGAAAGCAATTTGTAACTCATCAGGGCTTGTGACATTGTGGCTCTGAGAAAAGTGCAAGCCTGATCTACAGTTAAGGACAAAATTATTCAGACAAAATGCACATTTTGCAGTTTCATACTTTATGTTGCCCTGGTAACTTCAAAACTGTCATTTTCTCCCAAATCATTGTTGGATTCGTAGTTCTATCATTTGTGATTTTAACATGCATTCAACATTGAAAGGGGGAGAGAAAGTTATTTTTGAAAGGAAAGAGAAAAAATCAACTTCTCTTGAAAAGTCTCAACTATTTTTTTCTGGGATTGTAGTTGTATCATACAAGCTGCCGGAATACTAAAACTTTCAGAGCAAAAGGATCACTGCAAATTCACAAGAATGAGAGGTTTTTCAAAAATATTCTTACCTGCCTACAGGTTTCAGTTGTAATATCTGATGTAAATGTAGTGACATTTTTGATTGGCTTTATTGAAACAAGATCAACCCCTGTAATTAAAAATAGATTATGTGGAAAAATACTTCAATATTTTCCATCAAAGATAAACATAAGACCTATTGTCTGCAAAAAAATAATTGTCTTTATTATTAGTAACAGTTTCCAATTGCACATGACACTTTACAATACTTGTTTTTATGAAGCAATGCAAATAAACGTTAATTGTTTAATATAACACAGCAACGTGTAGATCTAACAATATTCTTTGACAGTTTTGCCCTTGGAGACAGAGATTCTATTTGCCTAAATCATTAAAAACTGTGCCAATATGCTGTAAAAAGCTGAAGGAAACAACATGGATGCACAGAAATGGGGAAGTTCTATGCATAGATTTTTTCACTTTCTGAACTAATTTAATTCTTACATAATTTTTGTGTGAAAGCGATTAGAGTGTAATAAAAAATAAGTGAACAATCAAAATCAAGTTCTAGCTGAAACTCATTTATAATTAATTATCACAAAATAAGTTATGACATTTAGCATCCACCCCTTAATAAGCATAAAAAAGTTTTACAAAAAACTTACCAACAATGATGCTTGATAATGGCATAAAATTTGAAGCTACTTGAAGCCTGTTGGTTCAAAGTAATAACAAAATCAGAAAATATAATTTTGAAAAGGTTGTTTAGAAAGGTGAACATTTGTGCTTGAGGATGTATGAGAAACACCTGCAAAAAATGTAATTAATGGAGTCATGAAATGAATTTCTTGTTTTTTGATCAATCAATTTTCAATTAGACAAATCAGTGAGGTGACTTTGCTTTCAGGCTGAGTGGTTTTGATGACAATGATTAAATTTTATCATACATGAATTGATTCAGATTATTTTAATATTTCCATTAATACTTACCATCCTCCTGGAGCAGCACAAAGATCAATAAGAACTCTTGATTTTGACAGAAAGTTGAATTTTCTGTTCAACTGAATTAACTTGAATGCAGATCTTGCTCTGTAGCCTGGAAAAAGTGAAACTCTGAGAACACAAATATTTTGATATACCTAGCAATATTACATACCATCAAACTTCAATCAATAAGACAAAAAATGGTTTATTGAATGAATAAAAAAGTGATTGATAACTGACTGCAAGGTAAAAAAATTCTCCAAAGGAGAACAAACCTCTATTTCACGTCTCAGAAATGAAAGAAAGATGAAACCTGAATGCAGTGGCTAAACGGTCTGTCTTGCAAAACACAGAATACTCACTGCTGTCATGCATAGTACCCTCATGATTTTAATTAACATGATACATGGATGCTTTGAAACAATTTAGACCTATTTATGCTTGAACAACCGAGATCTTGGAAAAAATGGGCAGCAAATGGGCAGTCTTGTGTGAGAAGGAAGAGCTGTAGGATAGGTTGTCCACCAAATTCTGTGAATCTTGCAATGAGTATAATATAAATACGAGGATTTGAAAATGGCTTTGAAAAAAGCAAACATTTTACAACATACTAAAAGCTTTTTCGTCTGACACTCCTCAGAGCATAAAACGTCAGAATAGGTTTCGAAAAAACACGATGGAAAAATATATACCCAGCCTATTTCGATCCACAACTGGGTATATATTTTTCCATCGTGTTTTTTCGAAACCTATTCTGACGTTTTATGCTCTGAGGAGTGTCAGACAAAAAAGCTTTTAGTATGTTGTAAAATATTTGCTTTTTTCAAAGCCATTTTCAAATTCTGTACCGCAAAAAAATTGTTCAAATACGAGGATAAAATTCAGAAACAAAGCAAAACGGCGATGAGAATCCAAAGTTGTGAGATAAATTTTTTCAAAATAAATAAAATCAAACAAATACTAATATTTCGCCCTGGCATACAGGGCTTCATTGGAGTAAATGAAATGAACAAGAGAATGAATTTGAAATGCGAGTTGGTGATACCGGATTGGTGGATGTAAATGGTGTGAATGCAACACAGTGGAGAAAAAATGGGATGATGGAAGTGGGGCAGGGAAGGGTGGTGGGTGATGTGAGGGAATGTGGGTGGTGCTGTAGATATGGGTGTAATGGGATGATAATGATGACTGTGAATATGAATATAAAAACAAAAATAATAATAATCATAATTGTGATGGAACTGAGAATATTGGAATGTAGATGATAGTAATGGTGGTGATGATGATTATAATGGTAGGGAAAATATGGTGCGGGTTGTGAGGACGGCGTGATAGGTGATTAGTTCTGTTGTAAAGTTAACAGTCGGTGGTTCTGTTTATGCTGTTGGGGGTGAGGGTGTTCGCCAGGCCAATGAGATATTGTTCTTTAGCTCGACGAACACTCTCTCGTTTGTCATTAAGTCTAACTAATGGTGTAATGGCAAGGTCATTGATGGTGTGTGCTTGGCTGCAGAAATGTTCTGCAACTCCAGACTTGTCATCTTTTTTGTTGATAATGTCTCGTTGGTGTTTGTCAAATCTGTCTTTAAGTCGTCAACTAGTTTTTCCGATGTACTGGCAGTTTTTGTTCCGTTATGTATACAGCGTTTGCATTGTAATGCGTATATGACGTTGGTGGAGTTGCAATCCAGTCGTTTTTTAAGTCGTAGTTTTTGTCAGTATTAGGAAATGTTAAATGTTGTGGTCCGTCTGTGATATGTTGGCATGTTTAACAGTTGCGTCGCGAGTGGCATTTATAAGAACCTCTGGGATCACTGGATGTGGCACTTTTTATCTTGGCACGAACCAGTAAATCCTCAACAACACAACTCATCACCTATCACACCGTTCTCACGAACCAGTAAATGTCTTCTTCCTTATATTTCTTCTATTCCATAAGCCGGCTAAGCTTGGCGCTAAAAGAATTAATATAAAACGAACTCTGGTCAAAAATCTAATCAAATTATTCTAACCTGTCTCCTTTGCTAAATGATAGAACTTGTCACGTCTAGCTTTTCCGATTTTTTGCTTCTTGCCCATGTTTTTAGGTTACACGTGCGATGTGCGATTCAATTCCCTAGGCCACTACAAGCGTCTCGAACTGGAGGCAGTCTGGTTAAGAGGCTAGAGTATTATGGCATCGCTTGTGGAAAACGAGGCTCTGAACAACAAGTGAGCCTGTCATAAATGTTGTAACATTATGTCTGAATACATGGCTGGAGGGTATCGTCAATGGTCTGCCGAAGAAAATGAAGGACCACAAGCCAAACAAAAGTATAGATCTTTGAAGAGGAAGCTTAGATGTCTTTTATACGAACAAGAATGTTTTCAAGAAGAGCTAAGAAGACTTCAAAGAAAGTTGCTCAGGGTCAATCGTGATAAAAGGTATAAACAGTAAAAATGAAAACATATATAGAAAGGGGGCTTCTGAAAAATGACAAGGGTTAAGGTTCAGAGATACAGGTACCATGGAAATGCTTCTTCAATTGTGTAATCACTTGAGTCCATCATCATACCCACTTCATCTCAGTTTTGTTCTGTTCAGTTGATTTTAAATTCCACCACGACATAAAAAACTCTGATGCTGAACGTACAAAATATGTAACGTACAAAATAGCTGTAATTGAATCAAAAATACAATAAACATAACAAGGAAGGACACAAGTACAGGTTGGTTTGTAAGGCTTCATATAAATCCTTGTAGGATAATAGGATAACATAATTATAGGATAATTCTGGAGGGAGGGCCCTTTTCCAGCCAGGTTTGAGAGTCCCCGGGAATCTCAAACCTGGCTGGAAAACATGTGTAATTTTGCAGATGCGTCACTGCGACCAATGGAACATTCTCGGCTGCCCCCATGAGTGAGAGTATTTGAGCTGCGAGCAACAATGCCCATCCTACACATAACTATAGTATAGTATATGAATTCTTTGGCATTTTGGATCACTAGAGGTGTGAGCAAAAGAATTACAGTGTTGCTGCGAGAATATGCAAGTTTTCCAGCCTGGTTCTCGAAAGCCCCATTTACAGTTCAAAATTAAACCAAGGCCAAGGTAACAAACTTTAATTTAGTGCAATGAGAAGCAACTAGCATAGGTCTGACTACAAGAAAATAAGCAAATAGATGAAGCAGCTAAGAATAAAATTTAGTGCAAACACGTAGAAGATAATGGATCATAGTTCTACAAACTTGATAATACCCACTGATCTATAAAAACGACCAGATCAAGCTTTTGTGGAATTTCAAGACCATGAAACGTTCTCAGTTTGAAGCCTGCTCAGCTTCAAAAGATAGAGGGCCCCAAACAGAAGTGGAGCCATTTCCCAAAACCAATGCTTAAGTGATATGGATGGGCAAGTGCTGCAATGATGTGTATCTGTGTGCCTAAAATGAAAAGGGCTGTTAATGTTTCTACACAAAAGAGCTGTTAGGAGTGGTAGTTAAAAGTGATAGTAACGGTCCCTGGATGTGCCGTTCTGGTTCCCTCTTCTTGGGTCAGTGATCATATCTCCCTCTTTTTGTAAAACTGTAACTATCTCTTGATTTTTATTGTTTCATCTTTTCTTCAACAGCTTCTTGCTGGATAGACTTCTACAGTATGAACCACCAGAGTTTTCATCATCAGGTAAATTTTTCCTTTGAATGAATTGACATGAGATGGTTTATATTGCACATAACTTCCAGTTAATTGAAGTTCTGAGGACAGTGATTCCATGCCTGTTTTGAGAAAAGTTGTAAACAAATTAACTTAGTTTTGCTCAATTCTCTAGTTTTCAATAAGTTTTGATGGTAAAAGTCTATCAAGTGCAAACAATGGTTGCTCACTTATTTTCTTCAAAAAATTAATCTCTTTGTTTAAAGGGAAAACATTTCTATTGAAAAATTTCCCAGAGTCACAAATATATTGCAATGTAGCAAGCTACCATCAATGTTTTTATGACTACTTATATAATCAATAACTATAGATATTTTTAAAATGGGTAAAAACGCAGCCTGCAGGCCTTTTTTAAAAATTTAAGCTGCAACCAGAGCCTGGGCAAAGCCTTTCTTTAACTCAAAACAAAATATTTGGACATCAAGTGCCACAACTTAGGCTATTCCAATGGAGCTGTTTAGCTGGGGATTTTAAGCCTATGATCACTATTTCTAAGAGAGACCTGAATTTTATGCGCTCTAACCAATAAGCAGCCAGTTTTATTATAAGCACAGTATTTTATTAGTTAATATGTGAAATTATTTTCAAATCTAGATGAAGAAGATACTGCATCATCTGCTGATGAAGGCCAGCATATGAAGGTAAATATTTTCAAACGGTAAAGCAGTCAATATGCAAAGTCAATTGGTTTCTCTTGATAAAAAAGCAAGCTTTTGTGTTCAGAGGATATTTATCATATTTCTTTTGTCCCTGAAAAAAATGATTCATTCATCAAAACATTTTAATCCCAAAGGCTTTTGGTATCTTTTATTGAAGACAAGGATCAACACAAATTTATTGGATGTTCATATATTACTATTTTTTCTCATGTAATTTTTAATATCTACATTTTTTATCAATATTTTGATTAAAAGACACTTTTGTATTAACTTATAATACCTTATAATTAACAAACTGTCATTTGTAGATATTAAAAATTTTTTCATCACAGAGTTACTGGAACAGCCAGATGAGTGCACATCATTATGATTCAGTGTATGTTGCATTTTGACAATTGATATTGTTTACCATTTTTTGTACGCTTCAAAAGTTATACACACAAGTTTTGTGACAGACTGGATGAGGAAAAGTTATTAAATTGATTTTAAGTTTCCATCAAAGTCTAATTGTCATTTGCAATGGAGTATGTATTCCAACCTCAAAAATGTGTTTATTTCCATCATTTTAATGGATTCCCTGTTAATTCTAATAAATTTCATGTCTATGATACCAGGGTATGTTAACATACCATAATTTTTCAAGATTCATACCTTAATGTAGAAGAAAAGAAATCTGTCTTTAGTTTTGACAAGTCATTGAAGAGGGAAAAGTGCTTTGCTTTGCCAATTGTCATTAATCTGCAATAGGCAAATTATCAATAATTCTTTTTAGGTGTGCCTTTATCAGTTGAGATACAAAATTTTGCATGCCTTTTTCAGTTGAAGAATGCTCAGTGTAGACCTACCAAGTTTTGCATATTTTTGTCACAAGCACAAGTCACAAGCATGAATGGTGGAAAAATGGAAATGTAGACATTTTCTAGAATAACAGATCTTCTGCAATTAGGGAGCATAAATTTTTGATGGATCCTCTTTTCAAACAGTGAACATAACAAGCAACAATGTGAAATGTTCATTTCAGGCCACCAAAGAAGCCATCTAGCAGTTTACATGGTGCTCCCAGCACGTCTACTCAAGAAACAAAAAGCCAAGTCAAGTCCAAGAAGGTAGGATGCCTCTCCGCAAATAGTCTTAACTTTTGTAGGCACATCAATTGCATTCTTAGTTTGATGTTCAGGTGGGACAATACCTTGCACCACTGATATAGAGTTGAATTATTTTGCAGAGTTGTTTGGCCAAGATGGCCAGATTTTTCCAGTGGAAGTTTCTAATCAACAAATAAATTTCAACTTACTTTTGCAAGTGTCCTCATTTTCTTTTTGGGAAATTGACAGGTCCAAAAACTTTGTGAGAAGTTAATTCTTTAGAAGTCGAATTTAATCTTCAAACAAGGATTTAAAAATAAGATGATATAGAAATTTTTAATTAACTACAATAATTTTAATTACTCACCTTCATCATTATAACAAATTTTTCATCCTAGAATACAGACAATGTAGAGAAAGTGAGATGCAAGCAGATTGAAAATGTGAGTCTTTTAACCAAAGGGTAATCTTTCTTCTGTTTATGTTGAATGTCACAGAAACATATGCAATTAAAGGAACCCTAATCGTTATTGAAAATTGATACCCATGGGAAAGGATTTCAGCTAAGTTCTGAGAAATAAGATTGATTCTTTGACTTGCAACCTTTTGTTATAATTTGAAGATCAGAACAATACCATTACAAACATTTCCAGTCATCTTTTGTGACCAAAGAAAGTGACATGGACGATACAAAGCGGGTATATCACAACACAGGAACATAAGTAAGCTAAATTAACCACATCTCAACAGAAAAATGCAATAGAAAATTGATTCCAGTGCAAATGTTTTGGAATAGAAAACACTGTAGTATAGGCACTTAGTAACTGAACTACATGGGTCACAAAGCCGTTAGAGCATCCTTTGAGCAGTTAAAGCGTTTTTAAAAAAGGTTTAGAGCAATATATTGCGATCATCCAGTAAAAACGTATATATGGCCTTTGCGATGTACATAAAATTTATAAAGGAAGCACATTGTGTATGTTGGATACTTAATCTTTCTTGGAGTGCATTAAAGATCATCGTATCCACACATTTTCATTTGATTCACCTTACACAAAAGTATGTTATAAGAGGATCATACGGTTTTGTAGACATTTCAAACGTTTCAATGCATTGTTGATGTTTATTATCATTTTTAGAGCGATCACTCACGCGAGAAAAATCATACGAGCGCTGGGCCGCTCGCGTAGGCTAATTCTTACAAAAAGGGCTGCCATTAACAAAATTTTACTCTAATGAAATCTGGTATGCCAGGTCATGATATTAGTGAAATTTACTAGCAAAATTTGGTTTTCCAAATTTGTATGGTTGCTTATTTGTGGCAAAATCATTTTATTCACATTTATGGTTTCTTGTGATCATCCACGCTTTGTATGTTCATAGTCACCCTTTTTTGTAATCACATTCACGCTATATCTGTTCATATTCACGCATTTTTACATGAGTTCACTATGCCCAAATATGATTTGATCAAAGGACAACACTTATTCAAAGCAAGATTTTTTATGCCATGACTGCAATAATGTAATTATTTGAAACCAAATGTTTCAATTTTTATTCAGTCTTAAAATATTTTGTGTAAACAAAAACCTACTCCTGCTGAAGCCCATAATTCTTGTTTACAAGTAAGAAACTTGCTACTTCAGGGAAAGCAATGTTCAAAAATGGTCAGCCGTAGAGTCAAATCTGGTCTCTGTTTGGTACACAGAGGTGGGGATGTCAAACAAGGTAGTAGCCTTTGGTGTTGTAGTTTTAGCGATCTATGTGTAACGAAGCAAGGAGGAATGACCCAAGAATAAGCAAATCTTTGTACTATATGGGAAAATAATGAAAAATAAGCAAGCATATTAATTGGTGAACTTCGATTGGCAAGCTATAAGAAATCCATCCACTTCCGTCCAACTCTATAACAACTCTACTCAAAACGCCATTCTCACTTCAATCTCCTACAGGGTTTTTTGCTACTCAGAAATACTATTGTGTTACGGATTAATACATTTTAATTGGAAAGGCGACAATATGCTATTGCATCATTGTGAAATTTGACAAAAGTAATAGTAATAAATATAACAAGAAAAAAATTCTTATGACGAAATTCCCAACAACATAGTCGTATTGATAATCTTAGCTTGTTCTATTTCAATAAAGAAGTAACTTAAAGTTTTTGCATGTGTATGAAAATCATTTTTAACATGACGTTAATGTTATTTTCAGTTACCATTAAATAATTGTAAGAAAATTTTTCACGGTTTTTGTTTCTTGCAAGAAAATTTTTTGCTTAAATGCAAGAAAATGCTACATCTAATTGTGAGAAATACACTTGGTTTCAAGGCACTAGAATTGTCATTCAAAGTGTAAGTTAGAGTGTTCTACTTTCATTTTAAAAATTTATCCAATTTAACTGATTTCATGTTATGCTTTATCGCAGCAAAGTCCACCAAATCACCTGCACAGCCAAGAGTGAGCAACACTGTTCAGCCAAGAAGTTCCATGGATTTTTATACCCAGGTAGAAATAAAGTTGTTGAGTTATAACAATCTCAAATGATGTTTTAATCAATGAATGAAATTAAGTGAATGATCTTGGTATTATTTCCTATCTGAAGTAGGGTTTATTGTCCTACAAAAGGAAGTTTCAGCCTGATTCTGCTAGTCCTATTAGCTTGAAAAGCATTTATTTTGGAAAGCAGCCATGGAGGGTTGGCTTACTGTAGGACGTTTGGATAGGACGTTTCTGTGTAATAAAAGGCTATGAATACGATTTTCGGTTGTCAATGTTTTTATGCTCCATGCGTCTCCTTTCTTTGGAATTTGATTTTGACCGAGCAAGTAGAACTATGATCAGCCAAAACATAGTTAATAGGTAGCATCAGTTTTCATCTTTTCTTTGGTTCACACATCGTTTCTGTGCAACTCAAAAATGATGGCAACGAAACATCATCCCATCGTTTCTGCAACCTATCACTGTAATGATAACTCGTTTTCTTAAAGGCTGAAAATCTCCATGCTTTTCCTATCCTTTTTTGATAATCTTTATCTATGTCAATGTTTTTAAGTTGAGAAATGTTTGTTGCTATCAAAGTAAACTGTGCCCCGTTTGGTAATATTTCCTTCCAGAGAACCTGAAAGAAATGGCCAGAATGTCTTTTGAAAAAGTCGAGAAAAAGCATTTATTGACAAAACAAAAGAAAAATTCATGCTTAATAAGCATTCGAAATTTTAATGTGCAGTTTTTCTTAATTTGAACCACAATTGCTTTTATCATACACAAAATGAGTCTCCCAGAAGATTTCCTGCTGTCTGTTATCTTCAAAAATTTCCTGAAATGCTTTTACCGTGTTACAATACTTTATCTGCCTTTGTATTGTCCTATAATTGTAATCACCAAATTTTTTAATTACTAATCATATCATCCAGATTAATTTTGATCATATAATTGTAAACAAAATAATGACACAAAGAACAACATCATTGTTTTTTAGCCAAACCCAATGATATCTGGTATTTCAAACGACCACCTTCCTGCATCAGCATCAACAGGCATCCAGGATGAAATCTATTCCATATCAAACATACACCATGACAGGTAAATTAATACTTCTGATAATTTTAGGTCAATCTTTGATCATGTGACAATGAGAAACGATGGCTCTGACCAAAGCATCTACAGTTGAAAATTTAGAAACAAATGAAAAGAGAAAAGAAAAAATTGTTTTTTATGTGTAATTTTTCTTTTTCCTAAACTTGAATTATTTTAGTTGTTTGTGTATCTGTGAAAGGTGTTTTACCTTTGTGGTGGGTTTTTGAATATGAAACTATTTGCGCAGAAATTTTTGCGGAAGAAATTTGTTCGGGTCAGTACCTGTCATGGTAGCTAAAAGTAATTTTCTTTCTTGTACACTTGTATTTTCTTGGTTCGATAAGTTCTTATGAGAGGTTGTCAATAATTGGTCTGAAAAACAAATCATGACCTAACCATGTATTTGATATAAAAATTAATCTGCTGTACAGCAAAACATTTGATAGATTCTCGCTTTTGATATATAAGTACCATGGTTATGAATATTGAGTACACACAATAACATGGTTATTCTCCCTGATACTTATAACAAGGAATAAGAATGGCCTGGATAATCGTTTGTTGATTCATTGTTCACAAGTTCGAATGACTTCCAAAAGCAGTTCCTGTGTAAGATATGCTTCTTCAAATAAGGCCATTCTCGAACATGATGATTTCAAGACAATGATGAATTCTCTTGATAAGACACTTGAAAGTAAGAATTAGTTCAGCAGTTACTTGCTTTTGCTCCTCTGGAGGTATTTAATGAAGGTTTTAATAACAAGAAAACTACACTACTGCTACTGCCATTGAGTAAATATTTGTAGCAGATAAAGTTATCATCTAGCAGCACGATTGATATCCTAATCAAAACATTTAACATATTGTTGCTCGCACACAAATCTATTACAATGCCAATTTTTATTTTATTCGCTGTGAGTTGCATTCGAACAAAAATTATTACAGTGTTGTCTAAACACAAGTCAAAGCGGCTTGTTAAAGATATTGTTTTAAATTTTTCTGTATTTGTTAGCTTTTTGTATCAGTTTGTATAAACACTACTGTTCAAATGTATGCTTTATTTTTAGCCCTGCTACAGATTCTCATGCCTCATCCGATTTCCATAGTAACATCTACGAAGGAGATGACGATCTTGTCATAGATCTGCCGGAGTAAGGTCATCCTAGACTGACATCATTCATTCCAAGTCTCTTACTAGTTTCTCACATCATTGGCATTACTGGGAATATTATCGACGGGAATGAATATCAACATATCCGAACATTTTGAAAACATTTCGAAAATTCTTCAAAAGAAGGACCGTCCAAGAACGCAGTTTTGTGCCCATAATTTCGCGAGTTCCTGAGCTAGTTCCTGAATTTAGAATTTTCAAAATATTGATACTTGTCGTGACCAGGTCTAAAACCGCTTCAAATAATCGTTACCTTAACAATTCTTATTAGACACTTTCTTATGTTACAATAGTTTTGTAAATATTTATTTAAAATAGCTGTCTCATTTGGATGCACCCTCGTTCTTGTGACGCTCATTGAACGATGCTAAAATTTTGAAGATTCTATTTTCAATCTGACACTGTAGCCAGATAGCAGAAGAAAAAGAAAATCCCAGAGAGAAATCAGTAAGTTTTGAAATTGTACCTATTATGACTTGTTGAATAATATGGCCAGTATTCGTTGTGTCGGTAAATAATTTCACATTTTCCTTAAGTATAAGATACTGTTGTAGAATTTTGTAACCTGTCGTGGGAAATTCAACAGTTTTGGCACCAGCAAATCTTATCACGATATAGCCAAGTTTTTTCTGGGGTTCTTCTGCACTGTAGAGGTTCGCGGTAGAGGATAAAAATATTGATCCATTGATTGAAAAATCATAACAAAATCCGTTTTGAGCGGTGATATTTGCACTGTTGTTTTAGTTCACAAGAAAATGTTGACCCGCTTGAAACCTAGCCTGCGTGCAGACTACTGTTTTCAACTCGGCTCCCCTGTTTTCTTTTCCCCTACGATTCCGTTACGTTGAATTAAAAACTCATTGCTTGGCTCTAAGTAGGATGCAGCTCTGTCCAAGTGACTGCGTGCAGACCCTACTGTTTTCTACCCTGGATAAAACAGCCTCGTGAATCCGGGGATATAATATTGTAGATTGTAGACAGCTGCGGTGGCAGAGAATGAGTTGTGGCTAGTTTCTAACTATAGTTCTGAGACTCAATAATGGAGTCCATGGTACGCCGGGTAACTGTGTTCTACTGGGAGCCAAACAATCAATTTTTAAAGATAGGAAATTAGAAAAGTAGGGAAAAGGAACGGACGAGCAAAATGGGCTAAATTGTGATCAAATTCGATAATTTTATCCGTTTAAAATTTTGTTTGGCTAGAATTGTACTGCAGCGTTTTACTTAGAGAAAGACTTAAAACTACAATTATCATTAATGCGTCAAGGTAAAGACATGACGATATTTGCATTTATATACCATAATTACATGATGAAATTTGCATTTAGAAGAAACATCTGTCTTTACAGAATGCCTTTTTGCCACTAAATTTTGTCCTAGACAGACAAAAACTGATAACAATATTGCCCAACAGATTGCCGAAAGATGACCAAAATAGGGAAAAAATTTATTCTACTGGATTTCTTCTGCACCTAAGTTGCAACCGCCGAATTTTTCCTGTCGGGTGAAAATCGTCTTCAAAACAGCAGAGGTTTATCGCAGGTTTTTCGCAGGTTTACGAAATTGTCAAAAACTTTATTCATTTTGTTATCACTACCATCTCGTGTCTACAATCGAAAAATTTGTTGCACTATAAAAAAGCTTCTTTCTTTGTTTCACATCTTTGAATATTCTTCAAATAAAATCACTACTCATTTCTTTAGGTTAAAATGAATATTGCAAAAACACCCCCTGAATAGTAAATAACTTTGGCACCATTCTGCAATCGTGCATTGAACGGACGGCATCTCACGTATACAAAACAGCTGTTGTAGAAACGTACTTCAAAAAACAACATTAAATATGATTATTTAGTCCAAACGAACAAACAATATGCTCAAAAATTCCGTTTGGCTGAGTACCAGTCTGTAATTCTTACAATAAACCTAGTAACAGGAATCAATATCCCTTCTCAATGGCACAGAAAAATCCGATGTTTTCACAATCTTTGTTCTCCTACTTTATCAAAAGCTCTTTCTATTGTTTCTTTTTCTTTTTCGGCTTACTTCCCATTGGTAGATCTGGCAGCTTGAACAGCGTTCTAAACAATACAATTATTATAGTTTATTAAGGTTTAAACACACATAAAGCTAAGTAAATCAAAAAGATGCTTATTTCACACTTACATCGGGAATTCAGTATTACATCGATATCAAGAACATCTCAAGTATAATCAGGTAATTGTTTTCAAGCATACATATTAATCGCAAATTGCTTGAAATAGCGATTTAGTATTAACTAACTGTCATGTGCTCGAATTTCAGATTGGCCTATTTCAATCCATAACTTTGTATAAACATTTTCTAGCTTAGAATTTTCGATGACTCGTCTTATGTTTTACACTATGGACAGTGTCAGCCATTTTTAAATTTTCTACCACAACGAACTCTTAAGTTTAGACTGTTAAGCATCTAGATCAGTTAAAATATTTATGTAAGATACCTAACGCAATCAAAACAACAGTGAGATTGATTTTCCTCTGCCATAAAAAATATTTCTATTCTGGATAACCAACATATTTGATACAAATAATACCATTTAAATATAATCATGAAATAGATAATTCACTCAAGACAACTTACTGGCAAGTCATGCAACGTGGAATGAATTTGCAATAAACTGAAAATAAGAATATAATAATTTAATTTTTGACATTTACATAAATCCCGTGGAAGCGGAATTCTATCTAAATGAACATGATGCCAACTTGCAAGGGGTGGGCTTTCAAGGTATATTAAGAAGCCCTTGGCGGCATACTGACATTATCTTTAGATTGTTTTGCCAAGCCCTGTAAATACAGGGATTTTGGAGTAGATAGAAACAACACAAATTGTCGAAGAACCTTAATTTTATATCAAAATTTAGTGAAAAAGATTTGCTATATTTTTGAATAATAGAATGACTTCGTGATGGCCTCCTCAACAATTGAACAAAGTATTAAATATTGTAATCTGAAAAAATCATGAAATACCTTTAGTATTTGTTCTGGGTTAACATACACCACAAAACAGACGTAAGAAAGTTCTCATTTCAAATTCAAGATGACTTAATCATTTTACTAAATCATTTTTACTAAATTCACACAAAAGATTTCAGGTGATATATTTTGGATACAAATCTGTTACAGATTGCCTGAGATATGATTACATATAGAGCACAATTCCGTAAACAACAACTGTAATTTGGTCTAGATTCTAAAAGTCATAAAAAATCAAATCTAAGCAACAGTGAGCCATCACGTGAGTTTCTTAACTTATCGCGAATTGGACTTTGACTGGATCACTGAGATTGTGCCATTTTAGAGTAACGAGAGTTTTAAAGGGAGGAAAGTGTCATAACGGAAGATTTTGGTCACATGTTGTATACAGTAGTAGCTTGGCATCATAAAACAAACCGTTGCTATAACAAATGAAATGGGTTTCAAACATTTTAGTTGAACTCCAGCGCCTGCTAGCTGCGTTTTTTGAATTCCAAGCACGAGATTACAAGAGGTGACGTGTGAGGCAACGACGCGAAAGCACTTGCGTACGAGGTAGCGACGTAAAGACACGCGCATGTGCGGTAAAGACACAAAGGCAGTCGCGTATGAGCTGGCCACGCAAAGGCACTCACGTATAGGGTAACGACGCAGAGGCACTTGTGTATGAAGTTACGACGCAAAGGTATTCGCGTATGCGACGCAAAGGTATGAGGTAACGACGCAACGGAACTCGCGTATGAGGAAGCGACGTGGATGCAGTCGCGTATTTGACGGAAAGGTGTGAGGTAACGACACAACGGCACTCGCGTATGAGGTAGCGACGTGAAGGCAGTCGTGTATGAGGTAACGACGCAAAGGCATTCGCGGATGCGGTAACGACGCAAAGGCACCCCAAACTTCACAAAAGCGAAGGTTTAGATTGTGGGTACAATTCTTGCTAGAGAGTCGCGCCGATCAAATCGTTTGAATGCTACTGGCAGGCCCATGTGGTTCCCCATGCAAGATTTATAGCAAAAAGGTTCCGTAGAAAGAAAAATAAGTCGGTTCTTCTAAAGAAGCATCTTATTAGCAGAAAAAAGGAGGACACCGTATTAAGCTTGAAGATTTGAATAAAGCGGGACTTAGTCAAGCGAAAATCAGGTAAACATCAACAATATTGGGTGGATATCTTATTGGATATCCTTTATCTTCCTTCATCAGAGTCAGTTTGAAAGGAATTTCGTAATTCTCAAAAAAGAAAGTCAGTTTTGTTATGTCGAATGGTCTCTTGGTCCATATTTGAAATGGAATACAGCACATAAATATTTGAACATCTGCTAAAGAACGAGATAACAAATTATACGATATAATAAAAGAGACTTATCAATGTGATGTAGAAAGCCACACAACGAAGGTGTCATGCATGTTGTTGAATTGCGACGCTCAAGAATCGTCGTCGTTGAAAAAACGCAGGGAGAACTGACAGGTCGAATTAATATTTCATGAATTCATTATTTCATGTTTCATTTAAAACAGGTTCGTGGATTTATTCCTTCAATTCATGTCAGCTGAAAGTGCCTGATGACAATTGTGCTCTGACAGATTTTAATTCTATGTTTTTATCGATAAAGGCAAGTCTGTTCCTTTGAACATTAACGATTGCGGAACGAGCTTAGTGGACTTTCGATAGCTTCCAAAAGCAATCGGAGTACAAGTTTTAGTCTTTAATAACCAACGCGAGCTTTTGGTGGCTTTAGAAACGAGCAGCGTAGCAAAGAAAGTAAGTACTGTCTCTTTTGCCGACATAACAGTAAACAAATTTTAAATATGCTTAGAAAACGTCATTGCGAGAAAGGAACGTCTTTTACGGTGACCATTAATATGTTGCGTTTCATCGGATTCTATTCCGTTTCGCTTTTGGTCTGAATATTCCTAAAATGTTCTTAAAATTCGGGTGATTTTGAGTCTGAATAATCTTATAGGCCTGAATAATCTTATAAGAAGAGAGTGTATGCCCAGGGCCGGCGAAACCAAGGGGCCGGGGACCACGTTTCTGCAGAGCAATATAAAATTGTTTGGGCAAAAGTTGAAAGAAATGTAGTCTAGCATTCTTTAAGTAACTGTGCTTGTTATTTCCTCAAATATGACCTTAGCTTGGTAACTATTTATTTACTATAGAAGACAAAGAGAAAATTGAAAATAGTAAATTTATCGAGGAAATCGGTCGTGTCCAAGTTGTACAACGAGTAACAGCTTGGTTAAGGAATAGATTGAGAAACCTGATCAAGAATAACTTGGTGCCAGCACAAAATGCTTGCCTAAACTTTGTTCACAAGGTCTATTTGTTAATAGAAAATTTCTTAAAAACGTTACAAAAAGAGAGAAATCAGCTGTTGAAGAAAATGAAATTGATGGGAAGAAAATTTTTGAGAAATGATCGGAAGAATTTGAGAAATGATCGGCCAAAATGTTCTTTGGAAGTATCATCAAAAAATCTTCAAAGTTAGATGGTATCGATAATCCATTCTTACCAAGAAAGAAAAAATTACGAATATATGAAAACTCGTTTTGACCAGCCCTGTTTGAAAGTTGCTCAAATCTAGTCTTTTTTGTAAAAAGCACTACATTACAGAAAAATTTAGGGTCACATTTCAAAAGCTAATATTCCTTTTATTTTTCTTATTTTGGCTCCATTTCAAATTTTCCAAAAAGTTTGATTACAAGCTACATTAAAGAAGATGATTTTAAACTTTGAAAGACCTTTCCTATTTCATGTCAACATGATAATAGACGAACTATGGGACATATTGACAAAACAAACCTTTAAAATATTGCTTCGCGTTTTTCTTTAGTCAAAATCAATTCTAGTTACAGTAGCTGGCCATCCCTAATATATCATATTTCTGAAATTTTCTTGCCTTTCCTAAACCCATTCGAAACATTGATTTTTTGGCCCTTCCACTTTCAAATACATTTCGCCGGACCTGATGCTATTATCTTAGTCCAAAATACTAGACCAAAAAAATGATGACATAGTTATAAATAGTCTACGGTTACAAAGCCCAGGGGCGTAGCTAGTCGGTAAATCTTCAGTTGGTGCAAAAAATCCCTGGCTTGTCGGTAAAATCGCCTATCGGTAGGTGAAATAGCACCAAAATTTATCTTTATCTATGTTATCATCGGAAGATTTTACTAATCATGACTATCCACCCCCCTAGTCTAGTCTGGAAGATCAAGTTACGCCACTGACAAAGCCAGATGGCTGTATGGAGTGCAACGATCAATAACCGTTACTGGTTTAAGAGTTATCTTTCGTATAAACATGACTTCATTTGCAGTGAAAACTCACATAAAGGAAGCTCACTCTTTAGAAACTGGAAAATGACTTTGTACTAGAATATAAGAAATGGTCGAGCCTGAATTCCAATTATCCAGTGCAAATTTTAAGTGCTTACTGTAAAACAAAAGCTCAAGAAACAAAATAAATTTAAGAAGCTCTTTTCTAGAAAAAAACTAGAAAAAGACTGACGAGAATATCACTTTTAACAAACAAACTAAAAATAAAAATTTGTCTTAAGTGATTTCAAACAGCAGAAACTAGACAAATTGTTCGGGAGATGAATCATGTCTGTCTTCAAGACATGCACCAGCCCCTGTTTCAGGGTCATTGCACATGCGCATTATCACTTGAAGCCCTGGCGGGAAGTGCTATGACCCTGCAACACTGACTGGTTTAAGACGGTATTGTTTCGTCTAAATGTTTCGTCTCCCGAACAACAAAGCTAAAGTTTCAACTCGAAGAAAAAACTAGTAAAATAAGAGAAGCCTATTTCATTTCTTTCGATTTTTACCGAAAACAATGAATTTCAAAAAAATATACACATATTGGATATTTTTCGCAAACGAAGCTTATTACCGTGGAATTCGAGGCTAATTTCAAGAAACAATATGGAATTATATCATAATCGATTTGTCAAAGATTAAAAATATCATATCAGCCTGTTGGAGCTTTTCACAAATGGAAAATAAACCTACTTTCAAAAGCTATTTTTACATCAAAGATTTTAACAAGAAGGGCAAGTCCAAGAACAGGATGTGTTAAAAACATTTAAACAATTATTTAACATTTTAAAACCAACAAAATGTTAAAAATATCAACTTCACTTTTTGTGTGGCTGCAGCTATGCATTGCAAGGCCATTTTTCAATCATTAGATTAAACTCTTTTTCAATCGTATTTTCTTCTTCAAATTGGAATCTTTTTTCATACTGTTCTCTTCAGAGTAGAATGTTTTTCAAAGATTATCATGTCAAATAGAATTCTACCTCTCTTCGTGTATGCTTGGCTTTACTTAATACAATTTTTTGCGGTACAGACCTTGAAAATGGCTTTGAAAAAGCAAACATTTCACAATAGACTACCAATAAGTAGTGTGTTGTATATACATAATATAAGTATGTTGTGAAATGTTTGCTTTCTTCAAAGCCATTTTACTGAATACATTAGGATTTTTAATTTCAGCTGCTCCGTGTAGAAACACAAATAAGGAATTTTAAGAATTAGTTCAAAAATTCATATCGATACAAAATCAGAATTGGATCTCTGTAAGAAGGACCTGAAATAACTTGAACAGAATAATAAAATTCATAAATGCTAAACGTTTCTGAAAGGTTCACTATATATATGGAAAAATTATTCTAAACTATTATATTTTCATTCTGGTACTCAATTTATTGCTAACAATATTATCGTTATTTTGGATGAAGTACCACACGCAACGAATTTTGGAATTTCGATCATATAGCCTGAAAGAGCATTATGAAATACTTCCAAATGTGCGGAACAACGTATATATGGGTTAGGTATATCAAAACAATAATAGGCTCTTTCACGTCACACCACTGTAATTTGGTCTCTGTTCATAACTTAATGAAGTTTGCCAGCAACTTCAAATCTTTCATTAGCTAAATTTCAATATATTAGCAGATTTTCTATATTTAAAGGCATTTCATAGTATTATTTATGTTATTTAGTCAAAAATAAAAAAATTGAAAAATATTTTGATATGACGTCACACATTTGAACTCTATAGTTCAAGGTGAATATGCAGGGGGAAGACTAGAAGTCTATTATACAAAGATCTATTGGAATTTTCACGTTCTAAAAATACTACGGTGCTAAAAGGGTAAGTTCTGTCTTTACTGGTGAAACCTTGGCTCACAAAAACAAAATTTAGCAAATGACAAAAAATAGGCTGGGAAGAGGAGAAAAAAAGTTTGCGCAGCGCTGATTTCTTGAAGATGGATAAAGGTATTGATCTTAGTCCTACAATACTGAAGCATTTCACTTAATTTTACAACGGATTGCTTAGCTGTAAAATCTCTTAAAACTGAACATGAATTCAGCATAATAAAAATAGCATTTTAGTTGAAACTTATTTTTGGAGTAAAATCTTTAACTTAGCTGAAAGGTGCATCATCATAATGCATGTCCAATAAAACCTAAAGAGGGCTGGAAAATTAACAAATATTGAAATTAAAGCGGGTAGCCCTTTATCTTCGTTAATTTTTTGCTACCTTAATGCTATTTTTCCAAGAATCACGTTAATTTTCTGCATGCTAATTTCCGATTTGTTAATTAAGTGACTCGTTAATTTCCTGTAATAAGGTAAACTTTGTGCAAGATTGAGACAGAACCTTTTGAGAGGACTCAGAAGAGACTGGGACGAGAGAAGAGTGTGACGCATATAGAATGATTTGGAAAGACTTCAGATTTAGGGAGCATTCTTTTACAATATCATGTTGGCCCGAGGAAAAATTAACTTATTACCAAATGTTTATAATATTTGCTTTTATGATATTTTGATTAGATGCGGCAGTTTTGCAGGTAAATGTAAGCAATTCGAGATTATATAAAATTGGGTATTTTCTTGATTATTTCTAAAGTGATCTGCTTCTATTTTAGAATGAAATTCAAAGTCATTCCTTGTACGAAGGACGTCGAAATGATGAAAAGAGAAACAAGCAAAGAAAGAGATGACACAGAACAAGCAAAATCGAGAATGCCAGTTGATGTTAAGTTTTCAGCCAAACCCCATATACTCTTCAAAGAGCAGTTTTATGAGTACCTTAACTCGGCCACTACACACGGCCTAAACAAGATCGCAAACGCACCAAACACTTTAGCAAGGTTGCTTTGGTCAATAATTGTCGCATGCATGTTCTTTTATTTAATATACGCGGTGTACAAACTGCATCTAAAGCTCAAAAGAGACGAAGTTAAGGTAAGTGTGCGAACAAACGTAGTGAATTCTCTTCAACTCCCTGGGATTACAGTTTGCGACGCGGGGCCTATTCGGATGCTTTTTCCAGCAGAAGCAGACAAAAACACAACAGTATCAAATAAGACAGCGAAAACCCCACTTGAAGCCAGCAATGAACACCATCGCCGTATGCTAGCAACGAAAGATCAAAGCAACTACAGTAACCACAGCCACGCGGATGCAAATCGCTTCGTTTTGAAGCGAGAAAGTGGAGAAATGCCACTGTGCCACGTATCGGGCGATCTTTGCTCCTACCACAAACACTTGAAACATTTTGTGACAATCCATAAAGGCCATTGCTTTACGTTTAATCATGATGGAAAGGCTAGGCAAGTATTAAAGGGGTCTGACATGGGAATCTTTACAGTTTTCCATCTTGAAAAAAAACGTAATTACACATCAAGTACCTCTACAACATCACTGCATGGCGTTGAAATATTTATACATGAGCCGAAAGAAAAGAATCCCACACATTATGGAGGTCTACTTGCTGTGCCAGGACGCCTCACACGGATAAAACTAAAGAAGACCATTCACGAGAGACTTCCTGCACCTTATCCTGACAAATGCCGAGACGAAGGCGACCTTAGCTTGCACGAGTGCCAGATTAACTGCATCGCAAAAAACCAGTACACGAAATGTAATGCTGTGTCGCTGCTGCTACAGATTTATTTACACGATATCACGAAACAAGAGTGGAATAATGGTTCAACCATTCGCCAGCCTATGACAACTGCCGAACACGAATGCGTGGAAGGCGTCACTGATTCGTATGCAGATGGCGATATAACATGTGACTGTTTTCTTCCTTGTCATGAGATCGTTTATGATACATCTGTGTCCTCAAGTAAATGGCCATTAAGTGAAATCACTGACGAGATACTGCTTCTAATTAAATCGAAACTTGGCATCGTGGTTGAAAAAGAAAACGTCGACCAACAACTTGTTGCAATCCAAGTTTACTACGGAGATCTGCGCTACGAAGAAATAAAACAGCACCCGGCGTACTCTTTGGAAGAATTCTCTTATGACCTCGGTGGTCTTTTGGGACTTGTGATTGGGGCATCTGTATTTTCAGGCATCGAAATGGTGATGTTCGTACTTTACGCTATACAAAGTCTATTAAAGAATATTGTAAAAAGGGGAAGTGTGTCTTAATAATGAGAGTAGTAACCAATATATAAAAACGATCTTCATGTAGGCTAGTGGGATAAACTGATGTAATAAAATATATATTATTTGCTTTTCTTACTAGATATGAACATTTTTGGGTGATTTTGATGTACATTTTTGGGTGATTTTATCAGAGGCCCTCCCGTCGGAGAAATTCCAGCGGAGAGCGGAGAATTTATAGTTTTAATGGTCTCGAGGGCGGTTGAACTTAAGTTCTGTCATCTGTACTGGAGTGCCAGTAAACAAAGTTTACTGTACGCCTCGCTCTTCAAATCAATTTGTCAAAACATAAGGATTATCTGCTGTCTAAATAGAACAACTACCAAAATGTCAGCAAAGCAGTCAAACAAAACTAAAAAGGTATCCATTTCCAAAAATAGAAAATCTGTGAATCAATCACTCCTAAAATGTCGAAGAATTTCAGATTCGAAATTTTCAGGGAAAACCTTTTCCAAAAAATTATCTTTCGCAAACCAAGGATTAAATTGGCGGCGTACATTTTCCTGAAGAGCTCAGCTCAAAATGGAATCCTACTTTGCCCAAATGCCTGGTGGGAATATCTGGCAGGGAGAAAAAATGGAATGCACTCTGAGGGTAATGCTTTGTTTAATAGAATGCAAAATCGAAAAGCGTATCAAATTTACAACTGTAAATAGATGGAATCAGCTTTATCCAGGGTTTTGCCTGCGTCAAGCAAAATCTAAAACCACCATTGATGAGATTCTCAACAATTAAATTTTTGAACGATTGTGAGAATTATATTTTCCATCGTGTTTTTTCGGACCCTCATTCTGACGTTTTATACTATGAGAAGTGTCAGACGAAAAAGCTTTCAGTAGCATGTTGTGAAATGCTTGCATTTTTCAAAGCCAAATTAAATATTTCTGCGTAGCAAAAGTTGAATTCATCTGCTCATTAGCCCCTAGAAGACTGGGGGATTGCCTTACACATAAGAAGAATTTGTTACAACTTCTCTCTGAGATCTGAGTAAGCAACTGTTAAGCGAAATCTTCAATTATACTCCAGAAAACTTCGAATTTTGCAAAACCAGTTAAATGTGTGTGCAGCCAGATAACGACCACAAGTCCAAATAAAAGTGAGTTGACAGAAAAAAGTGAGTTGGTAGTAAAGTTAGTAGCAAAAACGGGCCCATTTAGCTATAACTCTCCTAAAATGCGGTATATTCCACTTATTTACTTTATACATGATTAATTTGCAATCATCTTGAGTAATTAATTTAGTAATGTTCTTGAGTAAAATTCAACAACAAAATTTTTGACGTCATCAAATGAATTTTGGAATCCATAACAAGGAACGAACTGTGCATTCTAGCGAAGCACTAAACAGGGAATGGAGTGGCTGTATATAAATAAATTTCGAAAAGATTAAACTGTTTTTTACATGTATAAATGTTGTATCTTGTTACTTAAAACTATATTGTCCAAAGTCAAAAACTCTACAAAAAGACCTTTATGACGTTACCAGTGTGCCACAATATGGAAGATTTCTAGTATCAAATCCTTTAAATGCCAACAGTGTGAAACAAAATTAGATGTTGACATTCATTTGTAGAGCCAAACTAAGCAAGATAAATACTCAATTAGCTCCGTTGCACTGTAGTCAAAACGTCAACTTGCGAATATCACTTAACGAAAAATGCTTTGAAATATATCTGAATGATATCTGGTCACTGAATAACATATGCAAAACGAGAAGATTGTGATGACAAAGCGAGCCTGCCGAGTTGAATTGATGTTTCATTATCTAGGCCTGTTTTGAGGAGAACGATTTTATTGAAGATACAGCCAATAGCTGTATGAACTGGATTAAAAATCTAAATTGTGCACAAATTGATAAAATCCCTTCGTAAATTATGTATGATAGATAGTTTTATGAAATGCAAAGATTGTTTTTACCAGGTCAGAGCGCGAGGACCGAAAGCAAACAACGGTAAAATAAAGCTGAATGAGAAATGGTATGTGGTAATAAGCGCATTGAATACTCCTATTATAGACTGGGGATAGAGCAGTAACCACAGTTGGTATAAAAAATCGTTTGAAAGACATAACGAAACCCGTTCTTTTCAAAACAAAACAGGTTATTTGATTCAAAAAATTAAACGTTTAAATGAAAAAATTGTTAATTTGGCGAGATTTGATTATGTCGATGCGATTCTCTAATTTCTGAAATTTGATTAATGATTTTCATTGCAACATTTCACCGTTAATCTAGTGTTGATGTGTTGATGTGCACCTGGGCAAACCTTTGTAGCACTTAAGCTACTTTAATCAAGTCTCTCCGCCGTGATTTCTGTGATTCTTGTAGAAAAACTGCAGTGTTTCTAGCCAGGAAATTTAATCATTTTCCTGAATTGAACCTTTAGTAAATTAACTTTGGAATAATTTGTTTATTATCATTCAAAAACTACCTCATAATAGAGCGCTTGGGTAACAAAGCAAAGACAGTTTTCTAAATTCTTGTTGACCGTATTTGAAAATGTTAATTTTTACAAATTCGCAGCAATGTCTTCCGATAGTTTAAAATATGACTTAAGGCAGGTAAATAAACAAAAATTTTGCTGCTAAACTTTACCTTTTCACCACAAACCCCCTTCCTACCCCTTACCCATATAAGAAACGTGAACGTAATGATTCAGTAAATAAAGCAGACTCACTTGAGAGGCAAACTGAACAAACGAAGCCAATATCGACCAGTTGGCGATGGCAAAAGCAAGCTCCTCTGTAATCAATCTGGACAGCTGAAGGCAGGACCAGTGACTTTCTGGTGTGTGGATCTGGAAGGAACACCCACTAGAAAAAAGCAACAGTACTCGCAATATAGTGAAGATAATAGCTTTCTCTGAATGTTCCAAACTGGTTAAGATATGAATAAGAAAAGGCATGTATTTTACAACGCGATTATCATTGTTATGATTTGGTTCATCAAGTTTAGAATAATGGTCATATTACAGTGTTTTGATAGAAAAGTAGCCTGGGCTCAAACGATAATTCGTCACAAAATTTTTGATAAATTCGACTTTATTCACTTGCTCAACTAACTCATAATGTTATCTTAGGCTGCAAAGTCCAAATTTAAAAATATAATTTCAAGACATCACCACTCGCCCACTCTATTGCAATCAGCCATTCCAATTCTACAAGCACAAATAAATAGGCCTGAAATGAAACACATCTGACATTTTGTTCATGTAGACATTGACGCCTGTACTATCATTACAAAACGTAGCGTTAGGAAATTGATTTATACTGGCCTATAAATGTCGAAAGTAAGTCTCCAGAACATTGAAGTGCATGACAACATGACAGCATTCAATAAACATTTCAAATAGAAATTTACCAATAAATACTGTAGAAGACCAGCGATTGACGTCACTTTGAGATAGTTGCCGCCTGTGATATCAGCAGCCTAGAGTACAAAGATCATATCAATTCAAGACCAATGAAAGAAAGAAAACATTTTACGCGTCTCATCTCAAAAGGAGTTTGCAACTGAAGAAAGCATAAAAAATGAAGCATTGAAGTCTTAAGAGTGTAAGACCAAAAATAAATTGTGTTTTCAAATGTTGGTTTTTTCTAAAGCTATCTTTATACTTCTACCACACAAAAAATGTTTAAAAAATTATCACTTATCGGATGGGTAGCATTGTGGCAGGCCAACATTATTTGAAGGGGAAGAGAAGGATGCATGTTTTCGATCATTGAAACTAACTTTATGTTCCAGGATATTTTCTATTTCAAAAAATGCAAAATTTACCTGTTGAAGATAGCCAGAATCGTCGCCTAAAACACAGCCATCTATGACAATGTTCTGCAAAAATGACCAAATAAATGGGTTACAATACAAAAGCTATATTTTTACTTAATAGAATCGGTTGGTTTCTACTGGCCTGTTAAAAATGGTGATAAATCTAGGCCTAAAGTTTCAATCATAACGAGTATACTGTATACTACAGAGTGAGATGAAATTGTTACTTCTCAAAAAAGCGATAAAAAGCTATTAAATTTGTTTTTGATTACAGAATACACGTTTTGAATTCACTGTAATATTTTTTGCTCACATTCCAAAAGAAAGAATTTCTTATATTCCTTTAACCTTTGCGATGTATTTGATAATGAACAACCCATAAAATCGGTTGCGACCTTGAAAGTTTATCAAATAAAAAACATTACTTCAACCTACATTTTTTTGTGCAGCAAAAATACAGTTCATGATTGGCATGTACTGCGGGGCAACATCACTAGAAGCTTTTACAACCTAAAAAATCACTTTATAGTAACATATGATAATACAACTGCAAATGACGTCAAAGAAATCTTGCCACAAGGAGGATTGGTAACAAGAAAGAGCTGATTGATCTATGATCTGTTTCAGTGAAGGTTTACAATGAAGATGCTGGGCCTAGGAGGAGTTTGTTTATCTATGCTCAAATAGCTATACTAAGTTTATCGCTGCTTGAATCAAAATATCATCTTAGCTACGATGAAACGTTTCATTGCCATACCGGCAAAAAATAAAAACAAGAAGATAACACAGATGACGTTAAACATAAAGTGCGATTCCAAATGAAGAGCATAAGATAGCAAACTTTATACACGGATGTGTATCTAGATGAATATAGAAAAGAACGGTTAAGTTAAATCAAAAGCAGGACACAAAAGCCGAACAAAATCTTTTTTTGCGAAGATCAAATCATCTTGAATGGAAAAACAAAGTGATTTTTAAAAGCACTGGCAAACTTTAAAACAACTTTTAAAACTTGAACTTAAATTATTTTTTAACAATGAAAGTATAAATGTGAAGATAGCACGAAATACAGATAGGAAGAGTTTCCATTCTCTCTTGGGCGTTTTAACTAGGTGAGGGGCTACTGCCTGCCGATTGATCAAAAACAAGGAACCAATCAAACGCGCTTTTGTTTTCTCTCACATAAGTTTCGATCCACACCTGGATATAAATGTCCTGCTTACCTTCAGTCATTATTCGATGTTTATACTATACCATATCAGGAGTACTTTAGTATGATACGTTCCAGCTTTCCGTGCTATCTTCAAATTGTGCTATCCAAAGGCCTGTTTAGAAAACTTAAATGGTTTCTCTGTAGCTAAAACAAATTTTTGCTTTAAATCGTCCATGAAATAATTAATTTGATGAAAAATCATTTGCCACAATCGAATGTTGATAAAAAGAAAATCATACCAGAATTCTTGCACTGAGCTTGTCAACAGCTGCAAAAACATAAATATTTCCATGAATGTCAAATAAAGTGGTTTTGATAAACAAAGGAATGAAAAAAGGGGCAGGGAGCTGTAGCCCCCGCCTCCCCCTACATCTATTAACAATCTGCAACATATATCTTTTCAAAGTAGGTAAGATCCCGAAAGATTTTAAGATACTAGATCAATAAGATAACTAATGAAATAGACAAGGATGGTATCGTCTGAGTTGCGGTTCAGTACTATCCGAGTCCGGTCCATTTTGCAGATCATACCGTGATACCCAATTTCCCAAGTAAAACATTGTATTCTATCATTAAAATAGTTGCAAAGATTCTATGTGAACTGTCTTAGATTCAAAGCAAATGTTCCATATCAGAAAAATTTTAATTTTTCATTTAGTTTACCATCAATCGGCTAATTTCATTTAAAGAGAAACAAATACATTTAATAAAGATGATTACCGGTGCTCTCTTTCATCAATCGATGTATATCTTTTTAGCTAATTAAAGACAATATCAACAGATTTGAAAACTTGAAATGACATGATACGCGGAAACTGAACGCAAAGTACAAAAAGTTTATTCCAAATTACAAAACGCATGTTATTCTACATTTTTCAACTATGCTTGATATTTTCAGACAGGGCTAAAAAGTAGCATGGCCAATGAAATGAACTTGAAAAAATAAAAAGTATTGAAAACAAGCTATTCCTATAAGGATTTTCAGATAGTTTCACTCAACTGGGAATTTCCTACATACAAAATGTCCCAAGACACAAGCCTCAATGGGGCCTAAAACGAGATGTTATGGTTTATGAATATTTTCTACCAAGTTGATCTGTCGTTTGTCGCATTAATTTCTTGCAAACGAATAATATAAGTATAAAGAGAAGCTTAAAAAATTTAAATGTTCGAATTTTAACCGATTCTCCTTCATCCCGTAACCGCTGTCTCAAAAGAACCCTCTGGGCTTTGAAATGTTCAAAGTATTCAAAACATATATGCCTAAGTTAGATGAGTCAACTCAGAAGAATTTCAGCCTCAAAATGGCAGCGTATTAGCAGAGGACAATACAAACAGAAAATAACTCAAGTCTTTCGTAAGGATACAGCAATGGGCTTGTGATAATGCACCAGATAACTTTGTTGCTTTGTTTGATTCACCAATAGCATGCCCTTTAGAAAGAATATATTAAAATCAGCCAAAATAATATAAGAAAACAGATAAAATAGATAAGTCTCTTTCAAGAAAAAAACTACTTTATTATCGACTTGATGTTTGTAAGCACTACAAACAGACTGTGACCTATAAAAACAGTATCATCGCTGTTGATACTAAATTTGCATCAGTAAAAATGCCGAGAAACAAATTATATTATCAAAGTGTTCATATTTTTGGATCAATTGTATCATAAACTAAGGGACTTTCAAGTGTGCAAAATTGTGACTAGAAGTCAGCAGTATGAAAAAACTTGAATCAGGAAATTATAGGAGCTTCAAGGGACAAGAGTCAAACAAGAGTGTACAAGTTAAACATCCTGCAGGATTTTGAATTCTTAGATACTCCTTGAGATTGCCTAAAAATGTTTTTCAGGTTAATAAATAAATAGACTGCGGTGAATATCAATAAAGAATGTACAAACCAACAGGTAATTGAAGGTTTATATGGAGGGTTCTAGAGTCTGAGAAAGTTTAACAGGCCTCTCTGTAAAGATTTAGGTAGGTGCCGAGGTGGGGGGCGCATAATCAAGTGTCTCAAACTGAGAGGCCTGGTTCACCTATGAAAACCATCTCTAACAAAAGATTAAAATGACAATACTTAACGATCTAATTCATTATCTTATAATAGCATAAAGCTAAACTTACGTTACATTAATTTTCAAAAATTTGTAAAATAAATATAGATCATTTGTAGCTTTAAGGAAACTGCCTGTTTTATTCAACCGTTTTATCTTGTGCAGTACATGAATATTTCAAAATACATTAAATCACCTTCCAAAGCTTCATTATAAATTCTCTTCACTTCATCAACAATATTATCATTGAGTCTGATGAACTCTTCATATTTTCCATCACGAACTGATGCTAGGTCTTTAAGGCCTCCTTCTCTGTCTGGATATACAAAAATGCTAGAAAAATGGAAATTGAAGTCATAAGACACCCATCATCAAATCTCAGGACATAAATTGGCAGATATTATGTAGGAGGGTGAAGGGCTCTACTGACAGAGAATTCGCTACTGAAAACAAGCCAATTGTAATTTTGTACTAAAACTGTACTAAGCTTCTACTTACAGAAACTTCAATCAACATCCAGACACAGACTAGCAAATATGTATAATTTAAGAACAAAGATTTCCCTTCACTACAGAATTGGCATAAAATAACAAATTTTCCTGTCAAGACAATTGTAAAAACAGATAAGATTACCTTGAATCACCATTACATACTATAAAGCCAAGCTTGTTTGAATGTTTCATCAGCAAATGGGAGTTAATAAATATCATCAGACTTTCCAGGCAGTGGAGAAAAGATTCCTTCAACAGAAAAAACAACACACTCTTATTCCAAAATAAGATAATATTGATTTGATACCATTACATAATATACTTGAAACTGGAAACAAATCTGCTACTTGTAGTGTAATCTTTAAACAACTTTTGACTTTAGTCAAAAATTGCTTACAGAGACATCTAGAAACATCTAGTCTAGTCTTTCTCTAAAAGAGAGTTTCATCCGACAATGGCAGTACTAGCCACTATGCTCTGGGAGGAGGCAAAACAAAAATTTAAGGCCACACCCTTTTTACCACTGGAAAACACCCTTTTACCAACAGGGAACACCAATTTTATCCAAAGGGAATGCTACTGTTATCAGAAAGCATTTTTCATATAAAGAAATTCCAGTTTGTCTGTCATTTGCAAATGGGAAAATACATTAAGTATCTCACAACCTTATTTCAATACAAGTAGTACTAAGAGATTATAAATTAGACAAGAAACATGAACACATACCTCTTCCTTGGCTCCATGATCATGCTTGCTCCACCAAACTGAATTGATGTCAAATATTGTTACCAGCAAGCTTGAAGATTCATCTTTAAAGATAAATCAGAACAATGACAACATACGGTAACAACATATGGTAACAACAAATGAATAATCATTAGTACTGGAAAATTTACAAAAAAATTATCAATTCAAAATTATGTATAGTTTAAACTGTTTAATCTGTCAATCCAATAAATATTTTTTTGATCAAAAACCAAAATGAGCTGTATCTTATAACAATTTTGTCTTGGCTTAACAAGAAAGTTCTCAGTAAACAGTTGATGTTAACAATTTGACATCTCACTATCTACAGACCTTGGTGAAAGATACAGATTATTCAATTTTATTTAGCTATCTTCCAAATCCTAGCAAAAATCCTCTTTCCTGAAAAGACCTAGCTACAAAGATAAAATTATCAGATAACAGCAAATCTCCACAGATTGCCATATTTATCAGAGATCTAGTTCAGTTCAAGTGTTCCTTGCCTACATGAATCACAGTTCAAGTGTTCCTTGCTCTTTTGCAAATATGAAAGTCCATGCTGCAGCTGCGCTGCACAGATTAGTCTAAATATTTCCTAAATGTGCAGACCAGATCTGAGAAAAAAATACTATATCAAACATTTGCAGTCTGGCCAGAACCTAAGAAATTGGGAAGGGATCCAGGGTTCATTCCATGTACTTCGGCCAGAAGATCTTCAGCATATGCCCAGGGTTTTCTCGGGCATTCGGCGTGCAAACCAATAAAATAATTGTTTGCATACCTAAAATTTTTGTTAGTTGGCATGCTAAAAATGAAGCCATGTACATATTAACATGAAATAAAAACTCATACACCACAGTTTTCTCTATTACTCAGTTATTTCTATGGTGCAACAATGTTTACTGTTCTACTAACTGCTCATAATTTCGGCGTACCTAAACAAATGCCCTTGTGGACTTTTAGCATAAATGCACCCTCGGAAAGGATCTCACTATCACCATTCTCCTCCTGAATTCTTGGGCTGCGGTACCAGAGGGTTATAGATCATATAGCAGCCCAAACATTTCCCATCATTTCGAATTAACTCACTCATTTTCAAAACTGAAACTTGACAGGTCTGCCTGAAGATTCCAATTATATGACCCAATACTGGCAAATAAAATATGAAGATACAAAAAATGACAACGTGACAACGCTAACTCAAACATATTTGAAAACTTTCAATAGGCATCTAGAATTGGCAAATTTTAATAAATAAAAATTTACCTTCATTCATCTTTCAATTCTTAAACTAAGAGGTCCATCAATTTAAAACAACTGAATTTATAAATATCTGCACGTGAAACTGTTGTCAAAACATCATTCTCAAATTCTCGCCATTTTAAAAATACCTCACTACTGACCTCAGCCTCGGTTAAGATTTTTGTTAATTCTTTTCGGTAAGATGGCCGCCTCGCTGAGTGTTGAAAATAGCAAGGATGAGGCAATTCGAAGCCAGATGACAAAGTTCGGATGGCTAGAAGGAAAAGGTCTTGGTAAAAAAGAGCAGGGAAGGAAGGAAGCCATAAAAGTATCTTTGAAGAACAACAAAAATGGTCTAGGTCTTGATCCAAGTGAGCAATTCGTTTTTCACTGGTGGGATCACGTGTTTAATAAAGTCGCAAGCAGCATCAAGATAGAGGAGGGTGAAGAAGAGGTACACAAATTTTTTCAATAGGTCATCTAAAGGCGTAAGAAAATCTCCCAAGCTGGCAGCACTATTTGCTAAGAATCTGGCAGCAATAAACAACAGCCAAAATTTATATTTAAAAAAATATATCATTTCCATACCATACACAAATAATTGGTATTTCAAATTCAGTTTTCCTTCCTTATCTCCCATCAACGAAGCAGCAATTTTTAAATTTCAATAACTGATTTAATAAATCTCTAGGAAAATCTTTGTATTGGTCTAGCAAAATATAGACAAACCTGTTGATTACCAAAATACAGAAACTAGTCTAACTAAAATACCATGGTACACAATTCAGTCCCAACAAGTAAAAATTGTTCAGCCATTCAACCCCCTTCTCCTCCCCTTATTGCATGGCAGCTGCTGGTTAATGTAATATGTTACGAATATATCTTATTTACATTAAACCTGGCATATTGTTACACATGTCTATTGTATTTTCAGGTAACAATTTCAAAACATAAAGAAAATCAACTTGAAGGTAATATTAGCAGTAAAAGGCCAACAAATGCTACTAAAGGAAAAGAACTACTTTATGGAAGGTTTGTTAAGAGTAGTACCACTGTCATTGGGAATGAGATGGTGACAAGTGCTTGTAACCAGACCCAAAGCAGTGATGAAAGTGATGGTGAAAAGGATTTTTCAAATTCAGATACACTTGAAAAGGCCTTTAAAATGTCAGGTGGTATGACAGCACATAAAGCAGCCAGACATGGCCACAAGTTGAATGGAAAACTAAAAAGACTCCAAGACCAAGAAGGTGCTTCTTTTAATGTAAAGAGCCATGCAGCATTGCACGATTCTAATCAAGCTAATTGCCATGTACAGTTATCAGATTCCAGTGAAAATAGTAATCATTTGAAGCCTGTTGGTGAAGTTATTGATGGGGAAGTTAAAAAGATGAAAAAGAGAAAGAAAGACAAGAAAACTGAACCTGTTATTGGTGAATTAGAAAGTGTGTCTGGTTGTAGTAATGTATGTGGTAAGGCTAGCAAGAAAAAGAAAAATTTGAATGAAAAGTCATTCACGGAATGTCAAAAGACTCACCAAGAGACTGAAAGTGATGATGTTTATAGTGGAAAACGAAAAGACAAAACAAAAGCTAAATTGAAAGAGTATGAACATTCTTTAATTGACTCTGAAAAAGGAAGTTCCACTCTGAAGGAAGAAAATAGGAAAAAGAATAAAAAAAGAAAAAGAAAATCCTCACAGTGTGAAGATATTGAAAAAGATCAGATGGATATTTCTCAGGTTCCTGAAACAAATCATGATAAGGATCCAAAAAAGAAAAAGAAAAAGAAAAAGAAGAAAGAGATAATGGAACATTGTTAAATGTTTTTTCAAGAAAATAACATGTTGTTGTTCAACAAAAATATCATTCTTGCCAGAATTGCTTCCAATGCTTTATTTATTTTCCCATTCTCAATGTAAGATTTAGTAAAAGCACAGTGTACCAGAACAAAGTGGAATGTCTTAAACAAAACAGAAATAAACTTCAGCTATAAAAGTTGATGATGACCTCAAGCAAACATGTAGTATTGTTCTAGCTAGGTGAATAATGAAATTAGAAATGGAACTAACCAAGGAGCTGATAGATAGATATTGTGATAGTTAGATACTCTGGCCTAAAAAGTAGAAACCCTAAAATTATGTCTTAAACAAAAAAAGTGGAGATCTGTGTATAAAACCAAGCGTCAGTGTGTACCATAAAATTTCTAAAAATTGGAGACTGCAGTTTGAAAAATGTCTCCAAGAACATACAAATATTCTGTCAAAATCAGAGAAATCTTTTGTTAAGAGGGAAAAGAAAAAGTTTTTCAAAAGGATATACAATAGCATCTAACTAGTTCATACATATTTTCAGCCTTTTTTGCAAGTTTCTGGTTTTGTTTACCTCATCGCTCTCAGCTTTTATTTAGATCGTGTAGACGAGGCTATTACTATTCCGAGACAGATCACATTGGGCCTAAACTCATTTTGTGACTTTGTAATCTCGCAACAAATTTTGTAATTTTTGTTGTTGTGTGGTGGTGGAAATGGAAGACTAGCTTGTGTTAGATTGAGTACAAAGTTAACAGCTTTGAGAAAGATGCCGTACAGTTGCTTCCAGTTTCATAAGATGCCAAGAATTGGCCTTGCAACAACGACGATCGCGCGCCGCGTCGTACAAACTCCAGTGTCCTCGTTAATTCCTTCTGGGAAATGGAGTTACAGAACGCTTATGAGCAACAAAGCTAGCTGTATAACTAAGAAATCAAAGTTAAGAAATGTTATTTTTTCAAGCAATGGTAATATCAGGCATTTCAGCGAGAAGGTAGAAGCTAATGAATCGCTAAGCTTCATAGAAAAAGTGAAGAAATTCTGGAGAGGTCCAACATTTAAATACTGGTTCATCGGAGTAACAGGATTTTCGACTTGGCTTGCCTATTACAGTCTCAATACATACAAAAAGACCAGAATAAATATAAATTTACCATTAATTTTGCCAAACCATTTGATAATTGAGCGAGATAATGAAATAGCAAGCGTCTTTGGATGCATTGCAGATGCAATGTCTATAGGCAGTAAAGTTAAATGTGTAGCAATATGTGGACCAAGCGGTTCTGGAAAGAGTTTAGTCTCAAAGTCAGTGACAGAGAGACTTATGCATGAAATTGACTGGAACCCAATAGGCCTTCCAAAGTCACACATAAGTGTGTTTTTAAATGGTGCAAATTTGAGGAACTTTTATCTTTCATTGCAAGGTTTTGCAGCAAGGATGAAAATAAGACCATCAGAAATAAAGGAAAAGTTAGATGCTTCAACAGACCCACATTGTTATGTTGCAAAATGTAAGGCTATTTTAGAAGTTTTGAAAGAAAAGCTTGAGAAGCATCCAAACTGGGTTTTTGTTGTTGACAATCTGCAGCAAGGAACATCCGAGGAAGTTGCAACAATTTTAAAAGATTCATTTCTAGATGAAAATGCAGCAGAGTCCTGGAGTAAAGGAATATTGATATTGACATCAGATGGACTTAATTTTGATCACATCAAAGGGATTAAACTGTTTAAAATGGAGCCAAGGTAAATAACTATTTAGGCTTTTCAAAAAAGTTAATTAAGAGTCTAGATGTTAAATGGCTTTTTCCTACCATGCACCTTTCCATCTGAATGCTCCAATTTAAAAATTACTATTGGAGTGGTGTTCCAGTAACTCAACAACTGATTTGGAATTTGTTTTAATTCGAACATAAAAAACTACCATTCATCCTTATTAAGCCAATTTGAAAATGTGGGTTTTAATAGACTAGACTGATCTGGCTTTCCTATAAAATTTCAATCATTGTATGTATGTACTTATTTTTGTTTACATATTTTCATGTACCCAACAATTTATCTCAGCAATTTATTAAAAGTTTTATAATGTTATGATGAAATTTAAATGTTCCCACTTCCTCTGTAGTGAATGTTTCTTAATGGAAATTGGTTATAAAAGTTAGAGCAGATTAGAGTCTAGCATTTTGAAGTTGAATACATTAAACTTCAAATTGCTAGACATAAATGGTTTGTAATCCCACTACCTCCTCAAGGAAAAGTTTGTGCTTGAATATGTTTGATTGTTGGCTTACCTTTTTAAAATGGCAGCATAATTTTGAGATCTTTTCGAGAACTCTGCAGCCTTGTAAGGTAGCTAGCAGTAAAATCTGGCTAGTTGCTTTTGTGATCATTACATGGGGAAGCTTCTGTAAGAGATACAATATGCTTGCCAAAAGTCTTGGTACACTCTGCTAAAATTTTGCATAAGTTCATCTACCTCTCCTGTCTCCTTCATGAAATAATGTTGAAAAAGTTTCAAAGCTTGAAATTCAACTAATGTAACCCTTTCAGCTAGAGTATGTAATAGGCTTTCCAACCAACATTGCTGTTGGGGGGAGGGGGATATTTCTGTATCATATAGCTGGAAGCTTTTACTTCATCAAACATTTTCATTGACCGCAGGCTTTTGGTAATTTTTCATTGACTTTTGGTGAGGATTGTAGGTATCATCCAGTAGCAGTAAGTCTTTCTAAATAAAAATGTTGATATCAACTGTTAACAGGATACCTTCTTTTCCCATAGATTATCAGATGCAGATGCAACTAAGCTTCTTAAAGACATCATAAAAATCCAAGATGCTTCATTTGAAACATCACCTGCCACAAAATCATTGTTAAAAAGGATAGCCTACCATCCCATGACAACAGTCTGTGCTGCTATTTTGCTCAGAAACAGACTAGAGCATAAGGAAATCAAAAGTATTGATAGTCTTCTCAGGGAATTAGTGATTGACATTGCACAGCATGGAGCTCAGGTGATGAAGGATAGTCCTGTTGGTCCAAAAGATGGAGTAGCTGAGTCATTGATTATTGCTGAGACTGTTATTGCAATGACTTTAAAAATGTTGCTTACAAATCAACCACATTTAAGTGCTGCAGTTGATCTTATATCAGCTTGCTCACCAAGAACTCCCATACCATCTGTGTTTATTAGTAGATATTTCACTCACTCTTCTTTAAACCTACCTCCACTAGAAAAGCCTGTTTCACCACATGGAAATTTACAGCAGATGTTTAAAGCTGGATCCAGTACTCAAGATGAAAGTCTAGATCCGAAAGGGAAAGCCTGGTCAAATAAAAGTATTGCGGAGTATGTAACAAGCGTTGAAGAATGGTTCTCTGAAATATGGCAAGCTTTAAAAGAAGTATATAACTTCTATTATGGCAAGGTCCCTGAGCCAGAAGTTGATAACAGTATCAAAATTCTGCATGACTGTGAGCTTCTGTTGTCTTCAAAGTTGCAGCCAGGAGGTAAAGTGTTTATGGGTGGTTTCATTTTTATTGCCAAATTTTATGTCCCTAGTTTAACAAGGAAATTTGTATTGCAAAATTATTATCTCTCTTGCAACAACAATACTCATCTATGAAGTATCGTAGGCTTTTGCAAGCTTTTAAAGGAATGAGTAACAATTTTTGAGTTGTCTAGGAAATTACAATCATGAAAGTCATGAAGAATTCAACCATGGGTATCTAGAATCATGTTTAGTCCAAGAATTTACTTATCTGAATACCATATAATTCTTTGTCCATCTGGCAAAGATGTGCGTTATCACCTGAACATTCCTTCCCCTTTACCTTCTAATAAGCAATAAGATGTTAAAGATACTCTGGTTTCCTTTTTACATCCAGCAGTAATGTTTTCAAAGAAACCACTGATATAAAAAAATTATATTTAAGAGACCCTTTACTTGTTTAAGAAATAGCCTGATACCGAATCCCTGCCATCTTCCAACAATATTTTATTTTGCTAAGCTGATAAACGATAAATATGTATGTTGAAAGACCAAGTTGGATTCTATTTTATTTTTTTTTACATTTGACGTTTTTTCTTATTTTCCAGAAGTCGAATCCTATGCTATGCATCCACTGATATATGCAGTTGCTAGACAACATTTCCTGTCAACATCCGTACCTCAAGTTGAAGCCTCTTTTCTACAGGAAGACGAAGAGAGGTTCAATAAACAGCCTTGGTTTAAGAAGATGTCTAAATATGATCCAAAGACAAGTTTGTTCCAGTATAGAAACGGGATGTCAAAAGAAGAGGTAGATTCAGCACAGGCAGTTCAACTTGCCCAGCTGTATAACAATGCTTTGATTGATGTTAGCAGTGCTCTTAAAGAACCCAGTTTACAGTTTGATGACACAGATTTTCGGTTTTTAAACGCTGAAAGCAAAGTAAAGCATTTACAGTGTCATTTGAACAGGATAATTGGATCTCTCAGTGAAGAAGTAAGAGTGTCAAAACAAACAATTTCAGGCAAAACAGCTACGAAATATCTAAGCATACACTCAGATTACCTGCGGGAAAATCACCCTCAAGAAACATTCGGAACTGCTGCAATGATCAATGGTATGTTAACAGCGGCAAAAATCAAGTCAAATTTTGAAAACAATTTAGACAGTGCCATTGTGGACGTAGAACAAGCTCTACAGCTAATAAGAACTAGCGATCCTGAAAATTCGCTAGAAAGAGCTAGTATTCTTTGCCAGCTTGCGGCCATGTACAATTCAAGAGAGGACCACGAAAATGCGAAGAATACTTTAGAAGAAGCTATAGAAATCTACGAATCTCAAAGAAGGAAAGATGGCGAGTATAAGCGACCATTGGAGTTAGGAAAGGCTCTTGGAGCTCTGGGTGTCATCAAGGGGACGCTAGGGGACAGGGTGAAGAGCAAAGAGCTAATCGAAAGAGGCTTGATGTTGCTGCAAACTGGTGCACCAGACCTAGCTGACGAAGCTCAGAGTAAGCATTTTGGCGGTGAATTTGCAAGCTCATTGACTGACTTAGGCCATGCTTATGTCTCCCTGGGCATGCCTTTGTATGGTAAAAAGATTCTTGGTTTGTCGTTGATGGCACACAAAAACATTCATGGTGAAAAACACCCCGAGGTTATTAGGACGTTAACCGTGTTGAGTGTTGCGCATTTGATGCAGGGCCATAACGAGGAGAGCAAAAAGCTTCGAAAGGAGGCTGGAAAATTGCAAGCTCAGCTAAATGCACTTCCAATCTATTAAGTTTTTTTTGACAAGAAAGCTCATGTTAGAGTGGCTAAATGATTTCTAAATGAATGGTAGTCATTCAAGATCACAAAGAAAAACCAAATATACCAGTTGACTAGGAACTGTTTTTGTACAACTTTCAATTCAAAATCATCTTATCAGAACTGTTTATGTATACTTAAAAAACAACTGCTTCTCACGTCTACTTATTCTAATTTAGTGTTTTCAAATACACTTAACTTATAGTTTTTTGGCAGCGTTAATTGTTAAGAAATATATGAAAATGAAATGAAAATTTTCTACTGCAACAGTTGATAACAACTAATGACAGTTGGCGAGTACGTGGGCAAAGGCTGTCATTGCCTGTAATTCAGTTTTAGAAAAATATAAATGTTTGTGATATGAAAATCGAATAAATTTTATTGCCTGTTCAATTTTAAAAAAAATCTATGTAAATCATCAGAATTGTCACTGGCAAAATCAAAACAGGAAAATATTTGTTAAAAAACGCATTTTCAGAAACTTGCTTTGCAAAAAATTAGTACTGTTGCTGCCATTTAAACTCTTCCATTGACATATAATTCTTCGACTATTCAGAACTTAATGTTTCGGGAATTTTTTAAATTTTCACTACTCGGACTATTTCTTCTTGGGCAAAGATTTAGTTGCTGATTTGAAAGGAGCTACTTACAAACAGTGGCGTGACACAGTTTTAGACACCTTGGTTTGATAACTAAGGTGTTCCGATCAAAAGGGGCCCCAAAGACATTTCGGTGTCAATGTTGTTGAGACTTTGCTAAAGTTCGTCGTATTTTCGAAAAAAGGTCCTTCGCAAGCGGGGGGTGCGGGGGGATCGTGGTGAAAATAAAGTTTCAAAAAGCATTAGCTTAGGCAAGCAGTTGTGCCGAGAAGAGAATAACACGGCAAAGGTATCATCCAAAGGTCCTCAGCAACTCTAAATAGGTACAGATTGCGCTATGGGGTGTCACGGAGGAGCAAAAGTCCCTCAAAAATTTCAAATGACTCTCTGTTGCAGCCTGAGTTTAGAACCTAACATGCCAAATTATTTGACAAACGAGGCTATCTTGTTGTTCAAAACTTCACTTCTAGAGTAAAATCAAAGAAGTGCTCTCGGGAAAAGAAAAATAAAACATGAAAATCTAAGCGATAATTGATTTATGAGAACAGTACGAAGACAAGATGATGGAAAAGTTGAAGAATTTCTATCTTGTCTACATTTGAAAAACTGGAAAAAATTTCTAGAGAAAAGCGCCTAAAAGTAGTTTCTTTGTTCTGTTAGACATTTTAAAGCTAGTTTCAGCCGTTTTGTTGAGTCAATCAATGTGTATCACTATTTATATCGATAGTGTCGAGTTTTTGCGAACAAATGGCTGAGTCATGACATTTTTAAGAGCTTTCGCTCACTGCCCTAGGGGCAGCCATGAATAAAATCTGACCAACTTGAACACTTGGTCAAAAACCAAAAGCTACCAGATCTCAAATTGTCAAGTGTCTATAAAAAGCTGTATGTAAGCAGATAGAAACGAAAGGCAGCTGAACTTAAAACGTCTTACCTTTCAGTGCATCTGATCTCTTCCATGTTACATTTATTTCATAAAACGCATGATGTAACCGAGATTATTGAAATAAGTAGCATTTATTGAAACATCAATTAGAGACGTTTGTAGGTACGCAGACTGATCAGAAGTGGGCAAAAATTACTACTAACAAGGATATATCTCACAAAGGAGCTTGCCTGAGATCAGCTTGCTCGTGACTCGGAAGGCTGAAAAAGAGCTAAATATAGAGAGTGTGATACAACATTCGGATGCTTTGGGAAGTATTGGAGGAAGAGACAAGATTATTTTTATAAGGCATTATTGAGCGAAGGAATTATATTTTATGTTAAAACGATTTCAAATATGTTACACAATCAAGAAGCATGAATTTCATCTTATGCAAATACATCAAAAACATGTACCTGCTTGGTGAAAATTTGTAGTTTCTTGAACGCTGAGTATCATATAACCACGAATCGTGGAAACCTTATGAAGATGTGCGCAGTTAAAAAAGAAATTTAAAGAAATGAATCTTCAAACTAGTTCCAACAAAAATATTTAAAGCTATTTACACACCTCGTGCAAGTCAGACATCTTTCCTGGGATAAAATCATATCTGGGTTACCAAGAACTACAAGCATTTCGGATAGGCAACGCCAGGAACATGAGCTATAAAACAAGTTTATGAGGCTGCAATGGATATTTTAACAATCATAGCAAAAGTTTTCTCAAAAAGGCTCTATTTTTGGCAAAAAAGCATGCCCCCCTATGTCGGAGGTCCTGAAGTCGACAGATCTGCGGACAAAACTAGGAACTGCAGGCAAAGCAAAGGTTAAAAACATTTGCAATGCCTTGAACAGTTTGCAAATGATGTTAAAGACCAAGCAGTGCAAGGGTAATTGCAGGCACCTTCCAAGCCTACGATCTGATACCTAAAGCTGCAATTAAGGTGCATGATGCAATCAATCCCTTACTACAATGCAACACGTACATATCAAATGGCATTTTCCAATTTAAATGTTACGGTGCTTTTTATCAGTTAATTATCATCACATGAAACCAATAAATTTTCCAGAATGTTGTTGAAAACATAAACTTTCTTTCTGCTTACAATTTGTCTGCATTATAAATTCATCTGAGTCGCAATACGTTTTCCTATTTTCTGGTAATCAGCCAATAGTTTTCTCAAAAATTCGATGAATGACATCAACTGTTTAAAAGTGCCACACCCAAAAATTGGTTTATTTTAGGCCCTGCCCTGTTTTGTCAGCAAATCGGTCATGGCATATTTCTTATTCAGTTCTCCCTAGCTAATGAGAAAAATTATCATTTTTACATCTTTGCATTCTTTTTAAAATGGTATACACCTTTCGATGGGACCTTCTTGTAGTCCGTAGATAGGAACCCCGTTTCAGCTTTATTCCTAACGGCCTAGATGCCTCTGTTACGCCACTGCCTACATGTTCGCTCAGTTAGAATGTTATTTCTTAAAGTTTATAAATACCTTAATCTCTTTTCTATGAAGGCCTTTAAATAACAGATAAAAACATTCAATTCAAAACTCTCTTGAAATTTTAAAAGCTAGAACTAGCAATAATGACACCAGTGGTGTTGCCACAGGGTGGACTGAGGTGGACATGCCCACCCCAGGTTTCCCACAAGTCGATTTTCGGAAAACAGGTTCCCACAAGTTGGGCTAATCAGATAGATTTCGATTTTCCCACTGGCAAAAAAGCCACCATGATGAAAAAAGCTGCTTGAGAAAGTTGCTTGTCCAAAAATTTCAAAATAGGTAAAAAATACAGAAAAAATGATTTTCCAAGAATCTTAAGGGCGTGACCGAGAAAATTTGTTTCTGTCCACCTCAGTTTTTTGAGCTGGCATCGCCACTGAATGATACTAGATCATTGAATTTGCCAAAAATCTGGAATTAACTTCAATAACTAAAGCAAACAACGCGAAATACTAAGCACCAGTCACCATTATGTCAATGGGGGAGGGAATTTGGGACTACGCCCATTTCAGGGAAACACCCTTTCCAGGAAAGTGCCTTTTTTCTAGCCCTTGATATCAACCCATTAAAGTGGCGCTGTTATCGTCCACAAATTGTAAAGATAAAGGCAGTTGAAATTCAGGGCCTCCTTTTTTGTTTATTCATAGAAATTAATAACAATACAATTTTACATTGACTATACCACCCTAATTACTGTACTACACTACGGGGACGATACCACGAGGAGCGAAAGACAATGACTACCCCATGGCCGATACATAAAAACACACAACATTAAACAAGGATAGAAAGAAAGATTACTAAAACTAGGTAGATTAATCACGAATACAGAGTAAACAGACAAAAAGTGGATGCTAATGTATAGAAGTGTGCAGCAATGAAATATTTAAAAGCGTTCTGAATCATGAATGAATTTGAGTGTTGCCTAAAAAAGCTTCTTATTTGAGTCAATGGTAAGTCGCTCGTCACCATACAAAATGAATTTGACTAAGGCTCTTCTCTAAGCATTTCTGGGGTACAGTCTGGCTTGGCAGGATTTGGAATGAAAGTCATGTTGGTGGATGCAGTGTCAAAATGCAGCGAAAAGTCACAAATGCTAGATAAATGCTAAATTTAATCAAGTTGACAAATGTTCCCCTTTTTATTTCTATATTGAATCATTCAATTTTCTTCTTCAATGATTCTCTTATAAAACATTTTTGAACTATTTGTAGTAATGTCATCTATCAGCTGAGACAAAAAAATGCGGACAAGGGGATGTATACTGCCATTGATCAACCAGGATAGTAGGCCTTTTTTTTTAAATATGCAAAAATACTTAGAGGTAAAGATGTTTAACAGCGAAGAGGCAGTCTCTTTGCTTATGTTCTGAAGAGGTAAATGAAATGAAGGGCATCGGCTTGAACATTTTTAGGGGTACCAAATCAGCAAAATTTGAAAATTGCACGCAAGAGTGGAGACATATCATGCTAAAACTGCATATGATTTTCGGCTTAAATCGCTCCATGGAAATCACTCGATTGAAATCTGGTACATCTTTGGTAGAAATATGTGAATGAAGAAAAGGCCACTGTAGCAGGCTGCTCGACGGGCTCCAAGGAGTTCTTGCGGCGAAAAGTCGATAAAAATGTAGAAAATATGAAACACCGCAATACGCAGAGAATAAACAACAATAAATACACGTAAATCAGTAAAGGCTAAAAGTATTGGTAGAAATCATTTGGTTTTATCGTAAAATCTCTAGAAATCCTTTTGTTTTGGCGGAAATTTCGTACACTATTTACAAGAGTGATTTGCCCCTTGGTTGTACTAAATGATCAGGTATGATTGTTCATGAAGGAGAGTAAGGTGAACAAAAGTAAGGCATATATTTCATTTCAGCACAGTATTCTGCTTAAAAGACATGATCATCCCCAGTTTAAAAGACATTGCCCTATTAAGAAAAATATTCCTTGGATGAACTGTTTGTTACAATTAATTAATAATAACTGCTTTTATCCTTTACAATTTTAGGATGTCAAACTTTAAGTTGGACAATGTTAAATGAAATAGCCAATGGTTAATAGCCAATGTATACAGCTAAAAACACGAAAAGGCTGTTTTAGAAAGCCCCTAGTTGGAGGTGCTCTAGAGACCGCGAATTTCATCGACAATTTGATTTTTATCTATAGGACTTTTTTGAGCAAACGAGATAAGCGTGATGTTCATGCAAAAAGTTTGAGGAACAGTCTTCAAGCTTGTAGTGGGATAGAAGTTTCGTTCCCTACAATGTTTTCATGAAATATGTACAGAAGTTTGGAATTAAGAATGGCTTAAGGACAATAAGAACTAGGCTCAGAATCGCTAATTTTTAAGATTATCGAAGCACCGCAAGAATAAGGGTTTTCTTACAAAAATGTGAGTAAACTGGTAAATGGTTTATATGCGGATATCGATTTTTATTGCAACAAAAATATATTTGTTCCTTCTTCCATATTTGGGAAAGACAACAATAATATTTTTGAAATACGCATGCGCGTTTAGGCCTGATATGGCGTACGGTCAAAGAAAATTATCGTGAGGGCGAAAGGAAGATTGAATTTTTTGTGTAAGATACATTAGTTGTTGACGAAAAAGACATCGAATAACATAATGACTCAAAGACCAAAGTTTCGAGCAGCTTCGGAGATTTGTGCAGACTGCAGTGCACCGGGTGAGTTAATGAAGTTCGAGAGGCATTGGCCTAGTCGACTTTGTAATGAGGAAACAGAACAGTCTGCATTGAGTATGATTTTATAGAAAGACGTGCTGTTTAGGTATTCATATTTCCGATTGTTGATGAATGTCGTTAAACGGTTGGAAATTATGTTTATTGGGTGTTTGCTTTTTAATTACTTTTCTCGTAAGATTCCCCGAAAAACAATGCACGATATTGTTTGATGTATAAAAGATGACAAGGTGTGTTAAATTGTACTCGTTTCCTTCTAGAAATTATAATGTAAAGTTTATATTTTGCAGACTTATTATCTAGCTATTGAGATAACCGATAAAAATAATTATGTTTTTTTAATATCAAGGTATAAACTGATCACTACTCTCACAAATCTGTCTTCTATTTGTCGTTGGAATTAAAGCAATCATTGATTGAGTAATAACAAACAAAAGCTTTTTTCAGTTGAACTTTTAGTTTTTTCTGGTATTCACATTGTAAAGATGTTATATCTTACAGTGAGATGAAATAAAAATGCCTTGATATAATGAAATTACCACATTTATTGCACAAATTTGATGATCTAGTAAACTCTTTTTCCTTATTAGGTTAGAAGATTCTTTAAGATTAACCCCTGTTTTTTAGTTGGTTATGTTAGGAAAATGTCCAAGGGTCCAGAAGCAAAACTCTGACCAGATAAAGGAAGGAGCTTCTGAAGCTAAGAAGAGGAAATAGGTTTAAGGTAGTTGCTAGATGAGCCTGTATCACTGCAAAGGCTCTTTCTATTAGACTAAAAGGCCCAGGCCCATTGCTTTGAAAAAATTTAACTAGTGTATAATCTTGGGCTGCCTGTTAGGTCAATTTAAGATTGAAGCCACCTCTAGCCCACGGCCTTGGGTGACCCATCAGAGACCAGGTTCTCTTCTTTTCCTCTCTTGAAAAATATGCTGAAAACCATGTTCATCAAATTTTAGGTCCTGAATGGTCTTCAATAAACAGAGGTGTCCTAATCTGTGATGAATGCTGCAGTGTGCATAGAAGTCTTGGCCGTCATGTATCACAAGTTAGACATCTCAGACTTGCCCCATGGAACCCTTCTTTGCTAGCGGTAAGTTTGCATTACCAAATAAAGTGAGTCATTTGATATCTACTTTGCAGCCTTTACAAGTGATATGTGGTTTCTGTGGGTTGAGTCATATGTTAGAACTTTGCATCAGGTTTACTAAATCCAATTGAGTTTAAAAGTTAGTTTGAAGCAGTGGAAATGCTTGGAAAAAATTTTGTGGACAAATCAGGTGGACAAAATTTTGCTTCCTAAAGTTTTTGGTTTTCTCTATTGCTGTAGCACAAAAGTGAATGATTGTTTTAAACTTTAAGGAGGCAACCACGCCCTTTTATGTCCCCTGAGTCCAAAAGTTTTGTTTATAGACAGTTGGTGTTTTTTTCTGCTAATATGGCTTGGCTGTTTCCAGTATTTGACTGTACTGTCAGCTTTGATGAATAAAACTATGGCCCTTTAGGGTTTCTAAGCTTGTTAGGAGGAAATATTGATCTTTATCTATAGTATTTTCAAATTGCTAACTGTCAGAAAAGAATCGTCTTTCAGCACTCAAAAATTGTATCCTTGTATGTTACATCTTAATACAAACTGATTTTTAAGTCAGTTATTGACTTTAGATGTATTTATTTATTTTCAACAAAGTACATTTTATTTCTTGTGCTTTGCAGATGGTCAGAAACTTAGTTAACAATGGAGCTAATTTGATTTGGGAGCATTCATTGTCTGACCCAGGACAGATGAAAAGTGGAATAAGAAAGCCTAACCCAAAGGATGCAGTCCAGTGAGTCAATAGTTGCAAAGTTTCATAAATGTTATTAAATTCATAAGTCTATAGTTTCTAATCAAAAATCTGGAAGGTTATGGTAATTGATATTCACCTAGTGATATTTTGGAGTAAGTTATATGCTTCAAATGTTTTTTAATGTTGCTGTTGATTTGATTTAATTTTTTTCAGCCCTGTGAAATACAACTTCATTAAAGCAAAATATGAAATGCTGTCTTTTGTTCATCAACTTCCAATATCAGATGATTTGTCAATTACAAACTTAAGCAAGGTTTGTATAATTTGTATCATGGTGAACATCAAATCTAAAATTGTTGAAATATTCAGTTCTATTTCAGTGAAACTAAACTCAAATGATGATTTTATGAAATTGGCAATAGTGATTTATTTTCTTGACTGTTATGAAGTTAATAAATGCTGCTACCAACTGAATTCTTCAATACTGCCTTAGGGTTCAAGCCTTAAAGCTTAATAAACAATTTTTCAGTATATTGCATATTATACTCTTTAGAAGTCCTCTTTTAATCAACTAGTTTTTTTGTCTGTCTGTCAATTGTTTTTTCATGATAGTTTGCAAGATCATTTTGTTTAAATCTTAAACTGACTCTGTGTTATCAGAATTTATTTGAAAAGTTATGTTTATCCATTTAAGTGAGTGCCAACTACAAGTTTGTTGTCCTAGCTACTTTAGATTAAAGCTGGTGCAATTTCTAGTTAATTGCTTTACCCCTATCATTTTTTCCAGCAATTATATTCTGCATCCAGAACTGGAAATCTAGAAACATCATTGAGGCTTATATCCTATGGAGCTCAAACAAATTTTTTTCATACGGTAAATCTTTGTCTTACCACCTAATCTATTCAGAATGTTTACCACAGCTAAGGGAACATCTTTATCAAGATAATCTGGCAATTCAACCCTAGATGGGAAGCTTATCTGATAAGAGTAAACTTGATTATTGTAATGTAAACAAAATCATTTCAAGGAAAAAAAAAGTTTAAAGTTTATGAAGCTAAAAGATTTATAAAACTGGGAAGATAAGTATACTTTTTGTTCTATAATCTTTGTAGAGAGACTGTTATCTATTACCTGGATTTTCAAATACAGTTTTCTCTTTAAGAGATGATTTCTTTTATGCATCTGAACAATATCTAGAAATCAGATGGAAGCCAGACCAGAATAATAGTCAACTATAGGGCCATCTCAGTTGTCTTGAGACTGCTTTTGTATGACTTTAGAGCAAAAGAAACAATTTAACTGAAAATTATTTTTGATGACTGGCAATTGTGGTCCCATTGGGGGGGGGGGGGCTGGTTGAACATGAACCCTCCATGTCTCGGCATGATAGATTTTGTATTTCAACTAAATTTGATAAGAAAATGTTTGGGGAGTGGTACAATGTTTGGAAACACATTTTTTTCGATGTAATGATTTCGCTCATACAAACTAGGATTGGTGTTCCCTGCTGGTGGAAGTGTATTTTCTGACAGTGAACACGGTGTGACCTAAAATATTTTGTTCATAGAGCCTTGTGGCTGGCACTCCCACAGATGGCTAAAATTCTTTGTTAACGAGCAGAGTCCCTTGGTTATGGTTTCATTTTTTATATATTTGTACAATATGAAGGAAAGATTTAAAAACTCTGGTACTAGTATATTCCATGCAAGCCCATTGTTCTAATGTTTTATTGCATTTTGAAATGAACTAATTAGTTCCTTAATTAGTTTGGAAATGTGTTAACTTAATCAAAAATCTTTTTAGGATATGGGCAATAGCCCACTTCATGCTGCAGCAAAGGCAGGTCAGGCCACTCAGGTTGAGCTCTTGATTGTCAATGGTGCAGACCCAAGTGCTTTAGATTCAAATGGCAAAACAGCTGCTGAGGTTGCAATGTAAGAAGCATCAAATGTTTTCTATGATATTATAACGGTGCTGTCTGCCTGTCTTGACATTTTAGATTGATTAATACTTGGGCATTGGTATGATTTCAAAAGGCTGCCTAAACTTTGAATATAAAAAATCTCATTTATTTATGAAACCATTTCTAAAGATTAATTATGTTTAAAATAATATTTCCTCTTAGCTTTCCAGCTGTCTCTCTTCTTTACTGGTTATTGATTTCTGAAACTAAGAAATTTTCTTTCATTAAACTTTAGAAATTCCACAGGATATACAAGTTTTGCAATAATGACCACATAATTTGGGGGTTACTGGACTTGTCAACGTAGACCGTTTGACTTTCTTGTTTTATATTATTCCTTCATTTTTAATCAGGTTGATGCACAATAAGGTTACAGTTTATTGTCTGTTTATTTGCTCATTCTTTTGTCATTTGAGCTGTAGAAATTTTTCAGGGAACTATTACTTTTAATTCCATTTCCTCTTTACACAGGGAGGAAGGTCACACAGAAATTGGCTATCGAATCATCGAACACATGTACGAGTTGACTGATAGGCTTACATTTTACCTTTGTGGCCGAAGACCAGGTTAGTATTTCTCGAAAATTGAACAGCCCCATTAAGTTGTAGATTTGTGTACTTTGTCAACAAATTGATGAAGTCTTGATTAAATGAGAAAATAAATAACAAAATGTCTTCAAACAAGAAAATGAATCAGTTTTTTTGGATCGTTGTGCTAGATGTATTTGGTACATTTTGATTTTTCATATTCGTCCGGTTTTATCATGCCAAGCTTTGTTTGTTATTACAGTTGTAGAATTGTGATTTAGTGTCGTCCGTAGGAGTATCTTATAAAATATTCCTTATGCCCGTTGTCATGGAATTTGAATTTCTTTGCAGATCACAAAAATTCCATTAATTACTTCATCCCAGCGCTGGCAGACAGGTAAACAACATTCAGTTTTTAATATATTCAGTCTTTATTTAAAGCATTTAGAATAAACAATTTTAGGGGATAAGTCCTATATATGTTAGAAAATAAGAATATGTCTCCAGATATTCCTAGATCTAGGTACTTTTCTTAGGTTAATCGTTCCATGATATTAGGGAAAATAATTAAATGGATTTTTTAACTGGCCCATTTTTAACGATTTTTGGTGGCATTAACAGAAGCTCCCGCTTCGGCCACATTTTGTTACGTGTGTGCCGTTACTTGTTCAAGAAGCTTCTGTGCTCGATGTACTCCGGTTGTTAATTTCACTGATTTGAAACCTGATGAACCCGACAAAGGGCCACTAAACGACGGAAAGGAAGAGAAAGGAATAGAAAGAAAAAGTGCCTGGAAAAAATAAAGCGACAGAAAACTTTACTTTTTTATCTCAGCATTGGGTTGTTTTTATAAGCAAAGCATATCATTACAGAACTGGTTACTACGCCAAGTTGCTCGTTACTTGAAGTGGCGAACAGAGAATATTCGGCTGAAATCGTATACTTGTGTAGAAGTCTTTATCCTTTTTGTGTTTGCCCTATCTTGAAAGACTTATATTTCACTGATAATCCTCAGAGAGCCCACACACTTCGACGAAGCACACAAACAGCTCTCTTGAACACATTTTGAAGCAATTTTTCCTCCATAGAAATGAGTTTCCAGTTTGAATAAGGAAGGACCCTTTTCGGACGGAGAGAATTTTTGACAAGCGACCAAATAGGCGGGCCTAGTCTATAATTTTCTTAACATCTTGCAAGAAAGATCCGTCTGGCCTGTTTGCTTATTCGAAGGTTGTAGAAAAGAGAGTTTAAAAACCTTGACAGTAAAGGCTAAAAGATGGGCCGAATCGTGTGCCTAAAAGAAAGAACAATTACTGAATTAACCAATACTGACTAGGCAAGAAATTGATTTTCGACTACTTGAAATATTTTAAATAGTAAACTAAGTTAACTGGCAGTCAATAAAAAACGAAACGAAAAGTAATGAACCAAAAGCTTAATAAGCAGTAGTAAAGAATATACCGAACGGCTATTAATAGAGACATGTGATTGTTCCTTAGGCCCGGTCATCTAATTGTATTCATGACCTGATGTAGCTTGCGGACCTTGAGTTTGACACCTCTGTTAAAGAAACTCTGCCATCTTATGATTATACTAGTGAAACTTCATAGTTTTATCTTGAAACATTACATCTCATAATTTATGTCATGGCTCTCATCGAGTAACTGTATGTTTGTAGACTGTGTACGCGTGTACGTAACACTCGTTCGCTCTTACTCCATGTCTTTCTATCTTGAATTCTTTTTTGTGAAAATATATTTGGCTGAAGATTCTGCACGATCAGATGAAACCGGTACCCACAATGTGTTATTTCTGCGATTAAATCTATATTGCAAGTATCTATCAAATGCTTTTTGCGGAATATCTGCATATAAGTATATATATATATCTATTTTATTCAAATTTAGAAAAGCAACGCTTGCTCTGTGAGTCCAATCTTCTTTTCGACAATACTTGACATTTTCTGTTTTGGTTTTCTTTAGGGGACTGGAAACCACTCCATTTGCTCAAGAAGCAAGGTTGAAACTAGAATCGGTATGTTATGTCAGAATGAACGATTTAAGTTTGTGACTGTGATGAAAAAGTTGATTAAAAGACAATGATATGAGCCAACTACCAATTTGGATCTCCCATTACCAGTTTTTGGTTACCATAATAGTGGCCATTTTAAAATCATAGAATCAAACTGCAAGATAAAATGCAACCTCTCCCCTGCTTTCTCTCACCAGAAATCTATCAGGCCAAGAACTTGGAGATGCTGTAGCACCGCCATTGCCCTGTCCCCTACTCGCAGGGCCTCTATTGAATCAACCAAGGTTGCTCAACATATCCCTATTTTATAAAACATGAAATATTGCCACAAGGGAGTATTGATATTTGTTGAAGACCACCCATAACTCGTCTGCTATGTCAATACAATACTGTTCGATAATTTGTATTAATTTGGTGCTCTGACAAATTCGGAAGAGATAAAACAGGTCCTGATTTGTTTTCGATTTTATTATCAAAGCTGTGGTTTCAAAAGGTTTACCCCAATGTTTAAAAAAGGTTTCAAGATAAGATTTGTTGCTAAGACCCAATGATTCGATAATCTGCATTGTTTCTCTGTTTGTTTGAAGGGAGCACCCTTTTCATATCGTAGAGTTGGGTCACCCAAAACCATGCTTTATCAAGCACTCTTGTGGAATAATCACCTTTATATTCGTTTTCCTTTTGTAGCGTTCCTTAGGATAGGCGATTCTTCTTCAAATTTTCTGCTCTGTTCGTTGCGATCGAATAGTTTTGCACAGCTAAGTTTCAAAATCCCGCCAAAAAACTGAATCATAATATTGTATATTTGGAGAAATTTTCCACCCGCCACTGGTCAGAATGAAGACATGATCAAGAGCTGACCGTAAATTCAGTAGCGATTTGTCAAACGGGAAGCCAATCAAAACACGCCATTCATTCTCAGTAGAAACATTTTACCGACACTTTTATAAGGATTTCCGCTCACCTTTTTTTCCTCGTTTGTCATTATTTTCTAATAATTATTGTACTTTTGGGGGTATTTGAAGAAGTTCTTCAGTGTGCAGTGGTATAGACTCAGTTTTTCGTACTTTTCTATTCGTCCTTTGAATTCTCTTATAACATTTTTGCATGACGCATGAGGTGAGGTGTCCTCTAATGAGCTCTTAGGTAGACCAATAAACAGCTTTAGTGCTTCGATGGGTATTGCTTGCTATACGTCAGTTTATTGGTATGTGTTCATCTGTTTTATGTACACTTGGGTTCTGTAATCGAATAGTAACCTTCAAAATGTTATATCATTACTGTTAATCTGCCATTATGTCTCATATTTTCAGTTGACTGATCGACTGTTTGAAGAGCTTGCATCAGATGTGTACGATGAAGTTGATAGACGAGAGAACGATGCAGGTAATCCTAAACATGTATTAGATTATGGCCCTCTCTTCAGACTATCATTGAAAGCGAATTGCTAAGGTTTAGAAGGACTAAATTTGCAAATAATCAGATTTGAATTTTCAAAAAGTTTTGCTTTCATGATAGTTTTAAAACGATTGATTAGAATGTTGAAAGAACAGTTATTGGATTTGTAGAAGGAACGATTCAGCGAGAAGGAATTCAATTGTAAATGGCTTTGCAAAAAGCAAACATCAAGTAAACTAAAGCTTTTCGTCTGACACTCTTCAGAGCTTAAAACGTCAGAACATAGATCGAAAACTCTACGCTAGGAAATATATATGCCCAGTTGTGGATCATGTGCTCGTGTTTCTATACCTCAACAGTCATGTGCTCGTGTTTCTGATTGGCTTTAGTTTACTAAATGTTTGCTTTTTTCAAAGCCATTTTCAAGTTTTGTGCTACCAAAAGATTGTTTGAATTCAATTGTGAATGGATATCGAAAGTGACGGCTTATTGAGGGTAGTGAAATATGCAATATGACCATATGAAACTGAAAAATTCACAAGACTTCTTAAGGCAGTTTAAAAATTTCTAAGATATCATTGTTGACTGAGAAAGTATATAGACATGTTTATGCAAGTGCCTATATAAAAGCTGTTTCCAGTTCATTTGATAAAAAGATTCTCAATAGCGAGCCTAGATCAGCCAGTTTTATTTTCGTCTTGTGGATTTCCAATTTAGCATTTGTGCTTCTTACTACCTAGCTTCAGAGGGTAGTTTTTAGGACACTGAAAAGCTATGCTTATCGATCAGTGTCTTGGTTTTTTCCTCTCGATGCCACCTCATTTCGGGATTCCTACGGTTTGAATTGCAGAGAGATGGCGATGTTTCTCATTCTACGTAAAAGTCTGGTCGTTGAAGGACCTCGCACCACAGACCCTTAGATATGTAGCTTAGCAAAAGATGATTTTAGGTCCTCAAAAGAAAGAGCTATTTTATATGCAACGTGGTGATGTCTTTTATTCTGTCGCGAACAATAATGTTTCAAAACGAAATTTTTTCTAATACATATGTCAACGTAATAGTTCTAAAATAACTGTCAAATGCTTTCTCCATTGCTCAGATGTCCCTCTTTATCTTTTAATCGCATTAGATATTCAATATTTCAATATTTTAAGTGTAAGCCTGTTACAAGTTCCCTCCTCAGTGACAAGATTACTTCTATTAACAATGGAATTTATTGTTAAAGCCAAATCAGTAACTGTTACATATGAATATCATTTGTGGCTCTGAATGACCATACCAGCCTCCACAGAAAGTCAATAAAGGACATCAGCGAGCAGGCTTACAAAGACAAAATAGCGTTCTTTTAATGTCCGTGAAATCTTGCTAATCTTGGGAATGAATTTTGATGAAAAGGCTAATTTTGCTAATCTTAATGTATTTCAGGACTTCAGGATAGTTAAATTTCCCCTGATGCCTGCAATTGATATTCAGATGTTTTTGAAAATGAAACACACACGAATGTGAAAGTCTAGTCGCGGTGAAAAAATCGGCCATGTTTACACACAGACTTCCATTTGTACTTCAACATTACTATTCTGACGATAAAAACCTTTGAATATGGCGACAGAATGGTTCCCCTTTCCGTGCTCTCGTTTTGTTTACTAAATTGTGACAAATGTTAACTTGCTGGCCTCATAGAACCTATGGCAATACGCCAACAAAATTAGCCTAGGAAGAACCAAACGACTAAATGCTGCAATTCCTCAACAAAATAAGTTGTAATGGGACGACGTGCGAAAGAGAGGTCTTGTGTGGCGGCTTTGTGAATGAAATCAACCTTAAGAAAATATTCCTCGAGTAACGAAGTGCGTGGAAACAGCCTGTGCTTGTACAATTTTCAGTATTAAATCACTCGCCATGCTTAGCGTTTTAAGGCATACCTGTGACAATAGCTGAAGGGGGGGGGATAAAACAGGTGTTTTATGTCTTGGTGAAGCGAAGTTTCTTTTCTTAAGCCTTTTAACAACCATTGTGTGATTAAAATTTATCGGTCCTAAGAAATTATTTTTCTTTTTTAGTTTGGCTGGCAACGCAACATCATCGAAAATTCGTTTCTGATCACACCACGGTGCCTTTTCTTCCCGTCAATCCTGCTTTTACGGCTACTCGTAATCAGGTACTCTTCATTTTTGTCACAAACGTTCTTTCTTATCTCATTTAAGTAAAGAATCGTTGTGACTTTTAGATGTCCGCCAAAGAATGCCTTATCTACGGATTAAAACCAGGAAGGTGGTGTTCACAGTTACGGTGGCTATTTCATGTTGACAAAAGTACCAGACATTTGTTAATTTTATCTCTTTGTATCTCAAAAACTACAATATTGCCTGAGGGGAGAGGGGGGGTTAGAGTGTAGCAGCACTGTTTTGTTTTATAGCTCCTGTATCTAGCTTTGTTTTTAACCCTTTGACAATTTTTAATCTTATCATTTGACCTATTTTAGGGTAGGCAGAAGTTAGCTCGTTTCACGGGGCCTGAATTTACGACCCTCATTATTGATATTCTAAATGATGCGAGAAGGAGAGAAATGGCAAGCTGTGGAAAATCAACAGCAGGTTCGTAATGTATTTGGTCATTTTATTGGACCTTGTTCTGTGGAAAACTAACGAATCAAGGCTAGTTGTTAAATTAGCTTTTGAAAAGACTGGGCATCATTTGTCGTCCGTGAGCAATCAAATGAGAGGGAATTTGTTTCTTTCTGATATTGATGTTACTGGCTCTTTAGTTTTTATACAAAGTCTTTGTATAAACATGGTGACGACAGGCTCAATCTTTATTTCGCTGAGTTTGTCTATTGTTGAATGCAATTCAACCGCACCTCACCCCAAACCTGACGATTTCTTGGGAAAATTATTTGCCAGTAAAACTCTGTCGACTTTGAAAAATTTTCTGATTTGGAAGAACCTGAAAGTCGTACTGTTGTTATGTTGAATGCCTTATTACCGATTCTTAAAATATTCTCAGAAGATAAGGAGCAAAATCTCTCCAAGACAAGAGTACTTCTTGAAAAATTAGACATAGATTATTCCTCTGAATCGAGTCTAAAAGTGTAAAATTCTTAACATTTATATCATGCTTCCCTGATTTCTAGTAATAGAGTCCTCATTCTAGTGAATAAAAAATTATTAGTACTAGGCAGAATAGGTTGGCAAAAGAGCAGCGACAAAGAATGTTTAAAATGTTGCCCTTTATGAACAAATCACTGATTTTGTTATGTCAACAAACTTAAACAGAATATAGGTTTGATTTGTATGAACTACACCTGCAAAGGGGATGGTTTGGATTTGGAGTTTAGTAGGAGCAAAGCAATCAACTTTATAAAATAACTCCTTTTCTTTTTTTTCTTTATCCAGCTTTAGTCCCAGACTATCCTGGGGTTAGCTGCTCGGATCCCGGATCTCCACTTCCCTCTGTCTTTGGCGTCTTCGTCTTTTAGATCCATCTCTTACAAGATAGCGTCTAAAGAAAGCAATTTTGGTCATTGACTTAAATTCATTGTTAACAAATTTCCGAAAGAACGGCAAACTAAAAATAGATCGTCTGTCAAATTCTCAAAACCGTGCTTTGAAGTATATGTATATAAATGGTTACCAAGACATAACGACAAAAAAGTAGAAGACAGAGAGAAACGGTTTTGATATGAAAAAGTATACAACAGATATAGTACTTTGATCAAGTGCACAGAGCTTCATCAGAGTAACTTCTTTTCTAAGCATGCGGCTTTTTAGGTCTAAAAACTTCTTTTTCTTGGTAAATTATATGTGAGGCAATCAATACAAAAATAATATTTTTATATGAAAACACCTTAAGCAACTAGTTTTGGAATGACTTTTTCACTACTAATGTAATACCTCAAATTCGCTAGAGACATTATCAATGGCTGCCTAATCCTACGTATTGACATAAATTGTGTTTCTGAATTACGAAATTAACTTGAAGAAGCACTATGCATCTAAAGTTCATCTAAATTTTAGCAGTTATTGGATTATACTTTTTCTGCTTTTGATTCGAATTGGGTGATTCGAATCCAAAGCCAATCTTGATTATCGATTACATTGCTTCGAAGAAATTCATACTTGGTGATTCCACTGGTTTATTTTTTATTCTTTAGGAATCGTGGAATCAAAAACCGACCACGATTATGATGAGCCAGAACATGAATACGACGAGGTTGGGATTGATGACGATGTGGTAAGTTTGTCTTTGAATTTCCAGTTAGATTTTCTATCCCCTCACTATTTTTCTTCCAGTTATAAGCTATCAATATTTATATATATACTGTCACTGCAATATTTTTGTAAAATATATGGTATAAGCGCCTGGCGTCTGTAAAACTCTCGCTCTCCAATGGAGGGGCTGTGCATAGAGGTGTAGTGAAAAAGAGGATGGGGTGAATGGAGGGGCAGTGAATAGAGAGATGGTATATGAAGGGTCCGTGAAAAAAGGGGCAGTGGGTGGGAGAACAGTGAATAGAGGGGTTGTGAAATTGAGGGAAGATAAATAGAGGGGTGGTGCACAGAGGGGTGGTGAATGCTGGGTCGGTATAAGAAAAGGTGGGGCATTGAGAGGAATTGAATAAAGGGAATGGTAAATAAAAAGGACAGAGAGGGAGGCATTAAAAGAGGGAGGGTGTATGCAATAAATCCATTTATTGCTCCTTGTGTTAATTGTTGTTCCTAAGAAAGATAATATAAGAAATGTTCCGTATTTAACGGATATATATTAAAATAAATGAAAAGCTTCCCAAAAATTTGACTTTGTTTGTTATTCTACCGTCTTATATAGTAATGAACCCTGTTTTTCCCAATCGAAGCCCAATAACCCCTGGATTGTCTAATACAAGGGTGTGAAAAAATAGAGGAGTAAGACAGAGACTGCATATTGGTATTTTTTCTAAACATAAAAGTTTGGATCTTGTGATGAAAATTAATGATAGAGATAAAAAGATGAAAAGTTACTGTATTTTTTCAAAAAGATGTAAAAGTAGAAAGTTAAAAAGTACCCTGTGGTGCTTCTTTAATTATGTGATTAATCAAGGATGACTTTTCCTTTTGAACAATAGTTGAAAGAGTTATCCAAAATGGGCGAAAATCACACAAATATGATGAAAGGAACCTCAAAATCTGGGTCAATTGACAAGGAGGTTTGTTCACATTTCTTTACAATCATTCAGTACTTTTCAGTTTCTTCTGATACATATGCATTCGTTTTGACAAGTAAAACCGCTGAATGACATTAAAACTTTTTTTCTAAGTTGTGCATTATTATTGAAAATGTTATAATCACCATGGTTGAAAATATTATATTTGCTATGTTTTAACAAAACGCACCGATTAATATAATTCGAGAAATTTGCGAATGATTGAGAATAATTCAGTTATCTATGCGAAAATAATTCTTTGTGCAATTTGATACTGGGTGATCAATTATAGTACGTTTGAATGTGGCTTTCAAAATGGCTTTCAAAAAAGCAAAACTTTTACAACATACTAAAAGCTTTTTCGTCTGACACTCCTCAGAGTATAAGACGTCAGAATAAGGGTACAAAAGAACAAGATGGAAAATATATACTCAGTTGTGGATCGAAATAGGCCAATCAGAAAAACGCGAGCATAAGACCGGTATGGTTGACCAATCAGAACCGTGTGCCTATAGGAAAATTGCAACCTTTTTGATTAGACAAGATGGTTTTTCTTAAGGTTCCCGCCAATCCGTCCCTAAAATTTGTCTCTGGAGAAAGTTAAGTCGGAATTGGAAAATGCGTGTGTTTTTAAAGCAAAAATCAAGGAAACATTTCTTCAAGACAGAGAACATTAGGATTATCTTGCAGTGGAAGCATTGTTGACCATACAGTGTTTGCCAGGGTGTTTCTCAAATGTTCATATTTATGAACTGAATTATTAACTTGACTTATCGATTTGGATGATTTGGAATCAGAAAGCAACAGCATGCTGTCTTTGGCAAAGTGAATGCCGTTTCTAGAAGGACCTGTTTTTCTTGACCTTCTTTTATGAAGTGTAAAGCCACCCGTGTTTCTTATCTTCCATTTAAGCCAATCGGCCGGTTTTCTACAGTATCGAAAAACCGGAACGTGATGGTTCGAAGGGGTTGTTGTATTATTATCATCAAGTTATGATGATTATAATGGCTTAGCTACATTGACTTTATGTGCGTGGGTTGACAATAGGTGCAAATTAATAGTTCACGATTTCTATCTATTTGATGCTCAGTTGATGGGCTTCGATGAAGGAATGTTGAATTTGACCTGCTTCCACTAACCTTAAACCAATGAATGCAGACATTGTCAGTTAGCTCGGCATTCTCCCGAGATGAAGTAAAGCCCTCGTGGTCTATAAAGTTCAGAGTACTATTATCTCATAAGCTACAGCAGCCGTCTTCATTACTAGAACGCATAGTTTGCCTCGCTGGTATTCATCCTTCCCATTGTCAAACGCTGTCATACATAGCTATCTGGCTCCACTAGGTCCAAGCCAATATATTGTGAAGCCGCAAGGTTTTAGCCACTGCGAAGGCAGTTAATGTTCAGGCAACGTTTGACATGTGCACGGGGAAATCTTTGTATCTGTATCTGCGGTAATTTTGTGGCACACCACTTGTTTCTGAAATACCTTTGGATTACCTGAGGAATGCATATGGAGGATGCCAATTGTTGATGCAAGAAATGGGATTTGTACGTCTTTAAATGTATTCAGCAACTATTCGTTTCCCGTTCCACCGATCATTATTCTGTTCTGTGTTCGGTTTCGCATTGGCGCGGGTAAATCCAAGCGGTCTCTGATTGCCGTTTGATCATTTGACTCGGGTCAGAAACCAGGCCCGGCCTTATCTGGGCGACCGCTTCTGAGGTTACGCCGTAAAAACCTCAAGTCAGTCGTATGACAGGGTTGACAAGCTGAACACTCACGAGTAAATATCTTTGTGGTTTATTTTCAAATGTTAATTCCTAGTCATCTCATGCATTTCTTATCATTCATCTCACTGTTTGCTCAAATATTGAAATTATCGCGCTGCAAGATGAAATTGCCAATGACTGGATTAGTTGTCCGAATACTCTGAGCCCTGTTGATGTGAACTGTATGCGCTTTTCCGAGTTTTCCATGGTTGCAGTGTGTTGTTGGATAAAGACGTTCGCCTGGTTTTTAGCTGCCGTAGCTTATTACTTTATTCAGCTGTGAAAAGAGGAGTAGAGGCTTCAAGTGAAAGACATTGAGCAGTGTATGAGTGATAATAATGGATAGAAAACACAGCGGCGTGAAACCATTTCTAGACGAAGATATGCTGAACAATGCACATGTCAAGCTGAAAACGTCGGATTCCGTGAAAAGAAGCGCGGCGATGACAAACGGCGATGTGTTTGGACCTCGTATAGTCAGGATTTATCGGGTATCAAATGCTTATAGCTCGTTTTCATACCATTGCATTTGTAGATAATTAATATCAGTGATACTCTACCGGGATGAGGCGTGAATGGGACGTCTTAGTAGGAGAGATCTGCGCTTCGGTAGAACACGTTTTCGGATCCTGGGGCTCGTGTTTTAAGCGTAAAGTTAGCATACTTAACGAGATTATCACCAGACAAAACATTTGTGAAAACCAATCGCCCAAATTGAATACCCGGAGTTTGAAAGGTGAAAAACAACTTAATGAAATTAAGAAATAAAATTACTCCAATCATTATACAACATTATCAAATATATTGGTTCAATATTGGTTTTCATCAGGCTAAACGAGTACTATCACAATTATTTATTTCTACATTTGAACCTTATTTTAATATAAATTTCTATGAACTTTTATCTCGAAATGGGGGTAAAATATTTTGATCATCAATTCACTAGATTTTCTTATTCTGGTTCTCTTACTTTTGAGAGATCGATATATACTTGTAGACTGACGTGTTAGGTTTTGTTTTCGTGTCAGGTCCCAGTATCAAGTATGTCGATATTTGTTTTGAGCATTTGCCAAGATTTTATACGCCAAAATGTTTATTCTGGAATCTGTTCTTGGAAATAATTTCAATGGTTTTTGTAACAAACCCTATCTCTAGTTGCCTGTATATATGGTCGTAGACCTTGAAGGGCGGTCTCTTGTCGTCTCTGTTGGTGTACAATCTCCTTTCTATCCCAGTCTAATGCTGCTGTCTCGAATTAATATAGTTGATCTTTTTTCTGGTGTCTTAGGTAACAATTTACAAAGATTATTTTTTCGCAGTTAGATTTTCTAATGGTTTTGTAGGGAATATGAACTGAAACTGCTTCTGTATATATAACACCTAAAATGACCAGCTTGGATCATTCTGCTAATAAGGTCATAATTCTTTGCATTTGTGAGATTGCAGAAGACTTTTGCAAACGAATTCCCATATGTGCTCTTAACTATTTCCTGTTCACTGGATCAAGCCATGTTGAATCAATAGACTGTCAGTTTTTTACCACGCTATGTCAATTGTTTAATGCTTGTTATTTCTTAACCCCCTTCTAGCAGTTATTTGGCTGCATTTTTTACCTATTCAATATTCATAGTCATTAACCTGCGATCACATAACACTTGTGACCTGGATTCGACATGGAATCCTCTAGTGTCCGGTTTTCAGAATTGTTTTTAAACTTTTTTAAAACACCGAAACAGTTAGAATTTTTAAGGCCACTTGTTTTGGAAACAGTGGAATTTACAACTGACTGTTTTTTGAAAATTAACACTCAATATGTTTCACGAACGTATTGGCTGAGTTCCTGACATGACCAAACTTTCACCCATGGTAGGGGAGTTGCCAGCTCTTTGCATTTCCATGCGTTGGAATTACGAGGTGTGGTCACATCGAGAGGAAAGACCAGGACACTGCTCGATAAGCATAAGCTTCTCAGTGTCCTCAAAACTACCTTCCGATGCTAGGTAGAAACAAATATGAATGTTGCATATATACAAAGCAGCTTTGCACAAACAATCAATCTTCTCAAATTTAAGAGCTGGGCCTTTTCAAACTTTTCACACGCGTCCATTTTGACTCAAAAGACACATTTTTGATCAGATTTGGGACAGCACTTGCCATCAGTTTTAAAGGTCCCTGCACAATGCTTCCTACGACGACAGTGGTGTGACAACAACAAGATCATCAACAGCAACAGCAAACCCTAGCATTTATACACACCAGCCTTGTCTTCATTAGTGTAATAGCAATGCAATTAAACGTCCGATACGGAACTGTTCTTGATAATAGGTCATATTTTAGTATCATATTGGTTTCTTTCTTCATAGTTACACAATCAACCGGCAATTATACCTACCAAAGTCTCCAAGCATACCTAAAATTCCAGCGTACCCCCTCTTGTAATCTAAGAAGCCGCCCTAGATCATTTAAGACAAAAGGTCCTTCAATACCTATGCACTGAACCACGGAAATGCCTTTCGTCGACTGTTTAAAATTGGATGCACATGTCATGGGAACATATAATTCTTGTAATCACTTGTTGATATTTTTAGTCATATTGAAAATGGCATTACTGGTCTATTAATGTATATAATTACAAAAATAGAATTTGTTCTAGGATTAGAATTATGTTCGCCCTGTCATGTGTTAAAGATACTTTTACATTTCATTACTTTGTGCCCGTTGATCACATTGGCTTGGTTGTAATCTCTTTTGTGTGGTGTTTTCTCCTATAATCTTCAAACTTGACCAATATTTAATCTGTGGTCAATGCTTCACATGCTGAATGCCAACGGAGAATAACCGTGCAAATCTACCTGGAATTCTTCATTGTTCATTTACAAATTCAGATGATTTTACTCAACTGGACTGCCCACAAATTAATTTCAATCGTACTTCGCCCAGCTTTGCATTTAAACTCTTGTGAATTATCTCGTAGAACCTTTTTTATGTCGATTGATGATCATCATTTTTGGTGATTATGTTTGATGCTAACAAACAGAATGACACATTTACGCCAGCCATGAGCAAAAATTATAAAAGCAAATTCAGTGATCATTTTGTTACTTGATTTATATATGCCCTTATTGAATAAATACTATTTCTAAGTTTCAACTGTGAAAGTTGTTGATAAAAAAGATAGCCTGTTGACATATCAATTTTGAAATCTGCTCTGTCTTCCCGCATATATTGGAGATGGTTACAAAGCCCTTTTATAGCGCGCAAAGTTAAAATTTTTGCGCAATTTCATCAAATTTTGTACTTTTCAACTGCAAATTTCAAAAATTCAAAAACCGCTTAATTTACTCAGCTTGTATGAGTACAGATTGAAAGCCAATTGTCGGATTTATAAAAAATTCGACCAAACCAATATAACTATGAAGAGGAATCATTTTTTAATTAGTATTTGAAAAGTAATCTGATATACTAGGCGGTCGGATAATATGATTCTGTAGTTGTTTGTGCTGCCTCCATGTATGTTGCAAGTGTATCTTTGTCTTTCAGCCTGGTAGCACATCTTCTGATGGAACAGATGGCCGTTATGTCAGTATCGAAGAGTACAACGGATTGAAGAAACAATACAATGATGCAGAAGTATGTTTCTATCATTATTTGCAGTACCATTTATATCTTCCATTGTCTTCAGATACGTCTTTCCCAATCCTTAGGGCTCTGTTCCCTGTATGAGAATCCTGCGTTTTTGATATTCCCATGTCGCCTCTTGCGAACCCTTCCAAGAATTTTTGTAGATTTCAGGGCTATTCCAAGAACTCTTGGTTTCCTAGTTGTCGTTCTTTCCACACAGCCTGCGATCGCATTCAAATAAGGCATTTTTGGGAAATGAAGTTTTAAGTGCCTTGGGTATTCTTACAGAAGTGCATGCATGCAAATTGATAAAAATATTTTGATCCTTTGAAATATTGATAAAAGATTTCGGTGAATATTGCAGCAAAATTCTTATAAAATAAAGGGATTTATAGACTATGTTGATGCCGCCATGATCAAGAGAATTTGCTTCACATAAATCATAGAATATGTTTCTAGTCAAGTAAAAAGACCTCCTTGCACACAAACTCTGCCTCCATACGTACCACTTGAATACTTTGTCAGCTAGTCCATTCTCCCCCCTTTTGTACCTTCAGCAACTTTTGTGCCAAAATTATGCCTTTCTTTATATGAAATAAGCGGAAAATTCTACTATGATACACTCTTTTTCTATAAGAAACTGGCTTTAAGAAACGAGTACTGGACAGTCAGAAAAAATTAAGAAACTTCAGTACTCGAAGCAAAAAAATTAAGAAACTTTCAAATCGTGATAAAACTTAGAGCAACGAAATTTTGTAAAATCCAAGAACGTGATTGCCCTGATGGCCTAGAACTTAAGACACATAAATACAGCGTCAGAACGAAAGCGAATCTCTTGACGTGAGAAAAGGTCACGAACATTTCATAACATCATTCATGACATCATAATTAGTTAATTAATATGATAGCTGACAGCGTCAATCCAAAATGTGCTTTTTAACTGCACGTCTTTCACTTCACTTTCATTAGATCATGTTATTGCACTCTATTAAATTGCGAAATCGAGTGTTCAATTCATAAATATTTTGCAAATTAGCGAGAAAACCAAACTTTAAATCTATAACGTTACTCAAAATAGATTTTTAATCGTCTTCTTTTGAAAAGCTGTTTCCTTTTCAATCACATGTTTGTCCTTTCTTTCAGGAAAGGGCAAGCCACTTCCAAAAACTAAACGACACATTAAACCAAGAGGTCAATCTTCTGCGAAGTATGGTACGTAACAATGGTGTTATTTATATTCATCAATAATTCTCATAGTTTATGGTTCTCATAGTTTATGGCGATTTTTGGGTCTTTCGGGCATTCGATTTTTCAGGTTTCTGCTCCTCACACGTGGAATCATTTCTGGATGCATCAGATAAGTTTTATTTGATGAGACGCTGTGTCATATTAATCCATCAATATATTCTTTCAATGAATTCCCTGCCTCCAGCACATTCGACTAAAAATAAGCTGTTAGATATCGATAATTTGTTTTCCATTCAAATTGAACAGCTTTTTTTAGACAGAAAACTAAATGAAGCAGTATTTTGTATGAAAAGACTTATATTCTAATAATTCTGCGAAAGGAATAAAAATTTCTTTCATTACTGAAGCAGGATGCTATAACTACAAGTGCAAATAAATTTTTTTCCCTAAACAAACAATGATTTGCGGCAATCATTTATAAAATATTTTTCCGATTTGATAGCGGTTTTTCATTGTCCTTGTTTTTATGACTTTTTTAGTGGAAACGAGCTAAATTGAAGGGATTCATTGAGACGTATTCATTACCATTTAAAAATTGAAACGACATGATGACATTCGCGACAAAAATATTTCATCACACTTTTCCCTACTCAGTGTGCATCTCACCTTTGTGGCATAACAGCAAAACAAACCACGTGTCTCCGAGTTCCATTGTTTTCTGATTTCTCAATGAACGTGTTTTTAAGTTAATGGATTGATTTATATATGGTAGGCATATATGTTGTTGGATTCGATAAGATTATATAGAATATGTTTCATTATAGTAAATTTACTTCTTGTAGATTATTCACATCTTTGGCTGTGATATCAGCGATACGTAGTTTGCGCTAGCGCCTCAGATGGTTTGATCCACAGCGATTTGGAGCCCAATGAAAACTGACGGAAACTAAGTTGTCCCCTTTTTTCACATTCTGCAGAAAACCGTCAACTGAGAACATTACTACTTGTAAGGGGTGGGGGCTTGACTACTTTCGTGCACGGCGAATCGCGACACGAGAAAATACTATGTTACTCTTTAAAGCAAGATATACCATCCCTGCCCCTTTTTCTTAAATTGCGGCATATCCACGACAATTTGTTATTTTCTTTATGGACCTCGATTGATTGCGAGATTTAAGTAAGCATTTCTCTGAAACTTGAGTCAACAATCGACCCTATACTTTTTTTTCTTCATTTTTTTCTTTTGTGTTGGTACACGTACACTACTAGCTATACTAAAGCTAATCAAAAACAACTAAATATATTAACAATAACCGAATTTAACAATGCAGCAAAAATAGATGAATAACTAATAAGACACATCAATCAAAAGTAGGCTCCCTGTCATTTTATATAGCCTACTTGTCCTATAAATGGTTTACAAATGCGGCGTGATCAAGAAATCGCAGACATAGTTTTGATAGTAGTGTACAAGGAACACCGCAACGCCACGAGAATAAACAACAACAAACACACAAATCAGTGATGGGTAATATTTCGCCCCGGCATACGGGGCTTCATCAAAGCAAAAGTAAACGAACTAAAAATTTACAAATTTCAAAGATGCGGATTGATTGGTGTGGAATGGTGTGAGTGCAGCGCAGCGGAGAGGAATAGGTAATAGATGTGGAAGAAGGAAGGGTGGTGAGTGCGAGAGTGGGGGTGGTGGTGGTGAGATGAATATGTAATAAAGGTTGGTAGTGGTGATAACGATAAAAAGTTATGAAAGTATTAAATAATGGTGATGATAGTGACAATGGTAGTAAAAAATGAAAAATTAATTAAATAGAGAAAAGAAAATGATAACGGTAATGTAGAAAGTAACGATGATGATTAGTTTTGATAATTGCTTTAAAGGTTTTTATATTTGAGCTTGAGGTTATTTTGTGGGAACTGAGTTCTATACTTCTTGACATCTGTATGATACAGTGTCTAATCCGTATGCTATAATGTTTGGTTTATTTCTAGTGAAAGTGAACCCTTTAGGTTAAAAGGTGATTCAGTTATGCTAAAAATATCTTCCATGGAACTTGGGTTTTCGTGATGACTAGCTTTGTAAATTTCTGTTGCAAGTTGCTTTAAATTCCTTGTATGGATTGTAACCGTATTGTCTTTGAGCAGTAGTTGTTCAAAACTAGATGAAAAATTGTTGTAGGCTATTCGCAATGCTCTTTCGAGAAAGTTGTTAATAAGTTTATTGTTTTTCCTACTACACCTTTCCGTGGACAAAACGCTCCGAATGCCGATAACACCCTAATCCGAAACTTTTGCATTAAACTAATCTATTTTGTGGTAACGGTATTAATTTGTCAATGATTTTTCACTTACTTCTTAATGCAAAATGACATTGTGTTAAACGTTTCGCGATTCTCTGTCACGTGTCATACATTTGCTACCCAAAGATTTCTTGACAATCCCCATTGTGTCTTCATATTTCCAATTCCGTTATCATGGGTTTTTGTGTTCCTCTGCAGTCAATAAGAGAAATTTCTAATTAATGGTCATCCGATTCGTTTCCTTTTTTCTTTCGTCATTTCACCTCCTTTATTCATGTTGTCCTTTTTTTCACACAGGTACAAAAGCTGATGCAAGAAAATGCTTCACTCAGGACACAAGTCAATCAGGCAGAAACAGACCGCGATAATGTGGAAAAACAAATGATCGAAATGCAAGGGAAACTGAACGAGGTAGCTCACTTTGTCTTTCAACTTCTTATCAACATGATATACCTTTATTTAAGATTCCATTATTTTTAAGGACTTCAGTTTTTAAACTCTTTAGATAACTCATTTTTGGGTCTTTGTTCTCTTAGTTCTCAGGTTTTGCTACGTAATCGATCGAAAATATCTTGTAAGGGCAGTGGATCTTGTAAACATCTGGAAGATCTCGTAAGATCAAGAGGGTTGAATAGAGATCACCTATCACTGGAAATGCCTGGTCTTTACGGAACTTCTATTAACAACGTTTTATTGTAAAGGGGTAATATATTTCGTAAAAAGTATATTTCGATTCCGGGTTTGTTTATTTCGGATTTGTCTTTTCCGCCTTAGATGGTGATGTCGTCGAAGCCCGAAGATACCGATTCAGATCATGTCCGGATCGATAGCATATCTCCACATCCGAACCCGGGCGTGTTCAGTTCATTTATCGACGAATCTACGACACCACCGCTGGCTAACAGCTCGGACACTAAAATACAAAACCCGTACGACAATATAAGTTACATCGATTCGACGCCAAGCACACCGTACGCAAAACCAAATAAACAAGGTGCCTCAAGAAAGGACCGGTCCACGCTGTCCAGCAGCACATCACAAAGATCAAATGGTTTGTTTACACGTTATTATATTGCCTTATTGGAACGTTATTAAAATAATGATTGCAGGCTTTTGAGCTGTTACTCTGAAGTTGTGCTATGTCGTTCTTCAAAAACCTGTCATGTTGTGTCAAAAGTCTTGGTACAGTTGATGTTTTACGAATTGTCAAATAGTACCCCCTCTCCTCCCCCAAAGAACCTTGTTTTATATACACTAATTTTTTTAAATAAGGAACTGGCTATAAGAAACGAGTACTGGACAGTCAAAAAAATTAAGAAACTTCAGTACTCGAAGCAAAAAAATCAAGAAAATATTTAATTGTGATAAAACTGAAAACATCGAAATTTTGTAAAATCCTAGAACAGGATTGCCCTGATGGCCTAGAAATTAAGACACAAGGGATAAAAATATACTTCCCGCGTCTAAATACAGCGTCAGAACGAAAGCGAATCTTTTGACGTGAAAAAATGGTCACGAACATCTCATAACATCATTCATGACATCATAATTAAGAAATTCTTAAGAAACAGTGAGTATTGAAATTTCCAGAACATTTAGAAACTGGAATACTCATTATCGACCTTTGTTTCTTATAAAGAAATGAATGTAATCCACAGCAAGCAATGCTTTGAGGGAGAGTGGTGCGGTGTTTGTTGTTTCTACCTGAAACTGTTATCGTTTTTAAAATAATACTTTGGAAACGTAAGAATACTCTTGAGCTTTCCATTGACTTTTTGTATGAATAGGACTTCATCTCTGCTTTGAAGCCTCAAATGTAGAAGCCATTTTTGCCTATCGAAAGGGAGAAAACGTAAATAAGCAATGCAATTCAGCGAAAATAAAATTAAATATATTATGATAATATAAAAATTTTATTTTAAAATACTTAAAAAGTGACTTTGTACACTTGCGTACAAACAGTGTTGCGATATGAGAGTATTCATGTATCGCAGTATCACATAAAAGGATTATGGCGTTAAATTTCACTACGTTTTGTTAAGTATGTGCAGTGTTCAAGCAGCCGACAATTTATACATTACCTCGGTAACTTTTTCCATTACTCTATTGATAAAAAATCTCTTGCAGCTTTTTTGAAAACTCCCAGTTTTCAAGGCCTAAAAAATTGATCTTTTTCGTTCATTTTGAATATCCAACTGTATTAAAAAAATAAACAATGTCTTGTGAAAATCTTGTGTATGTGTTGCTTGTATGTAATGAGGAAGTATAAAAAAGGCTCGCAGAACTCATTAAATGAAAAATCTTGAAAGGGTTTAGAAGAATACTTTATCGGAAGTGTACATGATAAAATTAAACATTGCAGGATCGTTTCAAGCAAAATTCTTTATCAGGTAAAAGAAATTGCTAGGCAGCGGCATTCAAAGAATTTCATAAGAATTCTAATTTATTTATGTATTATTGTACTTGAAAAGAGAGTGTCATCTTATCTTCTCGTTGCCATGTTTTTCTGTAGCAGTTTGTATAAAATCAAATTGTCGTGGTTAAAAGGTCAGTACATTGAGGATAACTTCAATGCAACCCCAATCAATTCCCTTCATCAAGTCAACCTTCTCGGTTTCCTCACATAATTTCCAAGGTGTATTTAAACGGTTATTCATGCCATCAGCTACATGTTCCTGGTTTTCTTGAACTTTGTTGTTAGAAACATTTTGCTGCATATAAGACTATTAATATGCAAATATTATAACCGTGACGGATAGTTTTTAAGTGACGGATCTTTCCTGTTCACAGGTCACAATTACAGCCCTCAGGATTACCCCGAATCGTCTGAGGACTCGACCGCTTTCATAACGGAAGATGAGACCCCCCAGTCACCCCAGGCGGAAGATCTGCCTACCCAAGAATCGATAGTCGAGGCGACAGAGCAAATCACTAAGAAAATACAAGAACTTCTTTTAGCAGCGCAAAGTGCCCAGCATACTAGGTGAGTGTCATTGTTGTAGCCAGTAGGGGAGACACTAATGACTGAAAAGATCTGCTTTGTCTATAAATGCTGTACCCAAGTATCATTATAAGTATGCTTTGTTTTTCTCCTACAACAGATACATACCTTGTGCTAGCAACATTTCAACTGCAGTCAACGACATGGCTAACCTATTTCCTAAGGTATGTCTTACAATACTTCACATTCACGTTTTTGGAGTTCAAAGACATTTTAAACGTTGAGACAATAGTCAAAATCATTCAATCACTTTCTAGACTTGCAATAATCCTCTGTTTATAGGCGCATAAAGCTAAAACTAAAGATTTGAAACAGCACAAGATTTTTTTATAATTCAATTTCTCGTCGAGTTTTTCGTTTGACAGAAATTTTAGCCCACAAAAGTTAATCTAAATATAACATGGACCAGCAATACTTTCTTGAGATTTGAAAATCAGAATTAACAGGCCATCACAAAACGTTTCTTTGCTTTGAATCCACGTATTGTTTACGGCACTAGGAGGGCCCTTCCATCCGTTGAAAAGGAACGCGTTCATACCACCCAAAAGAGTTCCGTTATTTACGAATTTACTTGCCAGTCTGATTCGTGCTACGTAGGAAGCACAACCAAAAGGTTGGGGGATAGAATAAAACAGTATTTCCCTTCAAGCATTAGAAACAAAACTCACTTCCCAAGGAAACAGCTTCCTCGGTCTTGCAGATCATAAACAACAAATAGAACATGCGATAACGCTATCGTGCAGCATTTACTAGACAACCACGATTGTACTAAAAACTATAATGGCTACATTTTTCTGGTAACTGGCAGAGCCCGGTGGTTGTTCCATCTAGCAGTTTTAGGATCGATCCACATAAAAAGGAAAGATGAAAAAATTAAAAAAAGCCCTATAGAGAATACAGGAGTTCGTTTCTTTCATCCTTTGTATCCAGTGATGATATTTTCTATAGGCACGCGGCACTGATTCCGCAACCTTAACAGTCACATGCTCGTGTTTCTGGTCGGCCTTTTTCAATCCACAACTAGGTATAGGTTTTCTACAATCGTTGCCAAAGATAACTGGAACGCCTTCCCACTGCAGCATGCAAATAAACAAACCAAGTCTAAAACTACCTTATCAAAATATCACTGCCGATTCAGAAAAATTTCGACCCCTTCCCCCGTACAATTTATTTTCTCAATACTTTCATACAGCTTCCAGTGAAAGATTTTTTATCTTCAGCGTCAAAACAGCCGAATTGAACAACATTGTAATGGGGGGTAGGGGGGATTTTTCAAAAAAAGCTTCAGCTTTGTACAAGTGTTCCAACAATTTTGGCAAGGATTGTAGCTTCGCATTCTCACTCATTATTTCAACATTATATACTCTGAGGAAAGTCAGGCGGAAAGCCTTTTTTCTTAGCGAGATCCATTACATTGTAGCTGTCTAGCTGTTGAGAGAATCACTAACTTTTTTGTATCATTCCCTATACCCTTGTTTTATTTATGCAGTAATTATATTTGGTATATTTTATATACGGTAACGATGCCTGTTTGCTGTTTGTAGCACCCCAAGGCAGAGAACGTACGGAGTGCGTTGCGTTTGATGATCACCAGTGCGGCGAGGTTACAAGTCGAATGCCGAAGTAGCGTCTTACCCGATCGCACTATCGACGCCGCAATGTTGACGCAGCAGGTGATTCAGTGTGCTTACGACATCGCAAAGGCGGCGAAGCAACTTGTTACGACGTACAACCAAGATTAGAATTCACAATTTTGTAATTAAATGAATATATATAAATTTATGCTACATTTTATAGTGTAATAGTTCTAAGTCGATTTGAAAATATCCTCTGACGATAAAATAAGCAGGTGAACACATTATGATTTCCACTACTGTTGCGCACTGCTAATTTAACGCATGAATGAATGGACATTTTCTGAATCGCCATTGTTTAAATTTGCCCATTCTCAAAAGTGACAATGTACATTTTATTCCATATTGTTTGATGTTATAATTCGCTGCTCCTCTAGCGAGAATTGGTCCCTGGATGGTTTTTTAAAAATGTTTTTCGCTTTTGAAAGACTTTTGAAATAAAAATGCCAACCTTTAGCATTGCTTGAAATGCAATCGTTCCGCCCTAGCCAGTCCAAGTAAACTTGTTTTATGTTGCCTAGCCCAGTCCCCTTTTTGTGTTGCCTAGTCCACTATTTTTCTAAGGAAAGAAAAAAACAAACTTTTCTTGATACACATGTGAGAGACCACCATGTGACCACAGTGCCCAAAAGCGCATCATGGAACCTTGCCAAGCCACCATAAATGCATTTTTGTTCATAGCAAATGCTCTATTTTCGATTGTTGTTTATTATCAACAGAAATGTTATGATATCAGGTCAATAAGGTTGCTGGTAAACTGGCTTTCTCCTTGTGTTTTGCTAAATTTTCAGTTTGTGCATCTCTGCACCACTCGGAAATTTCATCAAATAACTGCTCACATCAAAATGGTAGCATCATTTGAAAAAAATGTATAAAGCTCCATGACCCCTAGCCCATATTTTATAGTTCTACTAAGCTGGTTTCTCGTTAAACCACATTTGAAAGCCGTAATTCACCGTCACTTTCTAAACTATATTTTAAAATCTTCACCTCTAAGTAGCGGAAATTTCAACCCAGCATTTTTTTCTCGTTGTTTTTTTACAAACGATGGAAAACGGATACGCTCTAGAATGTAAGCACTCTGGTCCCATTTATGTCTTTGGTATGGACTTCCATCGCACTAGCTTCTTTTCTGTCAAATTTGTTGCATCTTACTAGTCATTTTGTAGTTGTCATCGTTTCAAATCAACATTACGGTATTTTTCGTTCAAATTCACCCTTTTTTGCCAATGAGATATATATAAACTTGTCTGGCAAAGAAAACCCCATCAAATCCAAAAGCACTCGCATGATCTTTCTTTTAGTCCAGATACACAAAAATGATAATTTAAACTTGTAGGCACGAGTATTTGTGGTACTATCATGTTTAATGTGTTATTTCTGTATGTTTATTAATTATTTGTTGATACTGAAAATATACACAACTTATTTGTAGATATCAAGTAACTAGTTTTGTTCCGTTAAATTGATGTAATCTTTACCGTATTTTGAAAATTACATTTATCACTATCTTTCATTGCAACGCTGCTTCAGCTACTTGCTCATTTTTCCTCCAGGAAATTTATCTCACAAGAAGTTTGACACTGAACCATTTAATCACTAATTAAATCCTTATACGTTATCAATGTTGTGATCGATCTTTCATAGAATGTCTTGGTACGTTCGGCTGAAACTTTGCATAATTTCAGTGGCATCCTCTCCTTATTCTTTCAGTGGCATCCTCATAATTCAGTGGCATCTTGCATATCATCACTTCAGCTTTAAAATACGTTCGCAACACCATTTGTGGAGTTTTCGATGAATTTCAGGCCCGTAACTCTCAAAAAAGAACTTAGTCATTTTTCAAAAAATCTATGACCCCGGATATGCAAAAAACCTCAAAAAATAAGAAATTTATACACAAATTTTTTTGGCTCGAAACAACCTAAAAAGCTTTAAAATACGTCCGCAACACATTTGTGGAGTTTCTGCTTAAAATGAATTCAATGTAGTTTTATCGGATGGTTTAAGTGGTAGGCTTTTCAACCGACATTTTGTTAGGGGAGGGGGATTTTTCCTTTAAACTTTAATTTTCCCAAATTCTTTATTGGATGCAATGTGTTTCCAGGACTTTTGACAGAGAGTGCACGTTTCCTTTATTGCTGATTTTTGAATATTGAAGTTTAAAGGGCATTGACAGACATCGAATCTCAAAGACACCAAATTGTGACCTAAGTGGATAAACTTCCTTTTGCAATGCATAATGGCCATTACCTTTTTCGGCAAGTTTAATGGTATTATCAAAAATCACGCCCGTTCAAAGTTTACCTTTCGTACAAATTTTACCTGTTCATATGAAGTGGGCCAGGCCATAGGATTTCCTTTTTGAAAGTCTCACACGAAAGAAGCATTTGACACTCAATAGGCAATTTGACACAAAAGATTTTTTCACTTTTGGCATCAAAATGAAAATAGAATTTTATTTGAAACTTGATTCCTTTTCCAGTGGCGGTTTTCGATAGTAAATTATCTTGTAGAATTATGATTCTGAGCGATCTAAAAGGTAATCGATAGATCAGACATTCTTGATTGCGAGCGGAGAACTGTCTTGGTCCAACTTTCTCTTCTCACGTGTATGCATGCATATTGATTCTCTTACAGCACACTTGAGAGGACCAGTACACGTTAATATGTTTAATTTTTGTCCCACCTGTCACAAATCCTTTCCAATAGATCTCAGCCATGTGCCCAATTACAGCATTGCAAAGAAACGTGTACAGATCCAATTTGGGTAGCCAACAAATGTAACAAGCATTTACATTGCCAGACATTGATTTAACTATCCAATTTAGCAGAAAGAAACTTTGCGGATTGAGAAGAGCGCAACAATTTTGGAATTAACTTTCACGAAAATGACGAAATAGAATCTTTCGCAAGAATAAACCTTCGCGTTTTTGCCAAATCACGAATTTCGCGCGAAAAAACATTTTTATTCAACTGAGGTTTCTTTCTAATTTTTTTCCACCTAATACCAACAAAACAACGAAAACAATATAAAATTTGGTTAAAAACAATTATTCACCATCAAAGTTTTCAAAAGGGCGAAAAGTTCTCTGGATATTTAGCGAGAATAAACTTTTGTATTTACTTGCTGGCGAAAATAAGTTTGATACGCGAATTTCGTATTCCTTGGAAATTCGTGTATAAAACTTTTTGCGATTTTTGGCAAAAACCTGAAAAACGCGGAAGTTTCTTCCCTCAAAAGTTCCTTGCCTTGAAGTAGCCAGATAAGATGACTTTAGATGGAAGATGAATGTTTTCTCTTTCCTCATTCTGTCACATCATAGCTTGCATCCTTTCATTTAGAAAATTATAAAATGCTCTATATTCATGTAGACATTCAATTTCAATTCAAATAAATTTTAAGAAATGAATCATTTGAAAAAATAGAGTAGACCATAACAATGCCATTGTCATCATATTTACAACTACTTTTAGTCAATCTGTAAAAAGGTGTTTCAGCAAAAGTTGCATTATGTTTACAAGGTGAAAGCCATGACAACAACACACTGAGATGATTATGCAAGTCTGCAGCAAACATAAAATGACAGCCTGCAGCAAACAAAGTGCATATTTTAAAGTTCTTTGTATCAAATGGTTATATTGTGAGGATGTTTTGTTGTTTTATTGGTGCTGGCAACTATTCATGTCAGTAAAGCTAATTTTCTTCAAACAGGCAACTTCAAAATCAAACAGCAAAGTTAACCTTTGATGATGAGTTTTAGAGGGTCTTTCAGCACCATCATGGTATTTGTTAGTAATTTAGTCATAAAGGTCAAAATCTAATCGCTTTGAGTTGTAAAATGATCCGGTTGACCCAATTTTGCGACATAAGACACCATCTTTAAAGAATCCTTGCTCTTTCCAGCTTATCATGCAAGAATTTGAGTAAGGTCCATAAAGTTGTGCATCATCACTTTGTTCCCATTTATACTCCCACATAACTTCCTCACTATTGGGAACTGTTTCTTCACTTGTTTTAGTCTCTGGCTCTTTCGATTGGGCAAATGCCTTCTCTAGCTCATCATCATCATCAGCATCCTGAAATTTCTCTTCTTCTCTTTTAAGCTCAACATTTAGTCTCTCGAATGTTTTATTATATATTTCAAAATCTCCCTGCTGCAGGAGCGAATCTGCAAACTCGGTTAATTTCAACAAATTATTTTTGTCCTCTTCTTTACTTTCATCCTTGTCAGTATTTTTCTGCTTTTTGCCAGGTTTCTTTCCTCCAAACCTTCTGAGTGCCTTTAGCACATTTTCTCCCGGCTTTAATAAACTAACTACTCCTTTCATCAATTTAATTTTTTCTGAAGCAGGGAGTTTTTCAGGCTCATCTTCCCATTCTGCCTGAATTTCCTGGTTATCTTTCTCATCAACTTTTGCCCAGTTAACACTTTCAAGCCACTCATCTTTGAAAGACTCAGCATCCTTGTCTGCAATATAATTACCTGTTGGTGGAATTGAAACAGGTTATGAGATATAGATAAAAAAATTTTCAATTCTTGATGTGCTTCAATTATAATTTTATGACAGCATATAAATATGTCCTCTAGGCTACTGAAAAGGCAGGCCTTTTTGCTTTGCCCTGGCAATCACCCTTGTCTTCACCAACGCCTTCACCAACGCCTTCATCAACGCCTTCACCAAATAATTTGCCCAGAATATTGACCACCCTTACAAAAACATGTTTTGCTTGCAAGAGTCAAGGAGAGACATTTACAGAAAAGTTAGTTCCTGTAAACTGCAATATTCTTGAGTTAGTTAGTTCGCTCCTTTGTATAAATTATGGTATTCCTGAAAGAAAGGTCAAGTTGCTAATGAAAATTAAGTACCATTGCTTCATTATTCACATTGCATAAAATTGTTTGTTTAAAAATTGGTGGTAATCCAGCAGTGAGAAAACCAAAGGTTTGGCTCTGGGGCTGGATGTGTCTCTATTAACAAATATGATTGGACCATTGATCAGACACAATATCCTTTGGGGACCATCATGCAAAAAGCTGATTAATGGATTAGCCATAATGTCACAAACTGAAGGTTGTAAGTTCAAAATTGTCTTTAATTGAAGAGAATTTGAACAAAACAAATAAAATGGCAAATTAGCTAGGCCACATGGTTTGCTTATCCTTTAACAAGAAAGCACCTTGTGAAACATGCACTGTGTAGTGATATTTGTGTATGTGGTTGCTAATCTTAAGCCGAAAGCCCTCATTTGTCAATATTTGCATTTACATTTACAATATTTGCATATGTGTATGTATATTACAAATACTAAACTGGGGATTCTCGCTAGATTGCTTTAGAAGAACAATTTTTAACCTAATGGAATATTTGAAAAAGACATAAAAGATTTCAACTAACGCGCCAAAAACCTTACAAAAGACCTAGCATCAAAACTCAAAAACTATAGTTATCCTTACAACTTGTTAAAACAAACAAGATTACCTTCAGAATCAAAGTGACCCTCTTCCATCTCTTCCTTCAAATTGAAAGGTGTTATTTTGATGTCGCCATAAGACTTGATAGTTGCATCTTCTTGCCCTGTAAAATAGATCATATCATTGTGAGCCAAAGTTTCTAGCTAAAATAAATACTGTGTGTCTGTTTTGCACAGTAGAAATAGCTTTAACGTAAAATCATGAACAATAAAAAAGGCATTACTATAAGGCAAATTATAAAAGCAGACCTTCAATATCATCTTCAGTCAATATGTCATTTGTCGAAGTTGCACCCTTGTCTCCACCAGTCTCCTCCAATTCTTCGTCGCTTTCAATTGTATTCTCTTCCTTGAAACGACTAGCACTTGGCTCACCAACTTCTTCATTGGAAGCTTCGTTTTCAGCAAATTTGACTTTTCGTTTCGACATCACTTTTCCCAAGAAATCAAAACAAATTAACTTTCAAGAGCAGAACACTGCGAGTTTGTGAAATTATCAATGGCCTAACTTAAATTGAATCGAAGCGCCATTATGAAGACGAGGCACCATCTAGCAACAACAGCAACATTTTATGCAAACAACTGTTTGCGTCCTCGGGGCGAAAAATATTTTCCGCTTGGGTTTGTTATGTGTTGGAATCTTCTTAGCAAAGGAGCACTCGGAACGTATTTTGTTGTTATCAAGTGGAGTATTTTTATTATCAGTATAGTAAACTTTTGTTTGAAATGCGAGATCACTTTTGAAATTGCAAAAATATCCTCTAGCAATTTGAATAATAAATTTCGCTTTCTGTTATGAGAGTTGCGGAATTCAGCGGAAGTTGGCCATAAGAGACACAACTCGAAATAAACTCTACGGAAGATGCATTTTGCAGGCAGTTTGGCTCTATCCATTTACCTGTTTTTTCATGGAATTTGGTGGCTTATAATGTGCACAAACGACCACTTCATGTCGAAAATTCCAGACCGAACGACAAGAAGGAAATCCCACTTCACTTCAAAGACGTGGCACACAGTCCCTATTTCGAAACTTCCGTTGGAACCAATTCTCCGTCTTTTCAGCGCCTTGTTATGTGCAGTCATAGATTTGTCAGTTTCAGGCCAGTGGAAGTTATTTGACGAAAATGGAGACGTGATTGCAAATAACGTCGCTGGGTTTTCACATGCGACGCTGTTTATTTTGTTTGCAGTATTGGCTGTCGCGGAAATAATTGAATCGTTCAGAAAATCCCAACTTCCTGCGACAATTCTGCAATTGATATTGTCAGTTTCATACCTTTCCATTGGCCTAGTCTACTATCAATACTCACAGAGTTCTGATTCACATCCAATTGCCAAGGGTCATGCAAGGTTACTGGCATTAATCGCATGGATTGCATCAGTTTTTGCTGCATGTGAAAGCTGTCATCCAAAGTCATATCCATTGAGTTTTGGAAGAAGATTCTTAACTACCCTTCAAGGGACTTGGCTTTTCCAAATGTCATTTTCCATCTTTGGATCAAAAAAATGGAAAGAGACTCAAGGAACCAAAAGTCTCATTGCATTAACATTTCTCTGGCATATTCTTGTGCTAATTGTACTGTGTCTGATTTGTCATGGAATAATGCTTTGTGCAGTAAACAGATACACACACAAACAAGATGGTATTTATAACAACTACAATTCCCAGCGGAAAGTTGATGAAGACAGTATCCCACTGGGAATAGTTGTAAATGGTAACATGCTCTATGAAGATGGCACCTCAGATACCGAAACTCTTTATCCGTAAAATCGCAAATATCCAAACCAATCCTCATCATAGTTTATTGAGATAATCCAATCTTTAGGGGTTTATTTTTCAAGAATCTTGATTGCAAGGTCATAGCTTTTTAAATTCTAAATCTGTATAATAATTCTATTTAACCAACTTATTTAGATTTAGACCCCGTTTACGCTGTGCAGGATAAGTTTTATCTGCATCAAAATTAGTTCAGATAGGCATCACCGTTACACTAGACCCACGCTATCCGCAAAAATTTGAGAGCGACTATCTGAACAAAATTAGTTCACCTAAGGAAATGGATTAAATTAGTTTTGATAGCTATGTAGTACAGTGTAAATGGTTTTATCCGGATAAATTTTACCCACACCTGTCTTGTTGAAAAATGTTTGGCTATTTAATCCTTTTTAGTTTTGGCTGCCTTGTAGTCTACAAATACTCACTTTAAAAGTGCAGTACCTTTTTGGTTTACATAGAATTGGCATCCTTGTCACTTTTCTCAGCATTCTTCGCTATTTCAGAGATGACTTCATTTTAGGCGTTCTGTGCAACATTTTGGTCACATGACTGCAGTTCTTTGGCACAGTGTAAACAGGAGGGCAAAGTGGACAAAATTTGTGTGGCACAGTGTAAACCCAGATCAATCTGAACAAGTTTTAGGCAGATAAAATCTATCCAGCACAGTGTAAACAGGGTCTTAATTTTCTTCTTTTAGAAAGGGATTTAAAATTTTCTTTTGCTGAAATATTTTTATTTAATGAAACAAGATCACATGTTTGTGGCCCACCTTTCAAATATTTTTCTCCCTCTACCATACATTATAAATCATATTAGAATAGCTTCTTTGATGATGTGGACAGTTTCTAGGATTCAGCAAATTTGTCAAGCTGATTTGGAACCAGATTTCTTGAAAGGTTCATATTTATTATACTCTATGATGAAAAAATGCTGAGCTTTTTTTACTCAACATGAAATAAATTTTCATGCAATTTGATAGAACACTAAAAAGGTTAAAAGGATTGTAGAAACTTTTTGTTATAGTGGTTAAATAACATTTTAACAGATTGGATACAAGTCTCCACTCTGGTTTAAACATAGGAAATTCAATAAAATATTTGTTGCTTTCATACAAGTATTTGAAATTTGACTTAAAATATTTAACAATTTTGACATAATGATTTTGTCTGGGAGACCATTTCAAAAGCCTGTTACTCTCAAGCTGAAAAACTATTTTCTAATTGCAGTATTGAATCTTTGCTTCTTCAACTTCCGACTGTTTCTTCTCATATGTGATGCTTTTTCTAATGGTGGTAGGGTAATGAGGTCACCTCTCAATCTCTTGTACACTAAACTTGGAAGCTTGAGTGCCACAAGTCTATCTGCATATTTCATCTCCTATATATATGCCTGGCACTTACTTTGTACCTCTCCTCTGAACTCCCATGAACTATTGTAAATCTATGTTATAACAGGATGCCCATATACATTACTCCAGATTTGGCCTGACTATACTCGTGTACAACTGGATCAGCATGTCCCCAAGAAGATGCTCAAAAGACCTGTGAATCGTTTCAAGTTTACTATGATAACTGACAAAATATTTTTTCTCAATGTTTTCGTTATGTCCACAGTGTCACAATGTGATCAATTTCAGCTAACACCTTTTCCTTCAGAAGTGAAGGCATTAGAGAGTTCGCAGAATTGATTTTAAAATACTTACTGACATGCTATTTTTAGCCTGTGCCCCAGTCCACAAATGCTGCCACATTTATGCAGGCTAGCTATTTTTATGCTTTGTTGCTTTGTTGACAAAAAAAATTAACTGTAAGTGACACAAAACCTAAGGTTCAGCCTAAATGAATTACTTCAAAACCATTAAATATTTCGAATTTATTTCTCAATTTTTTTGCTAATAAGCTGGCTTTCATAATGTTTATTTTAAATGCAATTATTTGATTTGATTTTAATGCCTATTGTTATTTATAATCTTTATATTTCATTTCATGTTGCATTGGAAACATGTTTTACAATTGTAAATTGACTTTTTTGAATGAAACAATTACAAAAGACCTTATGTTTCTGTTTCCTTCATTTAGAAGCTCTATGTCTTCATTCCACATGGGCGGTCGCCCTCTCCATCGCCCTCGCCAAATTATCGATGTGTGCTATTGACTGCCCTCAGAAAAACATGAATCGCCCGCAAGAGAAATGTTGAGCACTTATGGAAAAGTTAAGAACAAATGTCGCTATTGTTGTTGTCACTATCATCCAATTCCCGTCTTCTCGCAGCATCGTCAAGGATTTCTCTCGAGACCTTTTAGCTGAACATTTTTTGAAACGCAAGTGTTTTCAAAGTGGGGTAGAACTCCGCCATTCCCGTCATTTTTAGCCAAAATTCTGCACCTTAAAATTGTTGATAGGGCCTTTATTCAAAGATGTTTTTACAAGACAACAAGTGAAAAATTCAACAAATCCTTAAAACCTTAAAAAAATTCCGTATTCCGTGCATCATTATCGAGACAATGGGCACCCAGAAAATGTGTAGAATTCCATCGTTTCATCCAGAAATTGCCAGATTTCCATAATCCGCGACAAAATTTCATCAAAGACCATTCTTTGTAAACCTCAATCACCCCCACATCGAACCACGGTTACTCATTAGCAGGAACAGCAAATTATGATAATAAGAGACAATAATAGCTGGACAGTAATGAAAGGAACTGCTATAATAAAAAGAGCTGTTTATATTTATTTGGAGGAAAAAGCATGACTCTAATAAAGGAGCCTGCAAGTAGGAGACAAGTAAGAATCTGAAACATCTAGATAACACAACCAGGGAGGATTAGGGAGAGAATCTTTCAACCGAGTTGGAACCTAATATGTGATTCATACACTGAAGAAGAACTTTAAAAAGTTGAACTTCTAGATGGTGGTTTTGATTGCTTTCAAGTACTTTATGTTTTTGCTTAGCTGGTCAAACTTAATGTATTTTCTTTTCGCCTGTCCCTAAAAGTTATGGTATTTCTGAATGGAGATCAAGTTGTTAATGAAAACAAAACATCATATTTCCTCATTGTTGACATTATAAATCATTACATTCAATATTCTGGCTACAAACTGGCAGTAATGGTGCATTTAGACAATCAAAGGTTAGGTAGTCGTGGTTAGGTAATATCCCAATTTCCCCTCAAGTCCTGAAGGACTTCTTTTAACAAAAATAGTGTTGGACAGGCGATTGCCCTCGTAAGCTGATATACCAAGCAGTTTGTCGCCCTTGCGAAAATTTCTTCACGAAAAGGATGCAACATACCCCTATTTGTTTTCAGACAAAGCTTTTTTGAATCTCTCTCTTAACTGATGCTGGCCAAATTTTTATCTGTAAGGTACGCTAAACTTTGAGCTAACCATCAAAGGCCCCAAGAAAGCTTAGACAAGGCTGGCCTTATTTCAATTGATGATGTTGAGAATCCATCACTATCATTTTCAAATGTAATTTTTGATAGCAAAAGCAAGCTGAAGTAAGACACTAGAAGTTACATTTCTATGCCCTAAACAAAATTGTTGTTCTCAGTTCAAAAAGACATAGGACATTTTTTAATTCTACAAGAAACTTGGTGGTGCCAAGGCAGGGAAAAATGCCCCTTGCCTCTCTAGGTCAGCCAGAGGTACGCAATGTGTACATCTTGTAAGGCATTTCCTTTTGCAGCTTTAGCAACAATGTATTTAGTCAAATTTGATAAGATGCAAACATATTTGTGGTGTGATCATAAAGGACTGATAGAAAATATGAAAACCAGAGTGAAAATTTGTTCCTTTTAAGTGCCACACTCTACTGGCCAGCCTGTAGTATTGTGCATGTAGAGTCGTGACAGCCTAGCTGTTCTGTACATAAACCTTCTTTAAGGAATTATATGCATTGCAAATATAATTTGTACTTTACGATTGGAATGCAATTTAATATTTGTGTGGTCAAAATGCAAATGTGCAAATTGGAAATTTGTGTGCCTGGGAAAAATAAGCAAAGTTCCCAGTCTGGGAAGTAAGCTGGAGAAATAAGCTTTTAAGAAGATTGCCTCAATAAAGCACTTAAATATTAGCAAGCATGCTTTAGTCATAAGCACAATATATACACACAGTTAATGTCAGGTTGTGGTGATAGCATGAGAAGGAAGTTAGTTTGGATTGAAAGAAATTTAATGGCATAATTATGAGTTGTAGTTCTTTTTCCTCAAATTATGATCAGGTCTGAGTACATAAAGAAAATAGTCGACATCCTTAATCCCATTTGCTCCTTTCCACGACTTTTCCCGTTTCAACGGAAAATCTCACTTTTCGTCCGTCATCTTTCATGTTCATGTTGAACAAATACAGGGCACAGCCACCAAAACACAACAGTCCAAAGCCCATAATAAATTTGTTTGGTTTGATAAACAGTTCTGGATTTATAATTCGAAACGCAAGCGTTGATCTTATCCGCGGAGGCTTTTTAGAATCCATGTTTCAAGTTTTTCATCCACAAACTTTATCACCTTTCAGCATTCAGGTATTACCTCTTCAAAAACGAGTCGTCCATCTTGAATTGGTGTTAGAGTTTAATATTCTTGGTTGAATTGAATTGAAGTCCTTTCCGCGATAATTGGGGGGGGGGATTGGTGTTTCTAACACGTAATATTTTTGGATTTGAACCACCTAGAGCAATCTGAATATAATTTTAACAAAATGGAAACGTGAGTAGTACCAGATTTTGTGATGCCGAAGGGTTATTCGGATCCAGTAAAAGACCTAAAAACGCTGAAGAATGTCGTGCGAAAAGCTCCAGTATTTTTTATTTTCGAAACTTCGGAAAGAAACTTTTAATTTTTGTACCTCCAAAATGTTATGGCGTAGCAGGGTCACCGGCACACATTTTGGGGTGGTGAAAGGGCTCTAGACCGATTAGGTTTCATCATTATCCTTGTTGCCACGACATTAATATCATACTTCACTTCAGCAAAAATGAGGGCTACTTTTGATTTTGTTCTTCGTTTACATGTAGTCTTTCACCTGAGCCAACTTAGAACCGTCCTATACTCGATAAGTACAAACAACTTCGAAGGGATTTATTTTTGGTGAAGCGGGGCAACCGAAAATTAATCCCACCGAAATTCTTTGAAACCGAAATTTTTTCTTACTGAAATTTTCAAACGCTAGGAAAATCTTGTTTTCCATCGATGGACTTTGAAAATAACAAAAACAATTTTCCTTGATATTGTTTTGGTATTACTATACATCCAAAACATATCAAATTTTTGTTTCTGGTTCTTTTTTGCCATCAAGAAATGAGATTGACGCCTCAATTTTTAATCACAATCGATCAGAATTTTTAATCCCCTCGTTACTATCGGCGATTGAAAAGAAAATTATATAAAAAGCCATTCTTGGGTTGGCATCAAAATATTCGATTTTTGTAACTTCCATGATTGCGATCCAGATAATTTTATGTTGAACATGAAAATAACTTGCGGAAAGTATTTCATTTCTTTACTCACCGAAATATTTGCTTTCCGCAGAAAATTTTCAAGTTTTCACCGAAATTGGCACCAAATTTGTTTGTACTTGATGCATACACTTAAAGCTTGTACAGCTTTGGCTATACTGCAGTGGAAATCTTCACGCAGAACTTAAGGCATCATTGGGTTCTCAAATATCTTAAGGCTTGTTGGTCGGTAACTACACTCACTGGTTCAGGGGCAGATTCAGACCAAATTCGAAAGAGGGGCAGTTAGTAGAGTAGGCGCTGAAAAATTTTCTGAAATTGGTAATGAGAGTACGCTTTATACAACAATTTCAGACCCTAACTACTGACAGAAGGCTTTCTATTCACGTTCTAAAGGAAATTTTCACAATTATTGTGCCAAACCATTTCCAAAAAGACTTGCTTCAACTCGGTGAGGAAGGGGCGACTCCCCCTAGTTGCCTCCCTTTAAATCCGCCACTGCACTGGTTGTCCTTAATTATACAGTATCGAGTTTTCAGAAGGCTGGCCATAAGTCAATTTTCGAAAAAAATCGATCGATTGACAGATGAGGTGGTAGGGGGAGAATTAAAATGATATAAAGATATAAAAAATATTTTAATCGAAGGTCAGGCATTGAGCAGGGCCATCTATCTAGCTGACTATCATATGTCCCTCTTGTTAAGAAACATTGATATCTATTGATAATACACATTGCAATGAAACATGCTCATCATCATCATCATCATCAAAATTACATTTAACGACCCATTGCGGGTCGATACAAATGTGATACAAAACGCTCAGACTTTGTAGCCGGTGTAAAGCAGTTTACTTCAAAAGTAAAAAAGATATGTCAACAATATACCTTTGAATCAAGGAAAGACAGAACATTATCACCTCAATTTACCAGCTTATAAGCAGTGGCGTAGCGTCTATGTATGCTACGCTTGCGGCGCAAGCGTAAAAATTTATAGACAAATTCTAAAATTCTTGCAATACTTTCAATGCATAACAATTTCCGCAATAAACGGCTTCTCTTTCTTGTCATGAGCAGCATGCGGTGAACTCTAGCGCCAACAGGCCAATTGGCCCCAATTGGCTATTTTTCCAAGTAAACAGATCGCTAAAAATTATGAAATTCGAAAAATCTGAAAAACTGAAGCCCCTCCACATCACTCTTTTTGCCTGTCTAAAGTAAGAGAAACATGTGATGCTCCAGTACAGCTTCAGTGCAACTCGAGAAAAGCTTCTGAGAGAAGTGAGAATTTTCCGGACTGGAGCTTGCGGTCGGCCTGAGCGCAAGCCTTCCCAAATATTTGATAATCCACAACATTTTTCTACCTATAAGCTGCTTTTTGCGAATATTCTTTGCGAGATACATCATTTAAAATCCAATTATTTCCCTTTCTTTACTTTGTGACTGTTGAAAAGAGAAAAGGTTTCGTCAAAGTGGGGTCAGAGTCTATTTGTCATGATCCACATTCCGTAATTCAAGTCAAAAGGCTTGCCAGTATAGTCAGAATTTACGGACCAGGGCATGCGGTACACCTGAGCGCAAGCCTTGCTCAATACATGATGATTTGCCGGGACTAACTTTCTGAAACTTTACACATGGAAGCATCTTCAATTCTAACAACTCTCACAGCTCACTATTTTCATCTTCGTTGACTATGAGAGTGAAAAATGAGCAGAAACTGTTGCTCCTGTTCGCTTAGGCTCTGCAGTGTGTTAACAATTTCGCAATGTGGAGAGCTCCTCCCCGCGGGAATCCCCAGCTTCATCAAAATATTCTTACATTAGGTGGGCATTAGGTGATGCCTTTTCTTGAGGAATATGAATAAGAATAAAATCTTCTGCGAAGCAGTTTTAGTACTAGGAGTAATTCTGAAAATTCTTGCTAAAACAATTGAGCTTTTTTCAAAAACTTTCGCATGGGTGATAATTTTTCCCTTGGCCCCCCTTCACTTTCCAACCTCTGTCGGAGCCTCTGATGCAAAGAATAGACACCTTGATTGATAAGAATTAGGGTACAAATGATTTGTTACTTTCAAAATCAAAATTTATTATCACGATTATCATTAATTACCGTTTGTATTTTTAAGAAGCTGAAAATACAATTACATTCATTCAACATAGCCGTATATTTTATGTTACCGCATGCCTAAGTTCTGCGCTCACGCTACGCCACTGCTTATAAGATACATGTCAACTTTGCAAAGCCTTTGTAATTTTTCGATTTATTTGCTTACAATTTATGATAACGTTAGTCTATCATACATTCTCAATATCAAATAGAAATTTCTACTTTAGAAATACGATTTAAAGCTTAGCTACCAAAGACACTTTTTAATAACAAAAGAAGAGAGTTGGAGCTCTTTTAATTTCCATCGCAACACAAACTCGCAACAGTGTGACCAGATCTAGCCTAATATTATGCTTTTAGCATAATATTGGTCAAAAATCTTCATTAAGCCTAAAATCTAGCATAATTTGGAATCTAGCATAACTCTGGCATAATTTTGATACTTTTATAAAAAATCATTGTTTCCATTGATCCGTTGTCTATCGTTACTGAAAACACTTTACACCAGCATCTGTGGTTACCATTTGGGAGTCAATTGTGGCTTTCCACTTTCAGGGTTTTGCCAGCTTTTTGGAATGGTTGGCGGCCAAATGTTTTATGGTTGGCAGCCAAATTCAGCCAACTAAACGAAATATACAAAAAGCTACATTTTTACTAATTGTGGGAAGTGATGGTGTAATCAGAGTTTGCTTTGTAGGCTCCACTTGAGTTTATCATAAATTATCTTTTAACTATTACTTTATTTCATGTTTCGTCATTTGCAGTTTTGAAATTATTTCAAATGCAGCCGACTATTGCTTCTTCGGCCAAATCAATTCATGACGGCAGGGGTTTTGAAAAACGGCCAAAATGGAGAATTTATATGCACGAAGACTGAGTACACTGTGTTTTGGATGAATGATCAGAAAGGCCAAATGGCAACACTGGCCACTTTTGCTATTCTGAGCAAACACTAGCCTATTTTTCAAACGGGACCGCCTTGATTTGAAATTTAGCATAATGTTTGCAAGTCTAGTATAATTTTATGCCAAATTTGGCATAATTCCAAAATTGAGATCTGGTCACACTGACTCACAACGTATTAAATGTGTGACGAATTCACATTTTTTAAACAGGCTCTATTTATTAAATTATAATTTCACATAAGTTTCCACCCATATTTGCATTGCTATACTTGTAACATTACATTTCTCCTATACAACGGCGCTATACAAACTTCATTAAGAATTACTATGTTTTTCGTTTTCGGTGTTCAGGCAGCAAATCGCTCGTTCAATTTCACCCGTTTTGTTTTTGCTTAGGTTATGAAAAGTTGAATTCACTTTTTTCCTTTTTCAGAAAGTGCATTTTGAACGAACAAAATACAATAACGGATGTATACCTTTATCAACTTTCGAAAGAAAATGGCTTGTGTGAAAAGGGCCTAAAAATAATATAGCCCTTAGGATCTCATGTCCCATATATACTACTCGCATTCGTATTATAGTCAGTGGAAGCTGCAAACATTCACAAAATTATTGGTTCCGAGTTACTGCCTGTATGTTCAAAGAAAGAGCTATGGTATAGGAAGACAAAGGAACTTTTTATAACTTTGTTCACAAATAGTTAGAATTTTACCCTTTCGAAAACGAGTGGTGTGCTCAGCGTGGCCCCTACACCTCCTACAATCATACCTCGGAATGTCTTCATCATGCCCACAGGCCTTTTGTCATTGACATGTAATAAGACTTGACTTTCTACGTCAGGTGGTATAGCAAATGTCAAGAGGCCTCGATCTCAGAGTTCTGACGTCATAATGTACAGCAGATGTCCACATTGTTAACAGTAAAACCAGCACCTTCCCCTTCAACTTCGACCAAATTAGGCTTCCGATCGCACATTGGACAACATTTGTTTCTGACCGAAGATGATCTCATCCAGATAACCAAATTGTACCTCTCGCCATCTTCGATTTCCATTGCTCCGTGCATTTGCTGGCCGCGATGTAACAACCCACGTGTCTTTCGGTGCTCATATTTATAGCAATGGCTTGACCAGTCTAATTCCTGTTAAGTAATAAGCAGAATTATTATATCATCTTTTGATCTGCAAATACTCTATTACCTTAATACAACTATCCCTTTTAACAAAATATTATATCTTCCAATGAGTGTAGAGCTGGGCTCTGGACTGTCTTCTTGTTAATGCCGAAAATTAACCCTTTTCTACTCTATCCTTTTCCCCCCCTATTCCCTCAAATTCTATTAAAACATTCATCGTATTGAGTTTTCTATTCAATCAAAAATCAATCATAATATTTTTATCGATCTCTGTAATATTTTTAATAATTCAGCTGGTGTTTTAAGTTCAACAATTTATAAAATACTTCTAGATTATGTTATATTTCAGATTATATAACATTTTGCAAGTTTAGATAATTCATAACAGGCTTCCAGTTTAGGTGCCTGATGATCGCATTAAGCGTGAAACCCGAAGTTACAACCTAGAAGCAGTTTGTTCAACACACCATTTTCAGGCAATACTGGAAAAGTTTATAAAGTATATCTTTATGATATCATTATTTTACTAACACATTACGCAAATTTAAAGATAAATGCTTTTTTGCAAAGCAAACTTTGACATCAACAAAAAACACTCACATCTTTCATCCCTGAAATATACAGCTCACCGCCATTGAACTCTTTTCCCAGTGAAACATTCAACGTAATCTCTGCATCATCATAATGATAACTTAAGTCGACATCTTTCCCTAGTTGATAGCCAACAATAAACGGACGATGAGAGTCAAGTCCATCTCCAACCCAGTCTGGATAAAGTATCTTTGCAATCGGGCTTAAGAAATTGAACACCAACGGGTCGAAGAAATATTCTTTGAAGCCGATTTCTAATAGAAGAATCTGTTGGTCCAAAAGAATAAACTTCTATTGCTTCAAAATATTCCATACAAAACTTTTTTCAATATGACCAAGAGATTGAAGTTAGGGATTTGCAGTTTAATATTCCTTGTATTACTTTGCTTATTGAAGGAAGATATTGAGAAAAAAGAAAAGATGTGATAAATAATGTAAAAAATCAATTTGTCAATTTATTCAGAATTTGATTAAAAAATCTGTTTCTAATTTAAAGGGAATTTTAGCTTTTTACCCTATATATCATTTCTAGAATGAAGACCCTCTTAATAGGATTTGGGGGTTTTCCGCCACTCAAATGCCAAGAGAAAATTCCAAAATCTTTATAAACAATTTTAAGAAAAGACGGGGCATGACCCCCCATCCCCCTTCATCTGAAGCCATGCTCAAGAAAAAATTACATTCGTATAAGGAAAAACAATGACAGCATCAAAGAAAAGAAATATTTAAGTTCCCCATACCCCATAGTTATTCATGGTGTTTGGTTTACCAATTGGTAATCCACTCTGAATAAAGTTTTCCATCTCTTCCAAAAACTGATCACAAAAGCTATCTGTGAAAACCTTAAAGCTGTACGTTAGTGGAGCTGAAAAAGAGGAAAAAGTACAGAATTGAAATCGAGACAAAACATTTTCAAAACATTGAAAATTAATCATGCAAAAAATTAAGTCTTAGCTCGATTACCTTATACAAAAAACATTATCAATTAAGAAGCTTTGCACTGGCTAAGTACAGCCAATTTTGCAATACAATTAAAATGTTTTGCAGTTAGAAATGAATAGTTTTATGCAGACTCACTGTAAAAATAACTTGCTGTGATTGTTACATTAGATGGCAAAGGGGTGATTTATAGACAATTATTCTTTACACAGGCAACATAAAACAAATGTTTAGTTACTCGTCAGGTACCTTTTTCTTTTACAAGTTTGCTTAACAAGGCTTCCTTAGTTGCAAATCTGTCTTTTGACAGAGTAATCATCTGTAGAAAATCATCGGCCAAATATTCATCCTAAGAAATAGTATTCATGATAAAAAAAGAAACAAGAAAGTTTTTTCTCGTGTAATTTAGCAGACTCTTAACATGAAAATAAACAGAATTTAGAGTAAAGATGCTAAAGCTTTTTGTCAGACACTCTTCAGATCATAAAATGTCAAAATATTGACAAATTAGATACCCAGTTGTGGATCAAAGTGGGCCAGTTAGAAACACACCCACATGAAAATAAAGATTGCCAATTCAGTGACACTGCCTATTGGAAATATTACCAATGGAATCTAAGAGTGAAGAAAAACTCTTTCAAAGCCCAGTTATCGTTTCATCAAAATAAAATATGAAACCTGTTTTTGTTTAGACAGACAGGATTTTTGCAAATATTTGCATTTGATGTAAGTAGAATTGATCAGTAATAAATTACTTGCTTGAATTTGAGAATATATTAATACATTACCTTCAACCTCAATAAATGTGGGTGCAGGTGTTTATAACTTTCTGAAATAATCTTTTTCCTTTTTACCGAATCAGGGCCTGATGCTTTTCTTCTGTCGATTTCTTCATAGACCTATAAAACAGATCAGTGAGAGTAGTGGGAAAACTAAACAGGATTAATCTGAAATGCAAATGCTACTTATGTTGCATTTGATTGCAATATATTTTGCTGTTTTGTAACAAGAAAACGTTTTTGACACAATTTTAAATTTGATTTATAAAGAGAAAATTTCTCCTTTCAAAAGTATATATATATATACTTGAAATATAGATTTAATCGCAGAAATAACACTTTGTTGGTACCGGTTTCATCTGATCGTGCAGAATCTTCAGCCAATTCTCTGATCAGCCAATTGGCTGAAGATTCTGCACGATCAGATGAAACCGGTACCAACAAAGTGTTATTTCTGCGATTAAATCTATATTGCAAGTATCTATCAACTGCTTTTTGCGGAATATCAACATAAATCTGTATATATATATCTATATATATGTCTGCAGATCTCATTGGATTTGATTAAATGCATTATATAAGTAAAGATGATGATTAGATTCAGAAAAGGAATATTTACTTGAAGAGTTTTTTATTTTCAAAAGAGAAATAAGATGAGTGAAATGAGTGAAGCCCAACAGCAGCATTTAGATGCATATTTAGCAGGTGTTTTCAAGAATATATGTATGCATACATATTTTTTACATACCCCAGAAATAATTTCAGCATATTGGTTTTCACTGATACCTCTTCGTGAAAATTCCTGTGCAAAATGTTAAAATAAATTCCAAAATTAAAGGAAATTGAAAAATTTAGTTGAAGATTGCTTTTTGCAAAATGGTGAAAAAAGTTGGCATTTTTCATTAAAATTTATTAAAAGGCAGAAAGTTGGATTCAAACAATTGAAAAATGGAAACAGATTGTCATTTGCAAAGCTTAAATCAAATTTTAAGAAAAGAACAAAAAAATGGAAGCAGAATAGCCAGGTTTTAAAACAAGCTAATAAAAAATTAATTCAGGGTGGCCTTTCTCTATATGAAAGTTCAACCATGTAAAATTTGATTATGTATGATCCTGACTGGAAGTTTGTTGTGTACATGGCTGTAAGCATTATCCCAAGTGTTTTAATGTAATTTTTTCATGGTTTTCATGCAATTATAATCATTTTCATTTGTAAAGGTAGCATTAAACTAGAAGTGCAGGGGCAACTGGCCTGTAGTTTCAGTTGCTTTCAATCCAAATCTATATGGTTGTGGCTTGGATCGAGCTCTCGACATCAGCAAGACTTCACAACAAACTAGCTCGGTTTTACTGCATTTTCATATAAACCGATTTAAATACTAAAGAAGAAAGCGTCCACTTGACGCATACAAAGAATTAAAACCATTCACATTTGGTGACTAAAGTCATGCCTAAAAGTCAGAGTATTCCCTTACTTTTTCTCATTTCCAATGTAATGAAAATATAAAACTTTTTTCGTTGATCTTGCGCTATGGCAATGATCTAAAGAGCATAGGGCGGAGCTTGATATCTTTTGAGTTTTCAATTCTTATAAACATCTTAATCGCAATAGGTTTTGTATATTTGTGTAGTGTGGATGTGGTATTGAAGAATTTTAGTTTGTATGTGAAAACTCTCCTTCCCCCGTGTCCATAAGAGCAACACCAAAGTTTTTCAGCATTTAAAGTTAATGAAATACCTCTTTGTAATCCCTTTTAAACTGTTCTTCATCTTTAAATACAACATGGAGTTTTAATTTCTTCAAAAAGATGTTTCTTTCAAACGCACAACTGCAAACATAACTTCCCCTCAAACCTGCCATATTGTTATGTTATTGTTGTTGTGGCTGTTTGTTTACAAACATAATCTCACTTCCATCCAGCCTCATATGCGCAACCAACTGTTTATTCTGAAAGGATAAATTCCTTGGAAACGATTTAACGTAATCTTACAACAACATGGCTCATTTACTTGGAAGTAAAAGCTGTTTGGAAAGCTTGGCACGAGACATCGAAGATATACAGGTCACAATTAAGGATGGTGTTGAGAAAGTTGGACCCTTGCATGTATATTCATGGAAGTTTCCTGACAAACTTTCGGGTGAACTGGATGTCAAAGAGCTCCTGTCTACTTACACTCACTCAAGCGACGATGACTTCAACAGGCTTGCACATATTGTCCTCTTTGAACTTGTTATTGACAGGCAAGTTTGCTTTCTAAGTTGCTTTACATTATTACCAAGCATGACTGTCTTTATGCTAAATTCTTCAACAGAGTTTTCTGGAATTATTACATTGACAAGACCTGTTTTCAAGTTTCATCGTAGTCTTACCAATGAATATAATGAATTTATAATGTTATTGATAATCATCTATATTTGGCTGTAAAGCTATCAATTTTTGTATGTAATTATAGAGCATCAGTAACTAGGATAGGGCAGCTAATTTAACTGAGATGATATGAGATTCTATTCTGTAGTTAAAAAGGGGATCTGTTAGCTAATTTTTAAGTTTATGTAGAACCGTCAGACCAACTATGTGCATAGAAAAGATCTTTTCTAGTGAAAGTTAAGGCAAAGTTTTCTGTTTTATCTGCTGGCTACCCTGTGACTATCCAATTTTCCAGGGTGAAATTCTACTGAAAAACACTGCCTAATTGTCTTAAATGAGCCATCATGAGCATTTGCCTTGCATTTGTAGATTCCCTTTCCTTTACTAATCATTCAAAGTTTATGACAGTTAAAGCTGTTGTTTGATTTGCATGAAACAAAAATAAACATCAATCCTAGCTTTTTAAAAACAATATGTGGGGAAATATTTGGGAAGTGTCTCTGAGACTCTTTTGCCCTGAAGCTGATTGTGTCAACAGTACTGTAGCCTGATGTCCTGAACAACTGGTAACCATTTCTTTTATTGTTAATTACAAGTGGTAACCATCTGTTTTATTGGTATTTACAAGTGGTAACCATATGTTTTATTATATCTCTGATATTTTGGCTGATTACAGTATAACTTAGAGTTATTATCAGTAGCAGCGCCACAGGGGGGAGGATGGGGGGGACACAACCCCCCCAATTCTCAGCAGAATTGATTTTGTATTTCGTCTGAATTCGATGAGAAGATGTTGGGGGAGGGGTAATATTTTGATATCATACTTTTTGTGATGTAATTTCCTATGATTTTCAAACTGCCAATTTTCAAACAAAAGATAGTCAAAGGCGCTCCCTTCGAAAAAAATTGGTGTTCCCTGTTGGTAAAAGAGAATTTTCTGGAGGTTAAAAGGGCATGGCTTAAATTTTTTAATCTTCCCCCCCCCCCCAGAGCTTAGTGGCTGGTGCCGCCATTGGTTATTATGTAAATATTAACTTACAGATAGATATATATTACTATGACTTATATTACTATGAAACAATGCCTAGTTTATATCTTCCTTATGAAGAAACTTTAGCTTCTTCTTTTAGGTTCATGTTTTTGATGCAAATAGCAAGCCAGTTTTTAGATAAAATATGTTCTGCTGTCGAAAAAGCACCGGAATCTGCCAATAGGAGCAGAAGCAGAATGTCAGGTACCTCAATGTCGATGGGGCTTACTGTTAAGAAATTCTGGAATAAAGCCACTCACCTAAGCCACAAGATATTCCAAATGCAACAACAGGTATTATATTTTGCACCAGAGATATGTATCTTACCTATCATCTGGATCGTGCCAGAATCTTCAACCAATCTCTCTGGACAACCCATTTTGACCTGAAGATTTCGCACACACACTTCAGCCATGAAACCATAAACCGATTCCATTACCAACAACAGTTGATCTCAATATTAATCATATCTGCAAGTACATCAATCTTTTCCTGGGACAAATCCAACAAAATCTAATATATATATCCTCTATATGTCTGCACGATCTCAGTTGATTATAAATGCGATATATTAATCAATATCCCGAATTATTCAAAAAAGATATTTACTGACAGAGTTTTTTATTCTTCAAAACGAGAAAATAAAGATCAACGTAAAGATCTGTGCAAGTCCACACAAGCAGCACTTTAGATGACACCTATTTACATCGTTTCAAAATATGTATGCAGTACAATTTTACATACCCCAGAAATACATCAGCCATAATTGTTTTCACTGATACCCCTCAGTAATACCTGCAAAATTTAAACAATAAATCCAAAATAAAGAAATTGAAAAAATTTACTTAATCTTTTCCAATGGGGAAAAAACTCTGCCGATTTTCATTTAAAATTATAAGTAAGCAGAAAGTGGAGGTCGTCAAACAATAAAATGCCAAAAATCAAAATTGTCATTTGCAAAGACCTAAATCAAATTTTAAGAAATAAAAACAAAAAAATGCCAAGCAGAATACATTTAAAACAAGCAAATAAAAATAATTCAGGTGGCCTTCTCTTATATGAAAGTCACACCATGTAAATTACTATGTCTATCATTCCTGACTGAAGTGGGGTACGATGGCGATAACATTATCCCAATGTTTAATGATAATTTTTCCATGTTTCATCAATCCTGATAAGTTCATTTCATTTCTTAATACATGCATATAAACTAAAGTGCACGCAAACTCCTGTAGTGTTCATCTTCAATCCAACTATATGTTTGGCTTGATCTAGTCTCTCACGATCAGCAGAACTTCACAAAAACCTAGTTCGTTTACGCATTCATATAACACCGATTTTAAATACTAAGAAAACCTGCCACTGATCGCATAACAAAGCCAATTAAAACCACTTCACATTTGTACTCAAATAGCCATAATAATTCAGAGTATTACCCTTACTTTTTCCAATTTCCAAATGTAAGAAAATATATAAAACTTCTTTCGTTATACTTGCCTATGGCATATCTCTTACCTCAAGAGATACGAGCGTAATCTTTTGTAGCTTTTCAAGTACAAAATTCCTCTAATCCGCAATATTGGTATATTGTGTGATATGCTAATAAAAATATAGTATTGATGGTGAAAACTCTCCTCCCCCGTGTCAATAAGAGCAACACGCAAATTTTTTCAACAACTAAAATTAACTGAATACCTCGTATAATCCTTTTAAACGATCTATTCATCCTTAAAACAACACTGGGAGTCATATAACTATCTAATCCAAAAAATTTCTTCACCCGACGCAAAACACTGCAACATAACTCCCTCAAAAACCTGCCAATACTTGTATTATCATGTGTTTTGTTGGCTTATGTTTACCAAAACATAATCTCACTTTCCATCCAGCCTCATGCCGCAACCAATGCATATCTGGAAAGGAAAGCATTCCATGGCGTAAACGAATTAAACAACTCTCAATACCGAACAGACCACTGGCTCATACTTGCAAGTTAAACAGCGGTTTGAAAAGCTGCACCAAAATCAAATCTATCTCACATCACAATAAGGAGTTGAGGAAATTACCTTCATCTCATCATTCATGGTCTTTGAAGTTCCTGACAATACTTACTCGGTGGAACTGGCCACCTACAAAACGCTCCAACGTCTACCCTACAGCTCACTCAACGACCATGACTCAACAGCTGACATATTGTCCTCTTAAACCATTGTTATGACAGCAAGTTTGCTTTCCACATTGCTACATTACCAAGCTCCTATGACCTCTATTTTAGATCTGCTAAACCTTCAATCAACAGAGCCTTTACATACCGAATCTATTACATTCTACCTGAAGACCCTGTTTCAAGTTCATGCACTTAGTCTTACAAGAATAAATGAACTTCTACTAAATAGTGAAATCATCATATTTGGCCTGTAAACTATCAATTAAATATTTAGAACAATCAGCGTGAAACTTAGGACACCATACGAGTAGCAGCCTACATTTTAACCCCTGACATATATGACCATTCCTATTCTGCAGTAGTTAAAAAGGAGGATCTCGTTAGTCTAATTCTACATAATTCTATGTACCAACCGTCAGAACCAACAGTGGCATAACAAAGACCTTGTTCTTAGTGAAAGGTTAAGCAAAAAGTTCTGTTCTTATCTGCTGCTACCCTTGACTATCCCACATTCCAGGGTGAAAGTCTACCTTGACATAAACACTGCTAATTGCTCTCAAATGACCCAGAGCGATTTGCCTTGCAGTTTTAGAGTTCCCTTTCCTTACTAATCATCAAAGTTATGACAGTTAAAGCCTTGTTTGTGGCATGAAACAAAAATAAACATCACCATCACCTAGCTTTTAAAAAATCAATAATTGGTGAATATTTGGGAAGTGTCTCTGAGACTCTTTTTGACTGAAGCTGATTGGTGCAAACCAGTTACTTAGCCTGTATGTCCTAACAACAACTGTAACCATTTCTCTTATTTTTCAATCAATTCGATTGGTTATACAGGGCCATATTTTTTTTATTATATCATTTATGTAGTATACGTTCGTGTTATATATGTAAATTATTCAGTATAGACTAATATTATCAAGTCATGCGCACATGGAGTGATGGCGGGGACACAAGACCCCCAATCTCACAGAGAATGGAATTCGAATTCACCGTGTAATTCGTATGAGAAAGAATGTGGGGACGGTTAATTTTTGAAAATATCATACTTAGTTTGTATTTATTTCCGTATGATTTTCAAACTGAGCCAATTTCTCAAACAAAAGAATAGCTCTGATAAGGCGCTCCCTTTCAAAAAATTGGTTCCCCTGTGTGGTTAAATAGTAAGGAATTTTCTGGAGGTTAAAGCAAATGGCTTAAATTTTTAAATCTTCCCCCCCCCCCAAAGCTAGTGCTGTCCGCCATCGTAGTTATTTATGCTAAATATATAATTTACAATAAGTATATATTACTCAGATTAATATTCTATGAAAACAATGCCATAGTTAATATATCTTCCTTATGAGAACTTGACTCGTCCTCTTTAGTGTGATGATTATTGATGCAAATACAAGCCAGTTTTTAGATAAAATATTTCTGCACTGTCTGAAAAAAGCACCGGAATCTGCCAATAGAGACAGAAGAGAGATGTCAGGATAGCCTCAATGTCGATGAGGCTTACTGTTAAGAATATTCTGCGAATAAACCACTCACTAAGACCAAACGATATTCCAAATGCAACAACATATATATTTGCACCAGAATATGTATCTATTTATGGCATTTTTCGATTACCTCTTAAGCAGAACATAAACATCATTTTTGATGCTTTCTTTCCTTTCCTTAATTTTAATTCCATATCTTCCAGTCTTAACACAAATCACATCTAGGGTATAGACCTAACACTAGGAAACATTTCAAGCAGATGAGGCACACTCTATAGTGAAAATTCTGAAGGCACTGTAGGTAGCGCACGGTAGATACTTTATCTCTTTTTTTAAAAAAGAGAGCATTCCTCTCATACCTGTCATCTATTAAGCGCGTCTGAGGCACGATACCGCTCACCCCCTTCTCAAACAGACAGTTAGCCTATGATACACTCCATATATTATCGTCTCCGATCCAAAATTTCTGCCATGTCCTTTGCTTTTTAAAAACAACACTATACTCACTCACATCCCCGGAACAAATAGACTCTGCATTGCATAGAATTGAGAATAATACATCTGAATCGAGCATTGTTCTCACTAAATATAGAAAGAACAAGAAGGACGTCTATTATGGCAGGTTCATATGCTCCCTACTTTTTAGAAAAAAGGATAACACAGCTATCTCACCATGCAGCATAGACAGTGCTCATTTTCCTGTATATGGCCCCCCTCCATTCACTTTTTGAGAATCGTTTCCTAAGGTTCGGCTCTAATACCCTATGATGTGATTGTGGTTTTTTTAAGGATCGAAATTATACATGATCTATAAGACATTTCAGAAAAAGGATCAGTTAGAAACCTTTTAGCATCAACAAATGATGTTTTCATTTTCTGCTTAAAGGATGAAAAATGCCACAAAACATT